CTAGCCGCAACTGCTCTAAAGGATCAGATTTATGTCGATGACGCCCTATTGGGTAGTAATTGCGTAGAAAACGCTCTTTTGTTGAAAAATGATGTGGTTCAGTTACTCAAAAAAGGAGGTTTCGAGTTAAGAAAATGGTCTTCGAATAATCCATTACTCTTACAGTCGATCCCTGAAGATCACAAAGAAAAACCTATTGGTTTTCGAGCTCCCGAACAACCAGTTCATAGTGTTTTAGGACTTAAATGGATTCCTAATGAAGATGTTTTTTCTTATTCTGTAGGAACTCAAAATATTAAGGAAACTCCTACAAAAAGAATTGTTTTAAGTGTGATATCACAGATCTATGACCCGTCAGGATGGTTAACTCCTGTAACCTTCTGGTCCAAATCCTTCATGCAATACTTATGGACACTTGGTCTCGATTGGGATGAACCCCTAGACGACAGCGTTATATCAGTTTGGAACAAGTTCGCCAATGAACTTCCATATATTGAAATGCTCAAGATACCTCGCTACGTGGGACTTTCTTCAGCTAAAGATATTCAGCTACATGCTTTTTCTGATGCAAGTGAAGCAGGATATTGTAGTTGTGTTTACCTGAGAGTTGTAAATTCACAAGGAATTATATCGACTTATCTTCTGATAGCGAAGTCAAGAGTCGCACCTCTGAAGCGTATTTCCATACCTCGCTTGGAGCTCTGCGGAGCACACCTGATGTCTAAGCTCCTAAATTACTGTATACAACTTCTCTCACCTCACTGCAAGATTAGTTCATACACAGCTTGGTGCGATTCCACAATCGTGCTTTCATGGATTGGCATGCCCTCTTATCGACTCAAGGTTTATGTGTCAAATCGAGTTGCAGAAATACAGGAAAACATCCCACCTTCATTTTGGCAACATATTTCATCACTAGAAAATCCAGCGGATGTTGGGTCAAGGGGTACCGCCCCACAAGATTTGATTAACCACACACTTTGGTGGAATGGACCTGTCTGGTTGTGTAACTCTGAAGAAAATTGGCCAAAGTCTGTCTGTAAATCTTTACCTGAAGAGTCTATCCCTGAAACTAAGATTCTCACAGTTAACACTCTCTCTGCTGTTCCGGATGAACCATTTTCTCTCCTCACTCGCTTCTCATCTTGGACAACACTACTTCATGTTTCCGCATACCTGCTGCGCTTCATTCATAACACCAGAAATAAAGTTAAACAAATTGGGAATTTAACTTCTCAGGAGATAAAAGAGGCTCATAACCTGATTTGTAAATTGGTTCAACGAAAATATTTTTCTGAAGAAATCTCATGTTTGAAATCCAATAAACCTTGCTCTGTACGCATTAGACGCCTAGCTCCTTATCTGGATAAAGATGGCCTCATTCGAGTAGGGGGAAGAATAAACAAAGCTGATATCTCTGAAGATCACAAACACCCCGTCTTGCTACCTAAAGGTCATAGGTTAGTTGATATTTTGATTGACCACCATCATGTCTTATATTTGCACTCTGGTCCAACTCTAACTCAGGCTATGCTGGCAAACAAGTACTGGATTCTCAGTGCTAGAAGCTTAATAAGATCTAGGATCTTTAAATGCATAAAATGTTTCAGATGTAAACCTCCTCATTCTTCTCCACTCATGGGGGAATTACCTATGAATCGAGTTACACCTTCAAGGCCATTTTCCATATCTGGTGTAGATTATGCAGGACACTTCTTTGTGAAGCAACATCTACTAAGACGAGTTCAACCTATCAAGGTTTATATTTGTATATTTATTTGCTTCTCTACTAAGGCGGTACACATAGAAGTAGTAACCGACCTAACAGCGGATGCCTATTTAGCCGCTCTTACCAGATTTGTCTCCAGACGAGGAATCGTTTCAGATATTCACTGTGACAATGCTACAAATTTCACAGGTGCATCCGAAAAACTCAGACGCAACTTTGAAAATTTAATCAAGGATTCCACAGTACAATGCTACGCTGAGAATTTCAATATTAAATTTCACTTCTTACCTCCACATGCACCTCATCAGGGAGGCCTTTGGGAGAGGGCCGTCAAAAGTGTGAAATTTCACCTAATAAGAGTCATTGGACAACAGACCCTGTCACTGGAAGAGTTTTCGACTTTAATCACCCGTATTGAAGGAATGATGAACTCTAGGCCTATAACTCCTCTTTCTTCTGATCCCTCGGACCTAGAAGCTTTGACGCCAGGTCATTTTTTAGTAGGTGGTCCTCTTATGACACCTCTTGAACCTGACTTGCGTAGCATTCCTATCAACCGATTAAAACGCTGGCAGTTAGTCCAACAGTTCAGTCAACATATCTGGGCTCGCTGGCAGAAAGAGTATCTGTACACTCTTCAAGAGAGAAATAAATGGGTCAACCCCAAGAAGAATATTGAAGTCAATGACTTGGTTGTCATTCATGAAGACAACTTGCCTCCACTCTCCTGGAAGCTTGGACGAGTTCTCTCCGTTTCACCTGGTACTGATGGAATAGTACGGGTCGTGCACCTGAAGACCGCAAGTGGACACCTCTCTCGTCCTGTGACAAAGGTGTCTGTCCTTCCTATGGAATAGTGAAGAGGAGTTACCACCCCCCTTTTTTATTGATTTTCTCATTTTTTGTGTTGTTTTCAGAACCCAGGGGTTCAGGGGGGGCCGGTATGTTAAATATTTAGTAATTCAACTAAGGACATTTAATAAAATATTTATTTAATAACATATGAACTATATACAGTCAAATATAAACAATTAATCAAGTAGTATTAACATTCAAGTCAAGTTTTTAGTTCAGTTATTGAAAGGATACAACAGCTGATATGATGACATCACTGTCCAAAGTTCACTACAGCACTTCGTACTAGTCAGTTTCAGTTTAGACTCACCTCTCTCACAGTACACAGTGCTTACCTTTTGGTTTAGTTCATATTAAATATTTTAATCTCTCTTTCTCTCTTACCGCTCCAAGTGCATTATTTCATCATTTCTCATTTAAATATGGATTCCAAATTTATAGTACCAAGTGTCAAGCTAGGATCCAAGAAGATATTTTTATTTAAAGTAGATGTGTTGTAAATTTTCGTGTACAGTCCAGAATATTCATGAGTAGTGAATTGCTTTCTTTTTATTAATGAAGAAGAGTTTTAATTTAAATCAGTGAAGAATTACATACTACACAACAATAGTCATTTCTCAACATCATCTTTCATCTGTGGTCCTTCGATTCTCGTCACTCTGGCCAGAGCCATCGCTTCTCTGCTCATCTTGTTCCTGTTCTACCAAAACCCTAATGGATCTTCAGTTTTAGGATCTAAAGGTATTTCTCACAATTTTACCTCTTAATACCATATATAACAGATTTCTTTCCACCGATATTTTTTGATTGTTCGGATGCCTGATGGACCTGTTTGACTGAAACCAACTGACAGATAGTTGACTGAGAAATTGCGGATGCAACTGAGACTGAACTGTAACTGGACTGTAACGGAACTGTGACTGAACTGATATGTGTGAATCGACCTTTATACAGTCTTGGTCTTTGGGGTTCGACCAGGTTAGAAGGACTGAGTTCTGTGACTACTGTGATAGTTTATACATGTTAGATTTGTAGTGCCCGCTTGCCCTGAAGATGGCTGACTGTTATGTGGCCGAAACGTCGGTAGTTTCTGTACATAGTGTTGTAGGCCTAGGCCTACATAACAAAATGACACGGTCGAACCCCGAAGACAAAAGTTGTATACCGGTATATATAAGTGATGACCATAGAAGCCTATCCATGAAAGTAAGTTTACTATGAACTTTTGCTGTGAAGTCACCGGTACATTTAAATTTAAGTTATAGCATCTTAGCCAGCCATCTACTTTACCCATAAGTGATGGATGAGTTGAGCTGACGCTCTACTGGTGTTAAACCATAGACCCTAATCTAGTTAATTAGGTTAATTTTTCAGTTTTTAGAACACTGTTTTGATCCTTTACTCAGAACTGATCTTAGTGTGACGGCCTGGCATATTTGCCTCATTTTGTTGTAATTTTTTTAAATTTGAGCTTAAGCTGATTGGCCTTACTCCCTAAAACTGGCCCGTTGGCTATCACCGAATATTTGCTAGGTTGATGTGTCAACCGTAGGCCTATTTAGCAATATCGAATTTTATTTAACTTCACGTAAGTCTCCAAGTGAACCTTAAAACTCATACTCCAATTCATTTCATTACTTTGTAACCCTACAATAATCCTAACCAGACGTCGTGGCTTGGCCGGATGTACCCTGGAATGTGCTGACTTTGCATGCACGTGTGTCGCGATAAGCGATGTTACACTTCTAGACTCGCTTCAATGTGGTTCCTCACTTCAATTAGTTTCATTAATGACTGTTATGATCGTTTGGCTGCAGCACCAGACGAGCAATTGAATCATGGGTTGAGCGCTCAGCGTGCGCTGATTGGTCGACGATGGTCATGTGACCACGCTGAGGCTTCCGCTCGGGCGACGTTGAAGCCTCAGATCGGACGATCGTAACGGACGACGGTATAGTCCGCCGCGCGCGATCTCGCGCCCCTTTCTTTTACTCTTACTACTTCTAAGTCTGTGTACGTTTTAAATTCAATATTGTGTAATTCGTAGTATTTGGTCGCGGTTTGACTTGATTTGTAATGTGTTACTTTAATCGATGCAATTTTGTAAAGTTTTATTAGTTTCATCAATAAATTAGCTGATCCCTACTCGCTTGTTTTAATATTTGTTCTTCCTGCTCCCAACCGCTACGAAGACTACAAGAGAGGCCGACTGTGACATTAGTAACAGAGCAAAATCTTAAACTCTATTTTACACTCACTTTGCTTTCATTTTCATCTTCACACAAATACCTGTATGTTGCTGTCTCAAAGTAATAATAATTATTTTTTCAAAAGTTACACAGTAATACATTAGGCTTAGTAATAAATTAAGATTGAGTTAGGAGAAATGTAAATAACAGTTGTCCTTTTATTCTAGTCACATGTGTCGGCCAGATTATAGAAAAGCGACAAGCTACTTTGATGACAAACGTAGTCGCTATGTGCAGCCGGACTGGATCGACACTTCCAACTGTGGACTAAGTTTTACACCTTCAACCAATATGGCCCCAACTGAAATATTACCTGTCATCATTTCCAACAAAAATGAACCAGTAAAGGAAGACTCTACTGAGCGAGTGATAAAGCCCATGATGTGGGGAATGATTCCTTCATGGCATAAGGTGGCTTACATTCACTGACTGATTAACTCAAACCAATAACCTACCGTAGTTAATTATTGATAATTTTGTTAAGTAACTTTATTTCTGTAGTTAATGTATAGGCCTAATGTTTATTTCATAGGCCCATACATATTTTCTAAGTTGTACCCCAGTTGCAATTTACATAAGAGAATCACAACGTTTTGAATTGAAAGTGGTCGAAAGCCCTAAACTTTTGTTTTTGCTGGGAATAAAACCTGTAAAGGTTTTGTTATTCCCCATCTAAATTGCCAACAAGTGCATCTAGAAACACAGAAAAACTTCTGTTTTCACCTTATTTTAATTATATATTGTTAAATATAGTGTAGTTAAATATCATTCTTGTTTAAAATTAGGCCAATACAAAGTAATTTCTGCCTTGAAAATAAGAAGTTAAAATGAAACAAATCATGCTTTGAGAAATAGGCCAAAGCCACAAAGAAAATGTATTTCCTTACTATTAAAATGTAAGTTAAGCTACGAAAACTTAAGTGTTTTTTTACAGGGTGATTATAAATCTCATGGACTGACAACTAATAACTGCCGAATTGAAAATTTGCCTGAATCAAAACTCTACAGCAAAGCGTTGAGAAATGGACAAAGATGTGTTATTGGTGTTCAAGGGTTTTACGAGTGGCAAACTACCAAAGGGAAAGGGCAAGCCAAACAGCCTTATTTTATTAAGGCAACTCAATCATCTAATGTGAGTAAATTTTTTTTCAAGTAAAAGGCATATCTTTAATTGTGATGCTGAAAGTGTGCAACCACCGATAAACTTATTTAGAAATTATACCAGGGACAAAGCCATGGGAGGAGAGGCATGTGCCCTGATCTTAAATTTGCTGGGGTGTGCCAAACTGCCATGGAAAGGGGTAAACATTTATTTTACAAAACCTGATTGATGTGAAACACCAGATGACTAAGATTAAGGTTGAACTTATACTAGGCTATCCAAATAGATTGGGACCTTACCTCATAGTCATGCGGATATGTAGTCAAAATTCAGATGATTGGTTTTGTACCGAAGCTTGAGTATTTTATAGGAAATAGGCTAGAGTCCTGCCGAGCTTGTACTATAGCGATCACATAATGTGGGTGTGAAGATTTCGAGGCTTTCTCCCCGATCACGGTGGGCGATTATGAGTAACCGCTCCCTCATCCTAGTAGAAGGATCTGCCAAGAGGGCCAAAGGTTCAATCCGTAGGACTGATGAGGCACGCAGCAGTCTTACAAACAACCTTCATCACACTCTGAGAATCATCAATACTTACTTTCCATGTCGGGAAATCAATGACAACCAGGAGTGTCGACTTTGCAACCAGTCTGATGAGACTGAGAAGTACATAATTCTGGATTGTGACAGATTTAGAGCTAGGAGAAGGACCCTGTTTGATCAAAATCAGCCAGGTGATGAACTACTACACTGGGCAAAAGGGCACAGTTATAGGTGTACCTAGTTGGCCGCTAGTGGGGCATGCACTATCAGCTTAGGTTGACATCCCCGGACCCTGAGTCTGCCCTCTTGTCAGAAAATATTAATCAGAATCAAAGCTTTACTCAGCGCATTCTGTTTTTAATTTGTCATTCACCTTAAACCATGGGGTCAATGTTGTATAGCAATGGTCTGTCACCAAAACCATCCCTTTTGTTGCAGGTTGGACCAGTGGAAGAATCAAGCTCTTGGGAAAATGCTGCTTGGGACGAAACCTCAGGCTGGGCTGGACCAAAATTGTTGATGATGGCTGGGCTTTTTGACACATGGTCATCTCCCCAGGTGGGCATTACGTAATTCTGTTGGTAATGATTAAAAACTTCTCAAAGTCTTCAGGCATGATTTCAGAATGATTTTGTTTAAAAATAATTGCTTTTTAAGCATAATAATTGGATAATGAGCAGCTTGATTGTCTTAACACCGGATTGGTTTACATCGTCCCTTGTTAAATATAGTTGTAGTTCCTCATGAATATGTCATATGTATGGCTTTGTCACTGACTAGCCTTAGTAATTAATTTGGTATTTGGTTAATTTGGTGTGGTTTAGCCCTGATTTATTTACACTTTATTTTTACTTTTTAGGGAGATGAGATGTTTAGTTTTACTATTATTACTATGGAATCAAACAAATTGTTTTCTTGGCTTCACCATCGCATTCCTGCTATCCTAGACAGCGAAGAACTAATAAGTGTAAGTAAAATAGATAAGCTACATTTATATTATTTCCATAAATGTAATAAAAGCGTATAAGAATCGAGTTTAAAACACAAGTATAGCTGATAGAGTTTAAAGAAAGCATTCACTTATTGACATCACTCACATTTTTCAACAAGCATTGTCTAGTTAAAAATTCTGCAACTTGATTAATAAACCTAAAGATCTTTGTAAACAATTTGTATGTTTCTGGAAACTATCTAGCCAGTAAATCATTGGGCAACAATTTTTTACAGCTTTACATACTCTAGCTTGATTTTGTAATCTGCTCAACTAATTTTCTAATACAAGATTATGTCCTTCAGAAATGGTTAGACTCAACTGGAGTGCCAGGGATGGCAGCTGTCCGACTGTTGCAGCCATCTTCTATTCTGTCATGGCACCCTGTCTCCACTGTCGTAAACAACGCTCGCAATAAAGACCTCAACTGTAACAAGCCTATTGACCTTCAGTGAGTAACGCACTATTTTAGCTATCTTTGCACAGTTATTTTTATCTTTGGTAGTTCCAGTGTTATCTTGTTGTTCAACCCTGTAAGCACCCTATGGATTTTTAGTTATCTTTTCTTTATGAGTAGATTAATTTTGCAATTTTCTCTCATTCTTACTAAAGTGACCACTCGTACCCCAGTTGGTACTCAGTCTCAATAATTCTGAAGCTCTGGTTCAGACTGCTGTCTACTCATTAAGCCTCAAATTTCCCTTCATTCTGGACCTAGTCCAATTATATTCCAGCTAGTAATCTGCCTTCAGGAATATTTCTTAATATTTTTTTATTAGTGAAATCTCATCTTTCTATAAAATTATTTCAGTCAAACTTAACCTCCGTATTTCAATCCTTGCCCATCTTATTTATTTAATTTTTAACAAAAAAAATATTTTTATGAACTCTCAGGATCAGAGGTGCAAATCAACCTAACCTTTCAACTTCGACTTAATCCGTTCGATTGTTTTAGATGAGCTTCTTCCATAAGATCTAGCTTAGGTGGACTCCATAGGATCTGCAAACCAGAACTAAGATAATAATGGAAATAAACTTAAAGTTTTCTTTCCAGGTTGGAGAGGAAACATTTTAGACTTCTCAGTTCTCTCACCCATTGGTCAGATTCAAAAGCTCTTACTTTTGTCAGTCATGGAATGTCTTAGTGTTCTAGACTGCTAGGATACAACCTTCACCATCTACCCTCTCCTGTTCCCAATGATTTATGCTTATGTAAACATGTTAAGTGACAGATTTATTATAATCCTCTAAGTCTGATGTATTAGCTGAACGGATACACTGTTCATCTGGTGATATGGTCTGGTTCAATCTTGCAAAAATTAAGTTTTTTTTGGATGGTTTGAAACTGGACCCAGTTGTTTAGTAAATTAAAACATAATTAACACAACTGAATTTATTGAACTCACAAATCAGACTAAACTAAAAAGTAAACAAAACATAATAATGTAAACAGTCATCTGACAGATGTTATAAATAAAACATATGGACTTATTTCTTGATACATAACACTCCTCCCCCCGTTAGGTAGTCCTTCAGATATGCCGGTGGTCGACGGATACGAACAGGTCGAGGACTCATGCTCATTGAAGTGTTTTGGGAGTTTGATCTAGAGACACGTGACCGAACAGGTTGTGGACTCGTGCTCATGCTAGTGGAGTCTTGAATTAAACCAGAAACGTTGAAACCAGCATCTTCTTGATGAGGGTTAATTGAACCTTCTATACCACTAAAGGAATTGCGAGATTGTTGCATCACTGATGGTCGCATTGGTTGTACGTCTGGTGTTCTCATCATAATAGGATTGCGAACCATTGATGGTGGTTGCACTGGAGTGATATGATGTGCTTCTGGTGTTCTCATTTGAATAGGATTCTGGAGTAGTGGGTGGAATGGTGGGTTTACTGGAGATTCAGGATTATCCAAGTGTGAGTTAGTAGATGCTTTTGATGTTTCTGAGCGAGGTCTCAATTGGTCAATATGACGTTGTATTTCAATGCCTTCTTTTGTTATCAAATGGTAGCTCAGTGGCCCGGTTATTCTAGTGACTTTAGCAGGAATCCACTTTGGTCCTCGCTGATTATAGTTTCTTGCAAAAACGGAGTCATTTTCTTTAAATTTCCTCTGAGGTGACTGTTGGTAATCGTGAAGCGCTTTATCCAAGATTTTCTCTTCTTTGTCACTTGAAGAATAATCTGGGTGAACTCTGTCTAAGATGGTTCTAATACGCCTTCCGAACAGCAGTTCACTCGGTGACATATTAGTAGAACAATTTGGTTTTTTGCCAATCTCCTTGAAGTATTCGTCGCAAAGAATTTTTTGTCGTTTGGACCATCCTTTCTGCCTGACCATTCGATGACGGATGGTATGGTGCAACCACGACGTGGCGGATGCCATTGCTTTCATTAAACGATCGAAATTCTTGTGAAGTGAAAGCCGACCCGTTATCAGATACTAGTGTGTCTGGAACACCATGTGTTGCGAAAAGGCTTCTGAGGACCTTTATAGTTGATCTTGAATCTGTAGAAGGCACCAAAACTACTTATAACCATTTGCTGAAAGAATCGACAACAATCAAAAACAACTTGTTTTGGAAGGGCCCAGCGAAATCTATGTGGAGACGAGACCAGGGTTGTTTCGTTTTCTCCCAGGGAAGAACTGTTGCTCTTGGAGGGTTGTGACGACTTTGTTGACATGCTTGACAAGAGTTCACTATGTTTTCTATGTCTTGATCAAGTTTTGGCCACCAGAAATAGCTTCGAGCCAACGCCTTTGTTCGAACAATGCCCTCATGTCCCATGTGTAGAAGCTTCAGAGCTTGTTGCCTGAGAGTGGATGGAATGATCACCCTAGTTCCCCAAAGTAAACATTGTTTGTATTGAGAAATTGAATTTTGACGAGAAATGAAAGGCGTAAGGTTGATATCTGAGTTATGAGTTGGCCAACCACGTTGAGTTCATAATAGTACTTTAGATAGAAGTGGATCCTTTTCTGTTTCTTTTGCTATTATATTAGCGGTAATTGGTTTAACCTCATCGGATTCAATGTATAGCACGTCATTCAAGACTTCATTTATCTCTTGTTTAACAACATTGGAGGAACATGGAAGACGACTCAAACCATCAGCATTCGGAATAGAAATCCCCGGTTTGTATACAAGATCAAAGTCATATCCATTTAAAAGGATACTCCAGCGAATCATTCGAGGTGACAGTGTGTTTGGTGTTTGTTTATCCACAGTGAAAAGACCCAGAAGTGGCTTATGATCTGTTCTAATTTCAAAATGCCTCCCATATAAGTAATTGTGGAATTTTTTAACCCCTCCAATGATGGAAAGTGCTTCCCTATCTACTTGAGCATATCTTCGTTCTGATTGACTCATTGTCCTGGAATAAAACGCAATTGGAACTTCCTTTTCCCCTCGAACCTGACTAAGCACACAACCAATACCATAAGGAGATGCATCACAAGTTAGTATAAGATGGCTGGAGGGATTGTAATGAGCCAGTATACTATCGGAAGAAAGGAGCTTCTTTGAAGCATTGAAAGCAAGTTTATGTTTTTCCTCCCACCGCCATTTAACATTTTTGTCCAATAAGCGATGTAAAGGTTCTGCAACATTGGCTTTGTTGGGTAAAAAACAGTGATAGAAATTAAGTAAACCTAAAAATGCCTGCAGTTGTTCCTTGTTAGTCGGCTCAGGAGCATCTTGAATGGATTTGACTTTGTCCGGGTTAGGACGAATTCCGTCAGAGCTCACAACAAATCCCAAGAAGTCAACTGATGTAGATAACAAAGAACACTTTTCGCTTTGGAGTGTAATCCCTGCATCTCTAAAACGAATGAATACTTGTCTTAATGTGTTGTAAATGGACTTAAATTATGTAGAATGATAAAGAGAAAGGTGTTTTAGGTACAAGTTTTACTTGATACAAAACCACAACATAGCTTTCCACAAAACACATCTGGTATCCATGACAACTAATTTGTACACAGAACACATGTGATACCAAAATGAACTATTCACACAAATAATATTTCAACACCCTCCTTATTTGTGGAATCCCTGGAACTTAATGCAGTCTCTGAATTTTTCACTGTTAAGCGCCTTTGTTAGAGAATAGGTGAAAATGTTTCATCATAATCTATTCCCCTCCTTTGGTCGAATCCTTTGACAATGTGGTCGAATCCTTTGACAAGTCACCTGACCCTTGTCATTTTCCTTTGATTTGAAAACCCATTTACAGTTTAAGGGTTTCCTCAAGGCTGGGGTTTCGACCAATTCACAAGTCTTATTTTCGATTTGAGACTTAAACTCACGGTCCATAGTGTTCTTCCAAGAGTCTTTGAACTCACTATTCAATGCTTCTTCGCGAGATATTGGATCGGATAGCTCGCCAGAGAAATAAGTAACATAATCGTTCAACGCAACTGGAAGGTTTCTGACGCGCTGCGGTCGAGTTGTTGTGTCCGGAATAATGTTCATGTCAGTAACATCAGTTACATCGTCGTTACTTCGGTTTACATCGGATCCTGTAGGAAGCACATCATCATTATTGGGCACACTTGGACCGGTTTGTGTCTGACCACTAGTACTGTCCTGACTATCAGACAAACTTCCTGTTGGTTCGGGAAACACATAAAAATCTAAGTCTTACTCACATTTTTCAATAAAGAACTTCCCCATTGATTTTCAGAAAAGGTAACGTCTCTAGATATGAAAGTTATTTTCTTCTGAGGATCATACAACCTGTACCCTTTACTAAACTGACAATAACCAACAAATATACAGGGAGTAGATCGTAGACTAAGTTTTTTACGTTTCTCGGCAGGAATGTGAGCAAATGCCTTACAACCAAAAATTCTGAGATGTTGTAGAGTAAGCTTGTTACCTGACCACACTTGTATTGGAGTTGGTTCCACGGACCTGCATGGTGATCTGTTCAGAAGGTAAGCAGCAGTATTCACAGCTTCAGCCCAAAAACTAGATGGAAGCCCAGACTCTATCAGCAAACATCTTGCTCGTTCTAGGAGGGAACGGTTGAGACGCTCTGCCTTTCCGTTTTGCTGAGGTGTGTAAGGACATGTAGTTTGATGCACAATACCTGATGACTTAAAAAACTCAGTTAAGTTGCGATTACAGTACTCCGTACCATTATCTGTACGCAACACTTTTATCTTCTTGTCAGTTTGTTTTTCAGCATACTCTTTGAACGTTTTAAAGTGACCATTGACTTCGTCCTTTGATTTTAAAAAATAAACAAAACACATGTGACTGTAGTCATCTAAAAAGGTCAAAATATACCTAGACCCTCCAAGACTATTCACTTCCATAGGACCTACCAAGTCAGAATGCACTAGCTCCAGATAATGACTGCTTTTAGACTCACTCTTAGGAAAAGGTAAACGATGGCTTTTTCCTAACATACAGATATCACAAACGGTTTCTGGCTTACTACCAGAAATGTTGATATCATCAGCCAAGCCATTAACCAATCTGGTAAGGCTATCAAAATTCAAATGTCCCATACGCTGATGCCAGAGCGTTAAGCCACTGCTTTGCATGGATAATGCAGATGTGTTCATAGGCATATCCAACTTAAACAAATTGTTTATTAAACTAGCAGAAGCAATGAGCTGTCCTGTTGAATTGAAAACTTTGGCTCCATCACTATTGAATACCACAGAGTTTCCTTTATTTACAATTTGACTCACTGATAAAAGATTAACTTTTAAGTTAGGCACAAAATGTACATTACTTACATTCGCTTCTGAGACCTCACCAGAAATACATATTGGAAGCTCCAAATCACCGACGGTATCAGTCACCATTGTCTCATTATTCGCTGTGGTGATCGTTAGTGCTTGGCCTTTTCTTGCGTTCAGAAGCATGTTAACGTCAACACATAAATGACAAGATGCACCGCGGTCTAAAAAGAACTCATTACTAACGCCCGATTGCATTGAAAATGCAGCAAAGAGTGACGTATTAGATTTGCCAGAGTTTACGTTATTTTTGCCCACTACTCTCGTAGATGTACAGTTCTTTGAGATGTGACCGTAAACATTGCATTTATAACATCTCGGACCTTTCTTCACATTTTTGTCCAAACTACTCGTGTTTCTGTTCTTTTGATACACTTTGTGAACTGTCCCTCTTGAACTGGAACCATACAGTGCAGAATCAGTTCCTGCAAAAGTCATATCACGTTGTACTGGAGACACATCTTGCAATAACTTTGTTTTTATCGCATCCGCTGTGACTTTATTGCCTGAAGATTCAATTCCCATTATCATTGGTTCATACCGGATGGGTAAACCAGCTAGTAAGATTGTTCCAACCCATTCATCGGTTACCTGCAGACCCACATTTGTAATAATAACAACTTACGTCAATCAATCCAGTAAGTTGTTATTATTAAGTTAAACATCAATCCGTTTGCTACGAATCAATCATTACCACATTTGTAAGCTTGTGAGCAGTTGTGACTATGCGGTTCACGTATTCCTCAACAGAACTACAATCTTCCAGCTTTGTAGTTATTAGAATACGGAGAAGTCCAACTCTCCTGCTTAAACCATCATCTTGAAAAGCCTTCGTTAAATTGTCCCAAGCTGCCTTTGCGGTGGTTGTGTTTTGAATATGTACATAATTCACCGGATCAACCAATAAGATCAGCTTTGACCGACATTTAATGTCCTTTTTCTTATCCTGTTCTACACCAGATACGCAGTCCCACAAATCCAAATCTTCCAGGTAAGCTTGTACTGCAAACTTCCATGTGTCAAAATTCTCACGACCTTGAAGCCTTTCAATTGGTAATGAATTTTGAGTCATATTGCTGTTACAAACTTATGAAGTTGGTATTCTTTAAATTTAGCACTGAATAAAAAATCCTGGGCCCATAACCTGTTGTAAATGGACTTAAATTATGTAGAATGATAAAGAGAAAGGTGTTTTAGGTACAAGTTTTACTTGATACAAAACCACAACATAGCTTTCCACAAAACACATCTGGTATCCATGACAACTAATTTGTACACAGAACACATGTGATACCAAAATGAACTATTCACACAAATAATATTTCAACATAATGTGGTAATCAATTCGTGTATTGTTCCTGCTTTAACCAAAATATCATCAAAGTAAGGGATTACATTGTCCAAGCCCGAAAGCAAACCCTCAATAAAATGTTGAAATATAGATGGAGCTGAGCTAATACCGAATTGTAGTCTTTTTGGTTTAAAAGCACCCTTGTGTGTAATTAGTGTCTGAGCTAGTGCCGACTTCTCGTCAACAACCAGTTGTTGATAAGCTTGGGCTAAATCTAACTTAGCAAAATATTTCCCTTGGTTTAAGTTTGCTAAGAGCTGAGAGATTGGTGGAATAGGGTACAGATGATCTTGGATAGCTTTGTTTAACGTTGCCTTATAATCACCGCAAATTCGTATTTTACCATTGCTTTTTACGGAAACAACAATTGGTGTGGCCCAATCCGATACCTGAACAGGTTCTAACACTCCCTGATTAACTAACTTATTCAGCTCTTCTTCTACTGGGGCCTGCAATGCATAAGGTAAAGGGCGCGCTCTTAAGTGAATTGGGTTATAATTCTGGTCAATTTTCAGTTCGATCGGAGGTCCTTTATAGCACCCTAAAGAATTTGAAAATACATCGGAAAATTCACTTTTCAGATGTTGAACATCCAGCTGAGCTTTATTAAGAACTTCAGATTCATGACAGTTGATTGAAAGTACTCCGTTTACTTCAATGTTAAGACTTTTTAGCCAATTACGCCCCAATAAACTATTTCTATTACCTTCAGTTATGACTAACAGAAGGAAACCATTGAACTTACCGTATTTCACATAAACATTAGTCTGACCTAAAACACTTACAGGTTTACCACTGTAATCCTTGAGTTTCCAAGGAGAAGGTTGTAGTTTACAGTTTTTATGAGAAATTGTATTCCATAGTTCTCCTCCTATGATAGAAACACCTGCACCAGTATCAACTTCCATTAGAACTTTGTGATTATTTATGTTGACAGTGGTATACAGTTCCGGTACTTTAGTGCAGTTAACTTCCTGGACGTATTGAGTTGTTCCGTTATTTGATTGAGGTGGAAACGTTTCTTCTTGTTCATAATTGGTTTCCTCTGACAAAACTTCATGAGCCCGCTGTCCCTTTGATCCGTGTTTTTGGCTAAAATATTCTTTGGGGCGTGGTTTCCCTCCTTTACAAACTCGTGCTAGATGCCCAATTTTCTTGCAAATATTACAAGTAGTCTGAAGATGGGGACAATCCCTTCTAAAATGTCTTAGTCCACAACCAAGACAAACATTAGGTGTAACAGAGTGAGCTGGATTGTTGTTAAATGCAACAAATTTCCTGTTTGAATGGTCAATTTTATGTGCATTAGCAAAACTTGAGCTACTGAAAGAAAGTTCCTTACTTTGAGTTTGAAATAATTCATTTGACTTAGCTGCAATAACAACATCCTGAAGTTTAATAGTAGGTTCTTTCAAAATTTTATTCCTTAACTCATCACTTCTAGATCCAATCAAAATTTGCATAATTAATTCCCTATCCAAGTCTTTGAATTCACAGTTCACAGCTAATGTTCTTAGTCGAGAATAGAAAGAGTTAAACGACTCTGATTCTGCTTGATGACACTTCCTAAAATTAAATATTTCAAAAAGGACATTTTTGGTAGGAGCGAAATAGTCAGTTAATAGTTTTATAACATTTTTGTACGATATTTCATTAGGTTGTGGTAAACTGTCAAAAATGTAATCCACTTCCTCACCAGCTAGATTAAGTACTAGTGCAGTTTTCCTTACATCACTGGTAATGTCTGCAGCTAAAGCATACCTCTCAAATTGCTTAATCCATGTACCCCAACGCTGTGCGACACTTGCAGGATTTGTATGGGGGTCAAAACGATCAGGCTTATTGAGATCCATTATCCAATTATCCTCGTCGCCAGTTTAGTAAATTAAAACATAATTAACACAACTGAATTTATTGAACTCACAAATCAGACTAAACTAAAAAGTAAACAAAACATAATAATGTAAACAGTCATCTGACAGATGTTATAAATAAAACATATGGACTTATTTCTTGATACATAACAAGTTGTCCATAGGGCTTTAACACACAATCCTGACTTTAAATGCCCTTGTAACAATGCTACACAAGCCATCTAGCTCCCTTATACTATCACCCTTCACTTAGCTTACAATATGCAACATTGAGACCTAAATGGATAATTTTTCTCCTAAATTCAATATTATTTTAACACCGGAGAAGAGAATCAACAAAAAACTGTCAATCCAAAATCAAAATTCCTGCCAGGTCCATAACTAAAATTGCTGTGATCCACTATTTCGTAATGTACGCAAAGTTATTATTTGGTTGCTTTTTTACAGAAAACCAAAACCAACCAATAGGATAATGGATTCGTGGTTGAAACGAAAGGCTCCATCAGATGATAGCAAACCAGCCAAGAAATCTAAAGATGATTAATTATGTACTTTCATTCACTACACATCACTTACCAGTTTTTGGGCTCAAGGACTACTTTTAAGATATGATTATGAATTAAGTTCCTTTACCTTAGGTGTTAGTAATAAGAAATTTTTATTAAAGGAATCATTTGTTGTACTGCATGTTTATTTTTTCTCAATCCTCTTGTTTGCATACACATGGGAATTATGTGAGGTAACTGTGAAACTTTGAAGTTGAATGTTGATTTGTTCATTTACTTTTTGCTGGGATACTAATTGACAATTCATTTTTGAATGATTCAAAGCACCTCTTGAAATTTGCTTACAATACATAGCCATTTCAGAGGAGCTCAATAAGTGTAAAAGAAGTTCAATGGCAATCAAAGTCAATTACAATTTTGGCGCTGTAGATTTGAATTGAAAACTTATCAACTGTCTTTGGTGGTTAATATTTTTTATTTTTGCTGCTACATTGTAATGTTGTTGAACCTAGTATTCATGCGTATTATGATCATTAACAATTACAGTAGAACCTTGATAACTAGTCACCCTTGATAACAAGGTTCATTTTCAAATCCCCTTGAAATTATTGTACCCCAATCACATGTTATTGCCAGGAAACCAATAACACTGTCAGTCTCCGCTGATAAAGCAGTTTAGTAATGCAGTTTATGTTTTGCTTTACATTTGAACATTCTTATCTCGATAAGAAGTCAACCTTGATAACAAGTCTTATTTTATAATTCTTATGAGTCTTGTTATCAAGGTTCTACTGTATATCCTGACCTACAGCAGGACCATGTAGTTTGGTTGTATGTTTTCTTAAAATGGTTTTGGAAGTAGTTTCTACACTAGTATAATAGCTTGCAAAATTTACGGAGTAGCCAAGTCAAAATTTATCTTTTTCAGGATACAAATAGCAGCTTTCAGCTTTGAAGTAAACAAACACTCTCTACACATGTAACTACATAACTGGTAGACTAACTTGATCGTCAATGTCAACACAATTGACTGCCGTTTTTAAATAAATAGATAAATACGAACTACTGTCTAATCTTAGCTGTAACTCTTCAGATAGATTAATGGTGCTTTATAACTAACATGACAAAGTTAGATAGTATCAAGCAATACCAGAGTTTGGAATGTTTCCTTGTTTCCTATCAATAGAACGTTTTGAGTGTTGCGTAAAATCAGGCAAATAATGGTTCTGTCACTTAAGTTATGGTGATTTCATAACTTTATTAACAAGAACATTTAGGTTAGAAATGTTGAAAAAATATAGTAAATATTAGAATATTCGAATGGTTGCACAATAAGTTGTGGTTATGTACTTTAAGTTACAGGAATTTGAACTTTGGAAGTTATAGAATATAGATATATTGTAGAGTAACCTAAGGGCTTATAAAGGTGGGCATTTGGTAAATTTTTTCCACCATTTATGAGAAGAAATTTTCTTCAAGATACAAGCAAAACGCATCATGTTTGTTGCTACAAGTTTTAATTCAGCTAACGTCCCTAAATAAAATTGGAATCATTTTGATAAGAAATAAACGGTAGGCCTATCAGAATTCTGACACATACTTTCTCTTATAAGTTTGTCAACAACCTTTATCATGTGTAAGCGGTGAGAGTAAATATACAGAAATGGGATTAGAACAATTTTGTTCAGAATTTAAAGGACTACATACTAAATTTTTATCAAAATCGTTCAGGCCACTTTTGTGGAAATCCGATTTCTCCGTTATTGGTATGAGATTTTTATGGGAAAATAAGATAATTTACAATAACTTTTGAACCGTAATTTTTACAGAAATGGGATTTGTACCATTTTGTTCAGAATATAAAGGACTATAACATGCCAAAATTTTATCAAAATCGTTCTGGCCATTTTTGAGAAAATTGAATTTTTCCGCTTTTTTATGGGTTTTTATGGGGAAACCCCATGAAATATTAAAATTTCAAAAAAATGAAAAAAAAGCCTGGAGATACCATGGATTAGAACCTACATACCAAATTTCATCGAAATCGGACCACAGGTGTAGTCTCTAGCTCTGTACACACACAGACATCACTTCGAAAACCACTTTTTTGGGTCCAGGGGGGCCCAAAACGAATATATCCACTCAAAACTCAAACTTGAAAATTTTGACGAAAACAATACTTTCTCCATATACTATGGTATAGGGGGAGAAAGTAAAAGAATAAAGAGATACGGCTGCATAAAATTTAAACAATTCAGTTAAATCTGGTGAATTAAATTTTGCTATCTAAACTTAATTACGTCTTATTAGCTTTTATAGCAATAAGTAGGCAGCTATAGGTATAGCCTTCATCCTGATGGCGTGCCAATGTCTTTTTACATAAAATTCTATCTGGCTTGTAAAGAATTCTGAGGTTTGTTTATTATCTTTGACAGGGTTATTTGATATGTACTAACCACGACTAATAAATAATCTCTACAATATCTAACTTTGTTAATTTCGGGATTTATTCTGAATGATGCATGGCAAATTATAATACAATATTGATTTATTGGAAACATACCACTAACAATATAACCTATTTACTGTTTCGCTCGTTCCGGGACTTCGTTTCTTCTCCGCTTTTTTCTGCCCCTGTAAGGTAAATAACTGAAATAAATGCAACCTCATTTTACATCAAATGTTCCATTTATTTAAGGATATAAAAGTTAGTCAAGTGGACAGAGCTCGAAGAAATGTTTGGTACATTTGCAGTCAGATTCATTTCATTGATAATCGTAAGCACATTCAATGGTTTGTGGTGCCTAATGTTTATGTACAAAGAATATTAGGAACAACCATGAATACACTTGGGCGTATTTGTTTGGTGATATAAAAATATGGTTCTTTACTTATTGCAAAATTACAATATGGCCAAATTATTTTACATAGTTAGAATTCAAATATCTTGGTAAAAGAGTATCGTTACTTATTAAGTAGTTTTATATAAATGCTCAAATAAATGCAGACTATTTGCGTAATATATTTATATTCTTATTGAAGATGAAACCACTTTCTATTTACTTATTCAATTAAAAACTGAGACATTACACATTTCATTCCAACATGTCTTATAAACATATACAAAATACTCGAGTCTCTTATAAAGCATGCCCCAAAATAAAACAAATTTTTACACACAACATTTAAAACTTGTTCTTACGTAATATGTTTTAAGGAACTACATTTACACTAATTTGTAATAATATTATAGTACCAGTAATCCAAATTTATCTTTCTGTTTCCTTATAAATAGTTTTACCGTATAGTTTCTATCATTGGTACAATTCCAATAACTATTACACTTGAAGGGAAAGATAAATGCATTGCAATGGCAATTTTTTAGATCTAAATCACATTGCAAATCCAATAAATAATAATATAACTACAGTTGTAGCATTTATATGTTTTATTCTACTACACTTAAAAATAAATTGCAATGAAACTTAGTTTAATTATTTGTTTATATTTTATATAGACCACCTCTGAAAAGAATTTGGTGAATAGCGTTCTTGATTTGGTGAAGAAGCAGTTTAATTATAAAAAAATACTACAGCAATATTTTTAAATTGTATAATTTCTACTTTTTATGTCATAAATCTTGGTATTTTGCTTAATTTCCAATATTGAAAGGTATTTACTCTGAACAATTGCCGAATTAATAACATTTTAAGAAATTGCTGATGAATCATAATACTTTTCACAAAAGAGGTGATATTTAAGGTTAAATGTATATTATAGTGTCAAACAATTACCCATCTCCTAAACAGGCCAATAACATTGGTTTTAAGATGTTGATTATTTTTTATTTACATATAAATAAGGTAGGCCTATTACGCATTATTGAAAAATCATTAAGTAGCTCAAAACAGAAAAAAATACTTCCAATGACTCATTTAAAATTTCAGTGACTTGCACTTGCAATTACTGTTACAAAAAACAATGTCTCCAGTTAAGTTAAAAACAATATAAATCTCTTCTACTGTTACCATTATAATGATTTTCGCATTATAAAGTGCACCTGTGCATTAGACGAATGCAGTAAAAGATATTTTGTTAAAAATTTACTGTACTAACGTTAAAATAATAAAATACATCAACTTGAGGGTTTTAACATTATTTAGTTTAAAATAAAATCCCTATCAACAATCCATCAAGTAACAAACATTTTAATATAATTTTGCGCCTTCACAAGTATCTTAGAGGACAGTTGACGCAAAACCGGATGACAATAAGTATGTTTCCAGTGATGTTGATAACACGACTATCTCCTGCTTCAATCTTCATATTTTTGTTTGGTAACTAATTTTTAAAAGATTAACTGACCCCTCTGTAAAGCATGTCCTAACACTCCACTTTAGATCGAGGAGAAAAAAATATATTTTACACTCACTATGAAAAGTTTTAATTTCAATATCACAAGATACATACTTTTTGGATCTTCAGAATTATTCCCATGGCAAGTTTAGAACGTTTTTAGGCTCAAGAGACCTTTTTAGAAAAGCCATCTGATACTTCTTAAAAACCGGTCTGTACATTGGCCAGCAGTCGACCGTCCTATAACAATTTATTGTTAGTCTTAAATTTTCAGATTTACAGATTGGTTTACAATATTAGAAAAAAAAGTTGGGCAAATTATTTTAAACTGAATTTTATTTCAGATTCCAACTAATCTGCAATGCAAGTTTTTACAATAAAAAATTTTCTTTTATTTAAACTTTTATTTCCTTGATTTATATAGCTAATTTAAATTTGTTTGGTAATTTATTGAATCTGAAAATTAAAATGACTACAACCACAACCATCAACTATGAAACATAATGCCAGTTTGGATTTATTATAATGCCAAGATACCTCTTAGCAGCAAGATAGGGTGCTTAGCTTATGGTTACTTCAGGGAATAGTAACATTAATTAAGTAGTTTCTCTCGACAAACACACTTATAAATTCAAGTCGTATACGAATAAATGAGGGACAGAAGTTAAATTAATGCTCCACAATCGTTTCCACCATCAACCTTTGTTAGGCCTACATATGAACTTAATTTTAACCAAGGTTGTTTTCTGAACTGAATAAAATGAGTTAGTCGTGATATTATTCCCAAAAAATGTTCAAACGTGTGACCAAAAGTATGCCATAAAAGTTAAATATTCGTCCATCAAATTAACCTTGAAACAGTTACCAATATTGTTAGTCAGTAACGATTCACTTAGATTGTTAGTAAAACAGCTGATTACACAATGAATATTGTTAAACAGGTGCTTCAAAATGGTAAGCCATTAAACGGTTATGCAAGATTTCAGTGCAGAGTACAGATAGAGTTTTGTAATACATAATGATGAAGCGGGGTTCAAATCAATTTGGAACAGCAAATGCACTGGTGTTTAGTGTTATTTTAAATTTACCTTCGGAACAATTCTGGCTTCATTTCACAAGTTATTCATGTCAGCAAACTACAACAATTTAATTAATTTAATTGAGTACTGCATGGCTTTGCTTTATTCAATTTATTTTTCTTTAAAAGAAAATAATAAATAATAACCAACTATAGTATCATAGACAAAAGAATTAAATATAGACTGTCAAAGGAAGGTACCGCTATGTTCCACTAGAGTGTGCTCTGTGTTTGTCGATTCGCTGCCGACGTCTACTCACCGTCTGCTACCAGAACTACCACCCATGCAAACAAAATGCTCCCAAAGTATCAGACCAACTTTTCAGTATGGGTAAAGTACAAAATTCTAAAATCCCGTACATTTAAAGGAAAAGCAAATTTTTTTAATCCTGGGAAATTTTTTAAACACGAAAAACATAACGGAACAAACTCATACCCCCCGGATTCTGGGGAATTCTCCAGAAGTTGGCAACCCTGGCTCCAACTACCAACTTGTCATGGCAAAACTTGCTAGCGCTTGACGCTGCAGCGGTGTGTGCCGTAACTACACGGCACTCCTAGCAGTGGATGCCAGAACATATGCTAACCGCAGCACTGCTGTCAGTCTATGTTTAATTATTTTTGTCTGTGATAGTATCAAATATGCTCTTAAATACAATGTCTCGCAAATTTTTATCTACATCATTTTCTCCGTCATTCTGTAATAGAATTCACTAATATGGAGTGTGTCAAACATTTCATTTAAAATTCAAATAATATAAGGCTAACAGCCTTATTTGATAACCCTAAGTTCAGGCATATAGGCCAGTAGAACCCGTTAATATGGAGTGTGTCAAACCTTTCATTTAAACTTTGAACGGGTAATAAGGCTAAGCGCCTTATCAAACCCTAAGTTAGATAGCAGACATAGGCTAAAAATAAAAATGCAATTAGATAAACTTTTATTGCCATCTTTGAACCATACCAATTTTTTGAATTTCATTTGGAAAACAAGTCAAGCAAAGTTTACTGAAGGGACTTAGATGATGTTTAACCGGTAGCTCATTAATTGGTTGCATCTTGAACAGATAATCCTGCCATTGCTGATTCGAGACAGACTACCCACTACCTTACTAACTCACTGCAATCACAAATGACTTGCCCATATGACTTGTATTGTACTGTGACAGTACTACAATTAGTTAACCACACAGAATAGCAGGACCAAGCATTCAGTTGAGGTTAATTTAATAAAAAAAGGAAAAATAATTATAACTTGCAAAGTGACAACTCAACCACTGAAAACTCATTTTTATGACAATAATGGCTGCCATCTTTTAAAAATTTAGATGCACTAGTTGTTTTTGTAAATTTCCCATTTTACAAGGTCTTTAAAATTATGAAAAAATGTTTTGGATTGTAAATTATTTGCATGAAACATTTTTTAGATTAATATCAGTAAGTTCCTTGATGGTAGTTCCATTGCTTGGATGACGCAGAGAATATTTTAATGGAATCCCTACATTTGATGGTGGGAAATAATTTTGACGTTGTTTTGTCTACATGTTAAAGAAAGTGATATGTTACGTGAATAACCCCTGTTTCTAAAGGGTAAAAAATAATCATTCACTCATCTAGCTTCAAACTATGAAATGGTAAATTGCCACAGCACTTGTAGGTTTTAGAGTTGTTACAATAAGTAAAACTATAGAGTGAATAACACCAAGTTTCTACTATACATTTTTCACTTTACTTACTTTGATATGTTAACAACGCTAAATGTGGAAAACTTTAAATGTGGTAAATAACTTTAACAATCAAGTAGTAAATAACGCATGCCGTTTCAACGTATCACTTAAATTTGTTGGGTGGCAAATTATTTTTTTAAATGATAATCAAAATTTACTTTGTCGACTTGTTACTCCAGATAAATTAAGTTTTAATATACAAAATAAATGTATTGTTATTGAGGTTACGATATTTTAAAAGTTATATACATATTCAAATAAACAACTAACCTAACAAACAAGATTATTATTTAAAATAGTAATATAAATATCGATACGTCTCACTGTACTTTATTGTGCACACAAGATGAGCTTCGGGGCAAAAACGAATACAGAACCAACAATAAATAAGCGACAATAACTCCTGAACAGTACACAATCGATAGTCAATAGGAATAGGACAGTAGGACGAACGATATTTACGCACGGATAATCTAAATTTAAACTTATATCGACGTAATCCACTGTACACATAATCACACAAACTAAACTTACGAATGCAGCAAAAGTTGTCGGTTCGTGATCACATGCGAACACGGGTCGTTCAAAGTATATAAAAATAACGCTATGTTAACTGTGTGAGCATAATATCACAGATAATGCTCCGAAGCGTGCTACAGTCCCGACTCATACGCGGTTGAGGTAGTAAACTAAAATACCACCACCAACCACGATTACACCTATGCTAATATTAATCGGAGTGAGTAGAGACCTCTTAATCTTGTTCCATCTCTCCGTCTGTTGCTGCTTCGTCTTCATATCCTGCAGTTTCTCCTTGAGGGATTCAAGGCGGTCCTCGTGTTTCCGCTTTCTCATTCCCTCAGAGCTAGGAAACACAAATATCATGTTAATAGTGAAATACAACTCACATTTCCTATCGACAAAACACATCTCAGCATATGCCTGTTTAAAAAAGGTCATATAATGGGCAAATATTGTATGAAGATGTTAATGCAAATTATATTTTTGTTTGCTATTACATTTAAATTTATCGGCAAACTACTAACAAGTCCTCATAAAATATTGTAACACATCAGCAGGGCAATGAAATACTGTGAGAATATGTAATATGCAAGGGGTTTCGATGGCATAGGGTTTTTTGTGGGTTGTTAGCACAACACATTCAGCAGAAATTACTGAGTTTGACTAAATGTGGGGCTCAATTGAAGAAAAAGGAAACTTAAGTAAAAAAAAAAAAAAAAAAAAAAAAAAAATACAGAGTTTACTGTGTGGGGGGCTCAATTTGACAAAAAGGGAATTTAAGTTTAATAATCAAATTAAAATAGTAGACACAGCATACAATTTGAACCACACCAAATTAGAGTTTGTATCTCTGGCCCCAGGATGACACAAAAACGACCTTTCACTAACCAGCTGATCAACTGCACGGGGTTTTTACATTCAGAGTATCTCCAATCAGTAACATGTCAAGATAAACCTGGTACAGTACAACCCCCGCTAATATTTCACCTACGGGACCAGAATCGCAGCTTGAACAGTAAACGTCGTATTATCCGAGGAGCAGCATGTTCAGGATTTTGTTGCGATAGCTGACGATGATTATTTTCCATGACCATGGGATTTGTCAATGATTTTTTTACAACAGCAGTAGATAATGATTTTTCTGTTAACGCAGGGATTATTAATGAGATTGCTGCAATCGCAGATAACAACAATAAAGTTTTTAAGAATTTTTTAAGATCACAGTAGACGATGATTATGTTTCCATAACTGCGGGGGATAAACAAGACTAAACTTGACTGTCATGATGTCCACTAGACTATAAGAAATGGTCACGATATCATCATGATCACATTGTAACCGATAGGCGATGATGGCAGGGTTGGACCAAGCGAGGAGTCTGACTAGCTGAGGTCAGATTAGTGGGGTTCTACTGTGTCTTAAATTCCTTAAAACTGTCCATAGCAATCAATGTTAAATTTACCTAGCTACATAAGACATAAGCAGTTCTTACAACCTCAATATAACCAATTTTACATAATCTTGGCTCAGAAAATAAATCAATCTTAGTGTAGAGAATATCTCATGGTTAGAACCTCTTTATACAACAAATTTATCTTAGTTATAAAGTTCAAATATCAACTTTAAAGCTGCAAGTACTCTCTACAGAAAAGTTAATCTATTTAAAAGTTAACTGCACAATTCCCTACAACTACCTCATTATAATAGGCTAAACATATTGTACCAAAAACCATCGTGGTTTGACGTTAAAGCTTGGCCAAGCACTGTGTATAGTATATTGGTAATGTAGTGGGTGATTATTGAGTTGTTTGGGGATCAGTTTGCTTAAGACAATGGACAGCAAAAACAATATAGTTATATTGTGTTACCTGTTGGTAGTGCCGTTGCCAGGGCTAGGTGGTTGACTGGGTTCCTCACTACTGCTGCTGCTGTGAGGAGGCGCGGAGGGTAGCGGGGGCAGGTCTGGTGTCGTAGGACTGTGGTCACTGTTGACCACTGCCTTCAGACTATCCCCACGAGGTGGTGGCAGCGGCGGGGGCTCTTCATCATCGTAGTTGACATGGTTCGCGTTTACTTCCTCCTCAACAGGATCATTCTGAAACATTTATCCTAACTGTAACATCGCAGTTGAGGGAGACCAAATTTGCACTTGGAGTAGTTTCATTCACTATTACAAGTCTTAGCTAAAACGTTTCCTTTAAACAAAAGACCTAATTATAATTGAATCCAGACAGTAACTGTGAAGTAATTTAATTAGAGTAAAGTTTTATTTTTACTGTGCCAGAGTGATCTCATACACCTGTCGCAAATATTTCTAATCTTCCGTCAGGCGCATTGATTTTCAAACACCAAAGGGTGCTCATGGAAGTTACCTCCGGGAATACAAAACCCATTCAATGAGGAGTAAAAACCATTTTAATATCAATCAAACTGTAAGAAAAACACTTTTTATGAGTTATTACACTATTACTTAAGTTGTATATAAATTAGAAAATGTTATAATAAACAATAAAAATAAATTATATAAGTTTTGTACAGATAAAAAAGACTTACTTTTTATACATATAGGCTACAGTACTATCGTATAAAATTAGGAAAAAATTGCAATAGTGAATGACATAAAAACACCTATGGTCTGATGAAAAAATCATTTGTTACAATGACAACTCATTTTGTCAGCTCTTAGACAAAAAGTGCATTATTGTATGAAATAAAAACACCTATGGCCTTATAAAAAAATATTTCATATAAGGACAACTTATTTGTTTAAAGCTATTAGAAAAATGCAAATAGTTTATGAAATAAAACACCTATCGTCAAATGAAAAATAAATCATTTGTAAGAAGGACTACCGTACTCATTTTGTCAAAGCTCTTTAAAAAAATATTTCCTGAACAAACGCACCGGTAGGTCTCTTTACTAAATGTTGTTCACTGTCCTCCCTTCAATTCTATCCAACAATCGTGCAATTCTTCTTCTTCAACCATTTTATAGTATCACAAAATAAGGTCAAACACAAGAGTGCACACCGAATTAGGCTCCGGGAAACCCGCTACATCGTAGGGCACTCATGGAAGCTACTTCCAGTAGTGACGCGAACCACTCCCCAAGATCAACTGACAACTAGGAAAGGGGTAAGAGTAGCCGAAACTGATTCCGTGAGGTACGTCAGGAAACGCAAACTATGGTTTTGAAAACGAAAAATATAGTGACCCGTAGGTAACTTCTGTGATGCGCCCAATGGAAGGTCAAATCTAAATTGTGTAGGATAGTCGAATGAGCATCTCACGGAGTGTACTATGCTCAAATGTCTATTTCTCACTTAGTTTATAATACCTAGTATGATATTTTATGTTACTTAAAAATAATAAAGTACGATCAGTTTTACTTTCAGTCTGTAAGTTATTTTCCAACATACTGTTGGTGGCTTAATTCAACTATGATCAGTTCATTTTTGTTATAAACCAGTGACGACATTAACATCGGATAGGGATGTCTTCTTTAATAGTGAAGTTAATATTGAGTGGGAGTACATTTTGTATGAGTATTGTACTCACATCGTTTATACTGTCCCAATCGGTTTTCATCCCTTCCAGGATAGCCAGGTAAGAGAAGCGCAGCTGATCCGGGGTTTGTATCAGTCCCATGCGCTGTCGCCGCATATCTAGGAGAATGTCTCGCACCTTCACGTTATCACAGCCGTTGTCTTTTATCTGAAAAAGGGGTTTATAAACACAAATTTTATATTTAAACTGTGGGTTTATATGAGGCTGAATTGTTCCCAAAGTTCATACTCTTTCGGTGCAAATTTAATTAGCGTTTTGATAGTTTGAAACTGGACCCAGCTGTCCCTGATCATTGGGCTTTGAATAAATGACCTTGGCTAATAAAACAGCTGATCTTAGTCAGTAAAAAAGCTACACAGATCATCTCACTCCATTCTACACTCATCCTTCGCTTATATTATGGTTAAAATACACACCTAGGTGACGTCCCCACCTTAATTGATACTAATAATAAAATAAAACTTTTATACAATAACATTGTGAAACATAGCAAATACGAAACAGTTGAAAATGGAATCATAAGGTATAGTCAATGGACAGTAGATGACCATTATCTGTGTAGGGAAAAAATGTATTTGTGAATTTTGCAGATTTTCATTTATCGATCCGTAACTATATAATTAAGTTGAAGAGTTATTGTAATAAATGCAATAACACATAGCTTACATAAAAAGAATAAAGATGATTTAATTTTATCCAAGAATTTTGGCCCCTCTGGAAGTTCAATCACTCTAACTAACTGTGGTCCGTAGTCAACTGTAGATTGTTCTGGTTGAAGGTTGATCTAGCACAGACATGGACCAGCTTTTTAAATGGAGGGTCGGATGAAATAGAAAAAATCCAGATGGGCCAAAAAAATTCAACAAGTTTTACAAGTGATAAACTTTATTTTGGAGTGTATTTCAGTACACTTGAACTGTGTTAGAAAACTTTCAAAAAGTTACGTAATATAATACTTTTTGGGAAAGTATGAAGGTGTAATATTACAGACAAGACTCTGAGTGAGCTTCTAAAAGTTGCTGGTTAAATGATATAAACTGGGATGTAAATTTTTGTTTAATGTATAATTGTAGAGGTTATTCAAAAACATGTTGCAGGACAGATTTACTAGTTTGAAGGGCCACACCTAGCCCTGGAGCATTACTTAACAAAACACTGATCTAGCACAACTAACCAGTATAAGACAAGTGTCCACCAAACAGAAGGTCCCTGACCGTCCGATGCCGGCGGAGCAGTGGACCACTGGTGGGCCGACACTCTCGTCTAGGGCTCCGCTGCGTCGCACCTTGTTGAGGAACCGCAGGAACACTGTTGGACTCTGAGGCACGCCAAAGTCCGGCCACGTCATGTAATGGAAATGCAAGATGTCCCGGCTACTCCCGCTCTCTACATCTGTTAGTCTGCAAGTTCATTCATTATTAAATAAGGCAGTGTTCGCAACCTATTTTCCTGGTTTACCACTTCAAAAGACCAAAATATTTTATGTAGGCTACTTGATAACAAGGAGTTAACCTTACTAACACATTTTCCAACTATTGGTATGAATGGATTTCATTACATTGTGTGAGGGAATACAGATTATCCAGATTATGTGAATTTTAAAAGATCATTCAATATTTAACAAATGTGTAATTTTCTTAGTTAAAATTGAGCTATCAGCTTGTAAAAATTATTATACATAGCGTTTTCCGCAGACCTTGGAAACGATGAATGATGTTAAAGCTGGGGTACCCAACTGGTGGGGACGTAGATGTAGACCTGTCTGGGTTTTGCAATACACACTTTCAAGGTTTTAAATACAGGCCTAGTTTGTATACCAGGAGTAAACCAAAAAATTACTTAAATTCTCATGGTATGAGCGTATAAAAAACAGAAAGATCTTCTTTGATCATTCTAATAGGCCTAATGAGATTTAAAAATGGAAAATTGAAAAACGGGGGTAGCCTACATATTACTGAATGATATGTCATGTAGAGCAGTGACGGATTGTATCGTGGCCAGACGGAGGTACAAAGGTCGGAATTCCTTTCTTATCAGTCAGATGTAGAATGAAAAGATGGCTTGAAATAGTACTCAGGACAATAATCATAGGCTATATCCAATTAGTCAAAACATAAAATATTAAAATAAAATTTACTTAATATTTAACACAGTGTTTTGAATCCAAAACACTTTCAATTGATATCATTACCACCATCAATGAAAAATTACTGCAAACAATTAGAGTAAACAAAGCTAATATTATCATGGCCTTGTTACATCACAGGTACTTAGACCTTAGGCTAATTGAAATTCTTACCTTAATACTCTTGTTGAGAAGTATGGTCCATCGGTTTCGGATATTAGTTCAACTTTGAGGTCTACATCCTTAAACTCCATTATGTCTTCCCCACCGTTTTTACTTCCGATGGGCCAATACTGATGGCACTTAACCTAAGAAAGAGACTTAAAATAGAATACAGTCGTTTGAATGGCAGTATGTTTGGAGCTGTAGATTTTTGAACTAATTGGCAGGTATATTAATGACGATCTGGGACTTTTTAAGGATGAATTTTAAATATTCTCAAAACTAACCCGGAAAACAATTTTGATAAAATTTCAGCCATTGCCACTGATGCTATTGACAGTTTGGAAAGAAAGGCACTCGCCAAGGCTTGTTCCTTAAATTTCTACTCGTGTCGTTGACACTTATCTTTATGTGATCGTTGCGTAAACTACTATTTTAGCACAATTTAAAGGCTATGGTTTTACAAAGTTTTATAAAACCTACCTGGTTTTTTTCAATAATCTTATTCAACATCAAGACTGCTTTGCACTTCTGTTCCCAAACCATCAGCCAGAAGTGGGATGTCGTGTTAGGGAGAGGTCCTTGCGTAAGAATGTACTGTCTGTTGGCTTCCTTCATCTGCAAAATGGATTAAACAATTAGAGTTCACATCCTCCCTATTAAAAGTATGAAGTATACTTCTTCATTATCGTATCTTTAGTTAAATCTGACCTTCCGTGTTTCCCCCCCCCCCCCAACCAGTGATTGATAAAGATTAAGCCTACTTAGGTATTTTTGCCATTTCTATGTGGTACGACTGAGCACATCATAGTTTGTACGTAAGCCTCTTGGTGAGGGGTTTAAAAATCATGAACAAAACCGAAACCTTTACAGGCTTACAGATCAATTCACATGTTTTAAAGGATCCTACAAATAAATGGATATGGGTTTTATTTAATAGGCAACCGACTACAGTCTTTTGTAGTCCAAAGACATGAGTTTGTCTGTGTGTCTTAGGCCTACATCATGTTATTAGTAAATAACTCTGACCAACGCCAACACTTACCTTGACCAAGCTGGCGTTGATGTAGTCACTGGATCCCTTAGATAAAACGATTCTCGTGTGATCGTAAGGGCTGACATCTCGGTAACGATTTAGATTTTTGTTCTTTGTTTTCTTTGCTTCTATTAAAGTGTAGTCAAATTTTGAGCATTGACTTCTGATTTCCTGAAATGATAAGGTCAGATTAATTGTTTTTTGGAAGGGAGTACAACAATACTATAAACTAGGATTAATTGTTTTCATAGCAGTGAAAGCCAGTTGAGCGAAGCGATCACGTTTTATGGTTTTTTATATAAAGCAATAAATTACCGTATAACAAGTTTCATAAGTAAAAATGTAGAAATTACATACATATCCGTTGTATCCATCGATATTTTTCTATGTCTCCTTGTTAAAGTAATCTGGTGAATCCACAGTTCTGGTTGAACCAGACCAATCAAAATTTTCTAAATCTTGGGCCAGATTTGGCTAGCAACACTCCAACAAACCAAGCAACAAACAGGGCATTAAGGTAAGTTACCACATAACAATTTTTTATGTTGATAGTGGCTACATTTCCCTATTTTAGGGGAATATACCCTATTTCAGGTAAAAGACCCCTCCCAGTTAATTAAACCACAAATTATTCATTCACCAGTCAAATTACTTTTCATCCCAATAAATAAAAAAAACATTGGAGATCTCCTCCACTCAAACCTCCAATTCCTGCCGGGTCCCTTCACACTTAACTCACTTAACGTAAGTTTTAATCTTTTATTTTCTTTGTAGATGGACTGCACAGTTCTAAAATTATTAGTTTAGTTTTTTTTTTTTACTCAATCTATCCAGCAACTGCTGGTCAAATATGAAGTAAGAAAATGAAGTAACTTAGTGAGTTGGAGTTAGGCCTATTGCTTCTATATTTAATTAAAATGGAGGTCTCAGCGCCAAAAAGTCATTTAAGAGAGTTGTAGGACCTAGTACAAGTTAAATAGCAGGCCTACCAATTTTTTAATATTTTTTATTATTGAATCTTAGCACTGTCACATCCAAAGTAAGATCAGAGATTTTTATACTGCAAGAAACTAATATAGCCTACAATGCAGACATGTAACTTAACTGTCAGATAACTTAGGTAAGTTTATGGCCCTAATGCATTAAGTGAGGGGAAAGTGCTGGAATGGGTTATGGAGTTTAAAGATGGGTGTGAAATTTTACATTTTAAAAGAAATATTGAGTCAGAAAATCGTTACGGTACTGATCATGCAAAACAAGGGCATCTCAATCACCCCTGAATCCAAGCAACAATTCATAATATGATGGCTCTCACCCTCCCCCAACAATATCAAATCCAAAGCCTGACTGACTGTTTTTAATCATGTTTTGTTTATCGTACCGGTAGTAAAAAAAACATAGCCCTACCTCACTGACCTTAGCTTGCATGCCGCTGTAGATTTTAATCATTTTAAAAATTACCTAGAAAATGCGAAATGTGTGTAATTAAGTGAGTTGCAGAGTCAAATTCATTCAATAACAATCAAATCGTTAAGATTGCCAAGATCGATTAATAAGTTAGGTACGGTATGTAGGCCTTTGGAATAAACTGCCGACAACTAAACAATCAACTCAATTGACGAAGTTGTAACTTAAGTTAAGTAGACCTACCCCTATAAGTTAGCTTAAATCAAAGTTCTTCTGGAACTTGAAATAAATTACTTTTAATAGTTTACTTTGAAATGGCGACCATACGAACACCATAGACATTTTATTTCTGTCTTATTTGATGGTATTTGACCAGCTTTACACTAGGCTAGGGATGTCATTGATAGTCGATGTTTTCAAAACATCGGTGGTTGATTACGATGTTTTTGACCAAGTATTGAAATATCTAAGTTGTGTTCTATGACTGAATTGTATTCTTAGTTCTAGGTTAACTTAAGGCAATATCAATCAATTTTTGTAAAATCAATCAAGCAACATCAATTTTTAGCCCTAAAACATCGATGTTTTCACTATGATGTTATCAGTAGGCTACATCGACGGTGAAAGATATGGACCTAGGCTATTTTAAGTAGGAGGTCTACACTGTACCCTATTGGCAGATACTTAATTTAGGACCCTCTTTGGATGGATGATTTGTTGTTAAGACTAACGAAGGGGTTTAAAAACCACTAATCCTTTTAACAAATGCTACCATTTTAACTTGTAGGCCTACAAACATTTAAAAAACCAGCAACTGAATAAAATTGGAACAAAGTAGCTTACCTCGTAAGCAAGGTTCCAAGCCCCCTTGTTCTTGTCTATTTCTTGGAATTCAAGCTCGATAGGATTGTGATCGGTTTGCGATTCCATTATACTGTCATTTGACGAATTTATAGCTAATACTGCAAATCGATGTAATTAAAACTGCAACTTGAAATTACACCAAACTCTAAGAAAAGCAAGGCTAAGTTAGGCCAGAATGAGCTGACTACCATTCATTATTACCAAATTACCATATTACAAGAAATCCAGGCTGGGCAACTGCCATTAACAAATATTGGATTCCAACGACTAATATATTGTATATGATACTGATATACTGTATATGATATTGTATATGTATAAAGAATAGATTAGAAACTATATGTATAAAACATACTCCTCAAGGAGTATCTATGCTATTAGCTTATGGAACGTCTAGCGCTAAACAGCACTTGCCAATTCTACCAGGCCGCGGCCTGCAGCTAAAGGTGACCGTGATACTACTCACTGGCAGAGTATTTTAAGGGGAATTGAAAATTGCCACTATTTTTACGACCACGGCACTGTGACACGCTTCCAGTGTTAAAAAAAAAAACAATAGGACGAGATGATGGGTCTACTTGTGTTGGTTAGTCTATAGTCTATGGCCACCCACAATATTAATTTATTGTTAACAACACAAAACAAGTTGCATTTACAAATTAAATATATTGATAAGGTCGACATCCCATTGCTATTAACATAGTGTAATTGTGTAATTATGTTTTGTTTTATCTATGGTGTAATCATTGACTGTGTAATGTTCAAAACCAAACACTTTGCGATTGTGATATTCTGCTCGCAATTTCTCCCAGATGAGCGACTCTCTGATTATGGCGGGAACGGGAGTAGCAGTAGAAGTGGAACGAAAATGAAAAGTTATGCTCCGACGTTTTGGATTTCGAAAGTTTTTATATTGTTAGTCTTTGAAATCCAATTTGGAATTTGGTAAGATATTACTATGATTATATTATGATAGTTTTTTTAGGTTAAGTTTTCTATTATTATATACATGTCAAATCAAATTCAAGTTCTAAGTTTTGGTTAAGGTCACTTTTACCATCTAATTGTATTAATTGTTATGCAGTTTTAAGGATACATTTTTTTTATAGACTATATTGAAGAAGAAGTTTAGAAATAGTCCTATCTGTCAGCTAATGTTATTTCTTACAAAGTAACAAAATATCCAATCTAATCAGTGTTGTGTTAGTTCTCCCATTAAGACTAGGACACGCCTGTAACATTTCAGAATCATTGATACTGGTAAGTGTTTATATTTACTTTAAATAAATTTAGCTAGGCTAATTACATTTGTATGGTATGGTAATAAATATTACAAATAATGACTAAAACATGCTACCCACCTGAAGAGACAAACCTTAACATGTAGCACAAGGATTGTCACAAAGACAAAAGGTGTAGGGTAGAAAGTACCTAGTAAAATTGCCATGTTTTAAAAGATATTCAAGCTCCACCATTGTCAGGCTAACAAAAGGATTTACTTCTTAGGGTCCATTCACACACCAGTTCCGGCACATCACAGTTCAGTCTTATCGGTCACGTCATGGTGAAAAAATGTAATCTTTATCATGGGCTAACCTAATGGATTTTCTCTTGCGCTATTTAGGTTTACACTCAACCAGCGCAGGTCTGTCAGTTGCTCTACCATTGTCCGCTGGTCAATTTCAGATTTATTCCAACCAATATTTTGGGATTGTTCGGACCTGTGATGTAGGCTAGGCCTAACTTAAGTTATGTGTTTGACATTAAAAAAAATCCTATTTTTGTAATTTTAACAATCATCAAGATTGGGTGTAAAAATTGATAGAATAAGTAAGTCATTGTGTTTAAAGTAGGCCTATTTAAAACAAAATCGCTACTTTCCTGAAATGGAATATTCATTATTATTGATGATTTTTTTTCAATAACTTATATCGATATTTTTCTTTTCCGATCAGATCTATTACAAATCGAAAACAACTAACTGATCTTGTTTAGGCTAAAATAGTCTATATGAATTAAGAAATGAAACTGGGCTGCACTTTACTTTAGGTCCTACACTCATTCGAATGAAAATATTGTTTGTTCGATTGTTTCATTCGATATATCGTTTGGTTAGTTAGGTTAGGTTAACCTTACCTAACTAACCAAACGATATACCGAATGAAAAAATCGATTAGTCGATATATCGATCAACATTTTCATTCGAATGAGTGTAGGACCTAATAAGTTAGGCCTAGATCTAGGTGATCTATATAATGGTTTATTTACCTTTACTTTCATCCCAGTTCAAAAATAGTTGTATCCATCTACCACCATGGTTTTGACACTAGTTGCGTCATGGATGGTCACGTTGTTAGCTAGTCTAGAAGTATCATGTAGTCAGTCTCTTGGAGGTAGTCATACTCACACAAACACGAACATACACACGTACATTGTTACAATAACTAAGAAAAATGTATCTCATGGACGGAACAATTTAATTGTACCGTCGCAGGAGACAGCTGGAGGACACTGTGGGTGACGGCGTCTGTGGTTAGATGACTTTGTACCTGTGGACATGGAGGTGTCAGTTGAAGATGCACTTGTCCGGTGAACTTGGGATGTTTGATCTGTGATCTTTTTTGTTTTTAGCGAATTTCCCATATGTTATGTGCCCATTAGCACGACAACTCAAGCAAAAATTGTCCAATTTTGATAATTTAGAAAAAAACTTGTTAACCTACATTTATTCGAATGAGTTTGCGAACCAGCTTGATTGGACTATGGGAACGGGGGTTAATGGGAGGTTTTATGGGGTAAAAATTGGTTTTTCCCATTTTTGACCCTAAAAACATAAAATTTTGCAATTTCTTTCCAAAATATTTTGTAGAGCTTAAAAAACAAATAATTTAGTATATTGAAGCGTTTTTATGGGCTTAACGGTTATGTTGAAAATAAAAACTGTACCTAAATTTGAAATTCCCAAGATAGAATTATGGAGAAACTATTGTAGTTTTCTTGTTTATTTATGTACTAGCTGTACCCGCGGGCTTTGCCCCGTTTAACTTCATATGTGAGCTCGTTCGCATGGCTCAATCACGTCCTGGTTGAAGTTCGTTCGCTACGCTCACTCACCTTTAGGTTGGAGCTCGTTCGCTGCGCTCACACGTCCTGGTTGAAGTTTGTTCGCTACGCTCACTCACCTTTCCGGTTGGCGCTCTTCAGGTTAGCTCGTTCGCTACGCTAACTCGCCTCCGGGTTGAAGTTCGTTCGCTACGCTCACTCACTTTTGGTTTGAAATTAGCTGTTGTAAAATATTTAAAAAAAATAATAGTGCTGCACTCTGTTGGTAATCCTTGTAACTTTAATGATATTGAACATCATAGAACAGAACCCACTTGTTTAATTGAAACAGCTGTTAAGATTCATTAATTCCATTTAAAAATGAGTACTCATTAGGTTAACATGGGAAACTCCAGAGCCACTGGGGCGGAGCCCGAGAGTCCGATCAGAATAAAAACCACTTAGTTTTCCTATTTAATGCCTAAAGAATCAGTGTACCAAATTTCAGCCTCCTTGTTAAGTGGGAAGTGGGAGAATTAGTGATGAGTGAGTGAGTCAGTCAGTCAGTCAGTCAGTCAGTGAGGGCTTTGCCTTTTATATAGATTTAGATAAAATTGCATAGGAGAAGCACTGAAAACGCTTTTCACCACACTACGATGTTTTTAACCGTTTTACAAATTTAATGTTTATTAAATAACTTCTTGATCAGCATTGTACCTGTTTTTAAATTTAAGGAATGTTAATAAAAGAAACATCATATAACTCTTAAAAGATATATTCACGCTTATACTGTTACTCTCAAGACAGTAAATAGACATAACAGATGGTAAGTGGTGATCTATTTCAATCAATAGTGGTAATATGGTATAGTGTGGTGAAAAATAGTGTCCGTACCACAGACCAAAATGGTTTTGCAGCTCTCGATCGTTTTTTAAAAACTTGTCTTGATCCGGCAAAACCTCATTTTTGGCCCTAGGTATGAAATATACTATTAGGAAAAAAGATCCAAACCCATATTTTATAGATGTGCCGAGAATTGAGCCCGTCCCTCCCCCATCGAAGTCCAAGAAGCTGGCTAGCAACACACCCATTAATACTGTATAGCTTTTGGTTGAAGTTTCACTCTTAAAAATGAAATCTTTAAACACTTGTTATCATATTTAAAAAATTTAATTGTGCATTCCAAACAGTTTGTAATAATATATTATTTTATTTTGCAGATGGATTCCTCAAGATTTACTTAACATTTTTCAAAATCAACCCAAGGACATATTTGAAAAGATTCAGGAATATCAAGAAACATTGGTTGATAGCGTTCTTATTAGCACCAGATTTGAATTTGATATTATTGATACAGAAGGTATTGAAAAATCTAAATCAAATTTAGTTTCCAACCACACAACAAATCTCTGAGTAATGTCCGATTCAAAATTCAAAGAGACTGTAATTAAACGTTGGGATAATATCTTTACTTTATATGACATCTCATCCTCACAGGGCTATAAAGTCGAAATTCCTCGATATTAATATACACAATCAACTGTTAAATAAAGTGGAAACCACAATGACACCGACAAAATTAAAAAATGTCTGTGAAGATTCCAGCAACAATGATGGTTCGCCAGTTTTAGATTCAAATGTATCATATTTCTTGCAAGGTAAATCAAATCCTTCATATAACTCCAAAAAGTTTAACACACAAGAAAAAAATCAATCTTTTTTAAATATTTTAGATCAGTTATGCTCTCCACCTGCACCTACTGAAGGAGAAAAATGCCAGTTAGAGGCTATAATTTCTAAAGAGAAGAGACAAGTTAGTCTAACAACTGGCAGTAAAAAACACATGTTTAGTAGAACGGATACACATTATTCTCATGTTCAAATCAACAAAAAACCACAAGAAATTGCCACTGATGATCTGAATATTACAAAAGATGACTTATTTGAAAATATATCTGATATCAGCTTACAAAATTTGTGTGATGCAACTGATCATTTAGTTGACAATCTCACACCTAATCATGAAACTGTTAACAGAGACATTGACCAAAAATTTAGCGCCAAAGAATCAAGTGGTGAGAGGAAAAGACTATTGATTTACTCTAATTCAAATTGCAATGTAGACAAACCATGTACAATAGATTTAAGGAATCTTTTTTCTGAAGTGACAATTTTAGAAGAAGCGAATAAATGCCTGAAGAAACAAGTACACCCAACATCTTCATATGGGGGGATAAAACCTAGTCAAGTTACGGTTCCATGTCCTAATAGTCTATATGAAAAAGGAGATAATTTACAGTCATCAACACATTTGCCTGTAGAAACTAGTAAGAATGAAATAGAAGATGACTTTCTCAATGACTCATTTGGCATTACCAACACTCAGTTTTGTGAGGCTGTTGAAGCAGCTGAGCTTTTATCTAATCTTAATACAGATCATAAAATAAATCTGAATGTCACAGATAATATCAATGTGGTAAAGTATTTGCACACTACTCCAAAAGAATACAACGAATCTTCAAAAAATAACAATAGTATTACTACATTAAAGCAAGTAGTCTCTGATGAGACTGGTTTGGTACCATCCATTGAGAAAGAGGACTTACCACCACAGTGTAATAACAAGACTGAGAACTCATTGGCAATGTTGAGTAACATTGATTGTTTAAAAAATAACACAGATTCACCAAAGAACCACCGTCTTAGACTAAATAGTAATAGTTATAACATTACAAAGCATAAGCTTTCAAAAGGATCAAGTTTTCCTAAAAATGAAGATGATGAATCAGATTATGTACTGAAAGGGTTTCAGACACACAGTAAAAAAGGTGCTACAACATCAGAGAGTCCATTAATTAATGCTAAATTTCAGTTTAACAATATGACTTCACTTGACGAGTCGTGCTTTGAAACAGATAAAATATTAAAAGGTTTCATCACGCAAAACTTAAATGTAACAGAAAATCAAAAATCGTCTACCAAACAAAAGTCAATGCAAAGAGAGATAGAACCCATGCAGCAGTTTAATAACAGTTCAAGTGTAATACAAAATGGTTTTCAAACAGCAAGCGGAAATTCAGTCAAGACGTCAGAAGAATTATTACAGAAAGCAAAGCAGCTTTTCAATGATGAGTCGTTTGTAATGCCAAAGGAATTTGAAAGATTCAGTAATAATTCAAAAGGCTTTCAAACAGCAAATGGAAAGTTACTCTCGATATCTAAGGAATCTATAGAAAAAGTCAAGCAGCTGTTTGATGATGGGCCTGAATTCATGCATTGTCAAACTGCAAGTGATGATTCTTCTACAGTTTCTGAAGAAAATTTTAAAAAGCCCATGCAGCAGTTTGATGATGGACAGAATATAACGCAAAATGGTTTTAAAACTGAAAGAGGAAATACTATCAAAACAATTTCTAAATATTCGCTTAAAAGAGCAAAGGAAATTTTTGATAACGACAAGTTTGATATACCAAAAAGGTATCCAACAGCAAGCAAGAAATCTGTCAAGATGTCAGAAGAGTCATTACAGATAGGCAAGCAGCTGTTTGATGATGAATCAAGTTTGATGCCAAACTGTTCCAAAACTGAAAATTTAAAAAATAAGTCAATAGCCTTCCAAACTGCAAACGGAAAATCTATTAAGATATCAAAGGAATCGTTAAGGAAGGCGAAACAGCTACTTGATGATGGACTTGATTTAATGGAAGAAGATTATCAAATAGCAAGTGAAAATAAACCCATGCAACAAACTGATTTTGGATCAAGTGTATTAAAAAACAGGCTTCAAAGTGCAACTGAAAAATCAATGAAGTTATCAAAAGAATCATTAAAAAGAGACAAACAGCTGTTTAATGATGATCTTAGTACACAATCAAACGGTTTTCAAACTGCAAGTGGAAAGTCAGTTAAGTTATCAGATGAAGCATTACAGAGAGCCAAAAAGCTGTTTGATGATGATCTTAGCACAATTCCAAACTGTTTTCAAACTGTAAGTGGAAAATCAGTCAAGTTATCAGAAGAGGCATTACTGGAAGCCAAAAAGTCGTTTGGTGATGAACTTTGTCAAAACAGTTTTCAAACTGCAAGTGGAAGGTCAGTCAAATTAACAGAAGAGGCATTACAGAAAGCCAAACAGCTGTTTGATGATGATCTTAGTACAATACCCAATGGTTTTCAAACTGCAAGTGGCAAATCAGTCAAGTTATCAGAAGAGGCATTACGGAAAGCCAAACAGCTGTTTGAGGATGAATCAACTGCAATGCCAAATGGTTTTCAAACTGCAAGTGGCAAATCAGTCAAGTTATCAGAAGAGGCATTACAGAAAGCCAAACAGCTGTTTGATGATGAACCAACTGCAATGTCAAATGGTTTTCAAACTGCAAGTGGCAAATCAGTCAAGTTATCACAAGAGGCATTACGGAATTCGAAACAGCTTTTTGATGATGAACCAACTGCAATGTCAAACGGTTTTCAAACTGCAAGTGGCAAATTAGTCAAGTTATCAGAAGAGGCATTACGGAAAGCCAAACAGCTTTTTGATGATGAACCAACTGCAATGTCAAATGGTTTTCAAACTGCAAGTGGCAAATCAGTCAAGTTATCAGAAGAGGCATTACGGAAAGCCAAACAGCTTTTTGATGATGAACCAACTGCTATGCCAAATGGTTTTCAAACTGCAAGTGGCAAATCAGTCAAGTTATCAGAAGAGGCATTACGGAAAGCCAAACAGTTGTTTGATAATGATCTTAGTACAATACCCAATGGATTTCAAACTGCAAGTGGCAAATCAGTCAAGTTATCAGAAGAGGCATTACGGAAAGCCAAACAGCTGTTTGAGGATGAATCAACTGCAATGCCAAATGGTTTTCAAACTGCAAGTGGCAAATCAGTCAAGTTATCAGAAGAGGCATTACAGAAAGCCAAAAAGCTGATTGGTGATGAACCAACTGCAATGTCAAATGGTTTTCAAACTGCAAGTGGCAAATCAGTCAAGTTATCAGAAGAGGCATTACGGAATGCCAAACAGCTTTTTGATGATGAACCAACTGCAATGTCAAACGGTTTTCAAACTGCAAGTGGCAAATTAGTCAAGTTATCAGAAGAGGCATTACAGAAAGCCAAACAGCTGTTTGATGATGAATCAAGTGACATGCCAATCGGTTTTCAAACTGCAAATGACAAATCAGTCAAGTTATCAGAAGAGGCATTACAGAAAGCCAAACAGTTGTTTGATGATGATCTTAGTACAATACCCAACGGTTTTCAAACTGCAAGTGGCAAATCAGTCAAGTTATCAGAAGAGGCATTACGGAAAGCCAAACAGTTGTTTGATGATGATCTTAGTACAATACCCAACGGTTTTCAAACTGCAAGTGGCAAATCAGTCAAGTTATCAGAAGAGGCATTACGGAAAGCCAAACAGCTGTTTGATGATGAACCAACTGCAATGCCAAATGGTTTTCAAACTGCAAGTGGCAAATCAGTCAAGTTATCAGAAGAGGCATTACGGAAAGCCAAACAGCTGTTTGATGATGAACCAACTGCAATGCCAAATGGTTTTCAAACTGCAAGTGGCAAATCAGTCAAGTTATCAGAAGAGGCATTACGGAAAGCCAAACAGCTGTTTGATGATGAACCAACTGCAATGCCAAATGGTTTTCAAACTGCAAGTGGCAAATCAGTCAAGTTATCAGAAGAGGCATTAAGGAAAGCCAAACAGCTTTTTGATGATGAACCAACTGCAATGTTAAATGGTTTTCAAACTGCAAGTGGCAAATCAGTCAAGTTATCAGAAGAGGCATTACAGAAAGCCAAACAGCTGTTTGATGATGAACCAACTGCAATGCCAAATGGTTTTCAAACGGGAAATGGAAAATCAGTTCAAATTTGTAAAGAGTCGTTAGCAAAGGTCAAACAGCTGTTTGAAGACAAATCAAGTGTAATAGCAAATTGTTTTCCAAATTCTTGTGGAAAATCAGTTGAGACATTAGAAGGATCAATTTTGACAGAAAAGGTGCTGGATGACAATCATTCCATGGGTATCCAAACACAATCTAAGAATGTAAGTAGAAACTTGGTTGAAACATCAAAAGAATCATCGGCAAAGGATTTGGATCACAATCCCAACAGTATTCAACAACAAATTGCTCAATCCTCTTGTAGAAAATTAGGCACTGATAGCAAAAAATTAAATGATAAGGTTAAACAGATTTTAGATAGTCAGCAAAGTGGTACCGGTAATAAAGATGAATGTCGAACGATTGATAGAAAATCCGTTGTCATACCTAATCAATCAATTGAAAAAGTCAAGCAACGATTTTATGATGGACCAAGTAGTATTAGCAGTACAGCTGGAAATTCTTCAACAAACAATGACATGTCTCGATCAATGAATAATTCATATCACTCAACCAATCTGGTAGAACACAAACAAAAACGTAAACATCCTTTTGTAACAGACTCTCCCTCTACATCAGGCTTAGTATTTAATAATTCATCGTTAGACAGAAATAAACAATACTATAGCCCTTCAAGGAAAAGAAGAAAATTATTTTTAGAAAACGATGGCACAGTACAAAGTAATGAAACTAACTTTTGTTACAATGACGATGAAATTGATTCAGTTGTGGGTGCTTCAGTAATATCAGAAGCAGATTTAAGTTTGCTCAATCATTCCAAAAGTAGTCTCAGTGGAAATGACTTTCAGTTAAATCACAATACGATGTCGCCCAGCGTCGCTCGGGAAGTTTCAGAAAGTATGGCTGCTCTTTTAGCAGATGAAGCATCCAATTCACCATTCTCTCTCAAACCATTTGTATCGTCTCCAGGGATACTGTACGATAGGGAGGTTAGACTTCCATCAATAAATTGCTATGAAAATGAAATGAATATCAGCAACAAACAGTTGAGCCCTATTTTAGACTCACGTAGTAGTTTTAATAAGGTAAACAATTCAAAAAGACAAGTAGTTGGTAATTCAACCCCTATTACTGTAATAAACAAAACAGTCAGTGAAGTTAAAAACACGTCTAGTTTCAAACCACCTTATGCTACATCTACTCCAGTGGATTCTAAAATCCAATTAAAACGGAAATCGCTGTTTTCAAATGTTTGTCCTCAATCTGAAAAACAATTCAAAGTGTCTGTTGAGTCTAAAAATGAAAATGTTTATGAAGTGTTGAAATTGAGATTAGAAGAAGCTAAGAAGCAGGAACAAAGTATACAAGAAAAAAAGAACCGTGGAAAAATAAAACCTTGTAAAGGTTCACATTTACTGAGGAAGCAAACCGAAAAGGCTGTGAATTTACGATATTTGACAGCCAATGGATGCCTTAGACTCCTTACTCCTCAGCAGGTAACTATAAATTGGACATTTACTCTATTAACTTTTACTATAATATTTTAAAATTTTCTATTGTAGTAGCTACCGTATTTAGAAACAAATTATGTTCCAAACAAACACAAGCTCATGCAGACGAAGAAATGGGGTTAAATACTTAAACCTAAAAAAAAACCACCACCAAAATTTGTTACTGATAAATGTGTAATTTCAGTACCAATCGTTCAATGAGTTTTAACATTGACTATATAGTCAATGGTTTTATTGTAGTTTTACAAATGTTTTATACAAATTAGTGAGTCAAAAGACACTTTTTGCCAATATGATGAACTACATTTTGGTCAAATTTCACCATTATTTGAACAAACTATATTACAAAACTAAAATCGTATTCATTTCAAGATAAGCCTCAAAATTACTTCTAACTTGTTTTCAATTTAATTAGCTTATGTAATCAAGCAGCTGTTTAGTAAGTGATTCAATCGTTTCGTCTAATACGATTGTGTTTGTGTATATTATACTACAGTATCAATATTTCAATCTAATTACAATATACCCCCGCCGCAGCAAACCTGCAGACTAAGCGAATTTCCATTTGACTGATTGGATTTACACTGAAATGTCTACTTAAAAATATAACATTTATTCCCAATTTAAATAGAATTAGTTTAACAAGTACTTAGGTTTGCTGCATCAGGGAGGGTAAAATTGTGTTTTTTTTTGTAAAATGTTAATAGTTATAGTAAGAAATAAAATAATTTTCCAAATTTGATCAAAATACGTTCATAAACAAGCAAACTACAACAGTTTACTTATTCTCCATAAGAATAACATGGGAATTTTAAATTTACAATTTTTTGGAATTTTCTCCGTAACCGTTAAGCGCATAATAACGCTTCAATATACTAAATTATTTGTTTTTTTAAGCTCTACAAAATGGTTTGGAAATAAATTGCAAAATTTTAAGTTTTTTGGGTCAAAAATGGGAAAAACCTATTTTTACCCCATAAAACCCCCCGTAAACACCCGTTCCCATGCTGGATCGCAAACTTGTTCAAATAAACGTAGGTTTACACGTTTGTACCAAATTTCATCAAAATCGGATCATTTTTGCTTGAGTTATCGTGCTGACGGACACATATATATATAAATATATAAATATATATATATATATGAATTTGAACGGATGGTGTTTTTGGCCTCTAGGGACCTCAAAACGAAAAAAAAAATCGGTCCCGCGTCCAGGTCTTACCATGAGTACTACGGTAATAGCTCATTCCCTATATGGGAAATTCGCTAAAAAAAAAAATTAAATAATAATCTATACATACTTTCGATGCATACAATTTTGTTTACTGTACAATCGAATTTTACAACTGAGCTGACAACAGCTGATTTTTACTCCCTAGGGGCTAAACGATTTTTACTCCCTAGAGGCTAAAAACGATTTTTACTCCCTAGAGGCTAAAAACGATTTTTACTCCCTAGAAAGTTAAAATGATACTTTAAACCCTCATTGCATGCATTAGAAATGGTTGTTTTTTTTCTGCATTATGACGAAAAAGCAGTTTACTCCTTTTTACAATTGACGGATTTTATAACTGACTCCTTGAAATAACCAACCACGTCTTATCATCCTTGTGCGCTTTCTCTTACCTTTCTTAGGCCCCTTAGGTTATGAATTTCTGTTGTCTTTCAAAATATTATAAATTCAACTTGTATTTTAGATGTGTTTTAACAGGAAATGTTGTTATTCCTGTCCCTCTTTGGAAATATGTTTATTGTTTTCTGATTCTTACTTTAGCTCCTTTGACTGACAATCGATATATATTTTGCTAATTATCCAAACTTGACTGTCTCTTGATCTCTCTAATAGTTGAGTTTTATTTTATAGTTTTAGTGTTGTTAGACTATATTTGGTTATTAATGTGTTTATATTTTAGATGTAATAAGCCTATTATATTTATTGCTGTTGATTAAAGAATATTAATTCTTGTTCGTTTTAGCTGAAACATTATGGCATCAAAAAGTCTGTAATCGAATTATCATTGAAAAATGTTGGAGAATTCAAGTTTGTTGCAGAGGATTTTTATAGGTAAGTTTGATTGCAACAAATATTATTTGCTCTCTAATCTATAAACAGATTTACAAATTAATATAATTTCCCAGAACCAGTGTTTTTTGAGTAAAAAAAAAAATTTACAACATGAAACTTGGTATTTTGTTTCTCAATTTATGTAAAAATAAAAGTACAATTTTCCTATATCTACCATTGGAAATTTCTTAAAACCTTTAAAACTTGATCCGGCAGGAAAATAAAGAACTTAGACTTCATTTTTGTACCAAATGTCATTCCCAGTGGCATTAACTTTTTTAGGTTGATCTTATCTTTAGCATCACTATTTAGCATCATCATCATGTAACACTTTACAAATTAATAAAAATTATTCGCCCAAGTGGTTCTCATCAGTTATGTTAAAAACACAATAACTAAACATATAAAAAAAGATTAAAATCTATGGTACTACACACATCATATTACAACCCGAGTAAAAAACAGACTGTAGCCTTTCTGGTTTAGTCACCAATAATTCACTATCAATTACTTCATGACTCAACTAACAATTCTAATAAGATTATCAAAATCTTCAAAGACACATTAGATTAAAACACAATATTACACATTAATTGAGAGACATAGTCATTTAATACTAAATTCGGTAACATTTAGTGTGCAATGTTTATTTGGCTGTGTGGCTGGCCAAATAATATGATTATTAGAGTCCAGACACCGAACCATTGAATCAATCTGGAGCAAAATTAATATTTCATTAACCCTGGATTTTATTAGGACTTTTCTTAGACGGATAGATTTTAAAGATTTTTTGAGTATATTATTAGCCTGAACCCCAATCTATACAGATCACAATGGTTGGTAAATTTGAACAATTTGATGTGTTTAGTAAGCAAACTGCGTCTACCAATGTCAAAGGCATTCCAGTCGGAGATGGCGCCCTTTTGGTCCTCGATGAAGAAGGAAAAGCTGGTGTAAAGGAAGTAACAAGGTCGTTCCTAGCCAGTCCCTCTATAGATCCGTCTTTGGTGTCTATTGAATGGGTGGAGAACCATTTTAAATGGATTGTTCTCAAAATGGCAGCAATGGAGAGGATGTTTCCTCAACAGCTGGGAAACAGGTATTTAAATTAACATGTTGTAAACACTTTCCAAAAAAATATATTCCGAGCCACTTCTCGGACTGGACTGCATGACTGTACTCCCTTCATACAAATGATGGAAACTTAACTGATCATTATGAAAACTAAACATAAAGCTGATAATTTTTTATTCATTGTTCAAATCGATTATTCAATTTTTCTGTAAGTCGGGCTAGTTGATATGTCACAATTTCTTTCATTATCTGATACTCATCATTCCCATACAAATATCATACACAAAAAAACTTGTTTCAGAATCTATTTTTACCATCTAGCCATCTTAGGATTGTTTCTATTTAGTCGTTTTATTTTAAATTGTATTTTGCCTATATTTTTTACCTAATGTTTCATTATGTACCTATCATTAGTGGATTTTAAACATAGCCAGCTTGTTTTAACTCATTTAATTAAATTATCTTTGTTATTTTTCCCGTGAAATGTTAAATGACATTTAAATATTATGTAGCAATTTATTATGTAGCAAATTACAAACACTATTTCACTGTAAAATGTTTAAAGGGTAATAAAGATTATTATTCTTGATACTCATTATTTTCATTGTAGATGTTGGCCTCTGGATTGCCAAATAATATTAAAGGTTTAAATTTCTGCTATCAGGTAATCCATCGAATTGCAGACGCAACTAGTTTCACTCAAGAGTAGTAAATTATGTGGTTGCACACCATTAAATTATGTTTTAAGTATGATTAGTAAAGCAATATTAAACTTGTCCTGTCATTTCATGTCACATATGGACCCATCTCTAATTTGACGACGATTCTTGAACTGTATTTTAGTACTGTACTTGATCTCGACCTTTATAATAGTTAGTTGGGAATGGTCGAGGGTTGTGAGCGACTTACAGCTATGTTCGTTTTTCAAGTGTCTTACAGCTACTCTGGTTTCAAATCATGTTAATTATTTTATTTAGTCGTTTATTTATTTGGCAGATACTTGACTCCAAACAACGTGATGCTTCAGATGAAGTATAGATATGATAGAGAAATTGACAGAAGTGAAAGACCAGCTTTGAGGAAGATTTTAGAAAAAGACGAGTCTTCCACCAAAACCATGGTGCTTTTTGTAGCTGATATACTGGATGTAAGTTTTATAACACCCTTAGATTAAGTTTATTGCAATGTTTAGCCCCCATTGGACGCAACTATTAATAATTATAAGGTGGTTACTCATATATATATTTTCTGAATTGTGACTTTTGTTTTGGCTAATCCTAATTTACGGAGACAGACTAATGTTATGCGAGACAGTCAATATTTTGACGTTACTGTAAACTCTTTATTTACAGTCATGCGGGTTGCGTTGATTGTCCCTTGTCATGACCCTTATGGATGCGGTGATGAATATTTTAGTTATTTCTGTAACTCTATGCATTTTATAGATAGGTATTTTGACTTAATGTTTTGGATTTTGGCTCTGGTCTGGTATCGTAAGTTCAATATAGTTTGAAAAAAGCGAAAGAAAAAAAGTAAAAATTTAAGGATTGTTTTGCGGTTTCTTATGTTTTTCAGGCGGCTAGTATCCCTGAGACTGCCTTTTAAATAAAGGGGTGATGTAAATCTTTTATGAACATTGAAATACAATTAATTAGTGTATACATGTTTAATGGTTTTTTTTCTATTGATGCTAGTACTGTGCTAATTTATTTCACAGTTGTACAACATTTAAATAAAAAATAACTTTTCACTTATAAAAAAGTAGTTTTCTGCAGGTTTAATTTTGATGTTTTTCCTCATAAGGTAGAAGTTGAAAAAGAGCAAGAGAAACTGGCAAGAAAAGAGCTGGAACTGAGTGATGGCTGGTATAGTGTCAGAGCTACCATTGATTATGAAATGGAGAGGTTGATCAGAAGTGGGAAAGTTGGAATCGGAACTAAACTGGTTATCTGCGGAGCAGAATTAAGTAACAATGAGACAGGATGTCATCCTCTTGAGGTTAGAATAATTTGCTAGTAGATTTATAGATGAATTATTTTTAACCACTTGCATCTGGCTTGCAATGCAACTCATGTGTATAACTTTGTATACAAGAGGTCAGAAAGCTAACTTAGTAACTCGGAGGTTGCACGGGTATGACCTTTTTTTATATGTTAAACATTTTTAAAATATGAATCAGGTCTTAGCTGATTGCTTATAGTACTCGCCTAGCAATCAGGTCGCCGATTCGATCCTGTGAAAAGTCATTAACTTTTTGATGGGGACCCAGCTGTTCCTTATCATTTGGGCTTAAATAAATGATCCTGGCTAATGAAATAGCTGATATTAGTCAATAACAAAGCTACACAGATCATCTCACACTATTCTACACTCATCCTTCACTCATATTTGGGTTAAAATATGCACCTAGGTGGCGTCCCCATCTCAATGATTGATTATTGATCGTTATTTCAACAATTATCATCAATACGTTAATCTGTGCATTGTGGTGTGTCAGTATTTACATTAATAAACAGTTTTAGAGCAATTATTTTCATCTACACTGTAGTTAATACAAACCACTGCCAACTCTCTGTTGATAAGTCAGTGGCTCAACGGGCAACGTCCACTCGTACGATGAATCCAAGTTAACAATGTCGTGGGTTTGTCCTGGTACTGCCATCATTATTATTCCTCAGTACATTTCATTCGTCTATTTTATTGGTTCTCCCCTTCTTTATTTTATTTGTTTCACACTAACCTCTAGCTTAATGTGGATGGACAATATAAGGTTAGACAAAGCCACCAACCTCTCAAAACAAAAAGATTAATGGTTTTGTGTGAAATTGAATTTTTTAACTGATTCAAAAAAACTAATTTTTTATGTTTATAATACAAAAGTGTTACTCTTAAAGAAAAATACAGTACATTTTGAGGCTGCAATCAGGTGTTAGATAGTAAAGGATATTTTATACATGAAATAATATGCAAAATATAGGGAAATATTAAACATATGCCAAAGAAAATTAAAGTAATATTTGACTATCATATCTGTTGTGTACAGACTCCAGCAAATGTGCGTCTGCGAGTGGCCACCAACAGCACACGGCGCGCTCGATGGTTCACTCGTCTTGGCTTTCACAGCAAAACCCTCCGTCCGATGTGTCTGAGAGACGTGTTGAGCCGAGGGGGGTCTCTGCCTGCACTTACTGCTGTTGTGGCTAGAACATATCCTCTCTTGTTCCTGGAGAAGGTTAATGGGAAAACAGGTCAGCTGAGTTTGTTAATAATGTTTCGGTAAATATTTAATTGGGATAGATTTAATATATGAAATACAGTTTAATATGATTAAAATTACATATAATTTATTGTTATTTATGTTATTTATTGCTGTGTTGCTGAGGCAAAGTACCGACTGGGGTACAAATGGCCAGGGCAGTAAGTAAGTCTAAAGTCGAAAATCACATTGATTATATAACACCAAAACTATCAAGAACAATATTTCTCCTAAGACGCCTGGTTCATTGCTTGGAAACAAATTCTGTTAGAACTGCCTATTTTGCCTACTTTCAATCAATAATTAGATATGGATTAATTCTCTGGGGTAACTGCAGTAGAGTGGATGAAATCTTAATTCTCCAAAAAAGAGCCGTTAGGGTTATCGCTGAATCTGAACTTGATGAACATTGTAAACCTCTTTTTGTTTCAATGAAAATTCCTACTATTATTAATCTGTATATCTTTGATTTAACTGTATATGTAATAAATAACACACAAATACTAAAATTCCATGAACACAGATATAATACTAGAAATAAAAATCATACTTCCATTGACTACCACAGGCTCTCAAAATCTATAAACAGCCATGTTGTTGTAGCTCCAAAGGTTTACAATAAACTCATTGGCCTTATCTCAAAATATGATGTCAAACAATTCAAGAGAAAGTTTTATAACTGGTTATTAATAAACCCACTTTATTCACTTAATGAGTTTTTTTCTTGCCAAATTGCTTTCTAGATCGTTCTATACACTTAAATACAAATCCCACACTCTATTAATTAATAGTCTATATAAATCATTCTTCACATTAAAACTATTATTGAAAACTAATCCTCTCTTTTTTCATTAAGATATGATGTTATCAGAAATTATTTTCTATTTTATCTTGTTATTGATGTTCCAGGCCAGCTTGAAGGAGAAATTGTTTGTTTAATTGTTTTGTTCTATATACTATAAAATTTAAGTTTAATTTTATATTTACATCTACTTTAATTTGCTTCTTGACAATTTGTAAAATGCAATCTGACCTATCCTATTGTACTTTATTGTACCGAATGGAAATAAATATATTTGATTTGATTTGATTTGATTTAAGTAAGTAAGTATAATTTATTGTACTACGCCTAGAAATGTACAGGGGTGACATCTAGTAGTGACAGATTAATCGTGAAGTAATAGGCATGGAAGGTTATATTTTATGGAAAAAAGTCAGTTACTAATATCTTGATTGAAGTTAGATTACCAAAAAGACTCTTGTGGATCTACTATTTGAAGAAGTTCTGACAACGGAAAGCTGTTGTATGAAACTCTTTTTAGTGTAGGCTATCTGTAAGCCCCTACACATCATGGTTTAAGCTGTGTAAACTTTATTCCTTTGTAGTGCTTTAATATTTTTGTTTTAAATCAATATTATTAATAAATAAATTATGGTCAATATTGAGTTTAACATTTTTATATTGCGATAGGGACAGTTAACGTCACAATCAAGACAATCCATGTAAACTCTTTTTCTCACCATGTTTACACATTGCCTCTCATAGCTGTCAATAGCCATAGCTGTACATAGCCAATTTAAAAAATACTCTATTTAGGCTATATTGGTAGGCTCATTTTTTTAAGTAAAGTAACATTTTTATAGTTAGCTACCTGTATTGCTAGTGAAATGGTAGGTAAACTCCGGGCCAAATGGAGGTTTACCCTCTATTACTTTGGGTGACGTAGCTCATGAATTAAACTCCGCACTTGCTTACGAAACCCAACTTTATTATAGCCCACAAAACATACAAAGAACACAACAATCAACAGCAAACAAAAAGATAGAGTAGACTAACAGTGTAAATAATAGAAACCCCAACTTTGAAAACCTTTAAGTCTTACCTGGACTTTGGGCCAAATGCCTTGGGCTCTAACTTCCCCTGCAGGACCCTGTCCTCCACACTAACACTTGACACAAAACTGACCCCCTGATCAAGTACACCGACCTACTTAAAGCCACAGACTTCTGTAGGCCAGCAAGCTATTGTTTAACAACATTTCCAGCCTACTCACAAAGCATTTCCAAACACTTCCTCTTCATAATATTTGACCCCTCCTATCACACTAGTAGCTGGGGTGATGAAGAGATGGTTTTATATACAGATTCAAGTTATGTATTTGCATAGACAAAAAGAATTAAATATAGACTGTCAAGACGTGCTGCGGTTACTATGGTTACCATAGGTTCTGGCGCAGATCGCTGGGAGTGCCGTGTAGTCTACGTAGCGTGTACGCCGTAACTACATGGCGCTCCCAGTGGTGTGCGCCAGAACCTATGGTAACCGCAGCATAGCTGACGGTCTATATTTAATTCTTTTTGTCTATGGCATTTGAGTTTGAACGTGTGTTGCAGTTATCCGGAGTGAGCGTGCGGAGCAATCAGCAGTTGACCAGTATCAGACGAAGCGGCAGCAATGTGCAGAGGTCATACTGAGTCAGCTACAACGAGATGCCCACAGTTCAGGCAGCAACAAGCGACCGGTTTCAAGAGCCACAATAAAGAATGCAACCAGCACAAAACATCTGTATTCTCTGTTGAAGGGTGTGGATGACATGAGTTATTTACAGGTAATAATGTGTTGGGAGTTAAGACTTCGATATCACACGAGGTTTGGTTTTATGTAAAACATTTCCTTCATAGCTATTCTGAGTAGACTTCCTGGATAGGCTTCCACAGTCACTTATTCTACAATCGTGGTCTTCTGGTAACGGCCGTGTCAAATTCAACGAATCAATACTCTCACTCTCCTACTTTTCGACCTGGATACCGAACTGATTAGATCTTCTCAGTTAGGTCACACACTCAAGGTCACAAATTCAAGCCTGTTAGTTTATTTTCAAACTGATGTGTTAACTGTGTGATATTCTTAAGGAACTAGTGTTTTACAACACTAAGAAATAAAGCATCTGTTAATTTTGCAAAAAATGAAAATTAATATGAAAAAGTATTTTCTTATGAAAGATTTCAATTTTTAAAATAAATTTGAATTTATATAAATTTGATCTAAGTCTTTGTTTCAATTTACATTTCACATTTCATCACTACAAATGCCCCTTTATCCATATTTTGACTGTTTGAATCGTAAAAATAGTTAGTAATTTTATGGCAATGTCTTACATGAATCATTTATGGATACTAAATAAAAAAAAAAAAAAAAAAAAACTGATAAACTAGGATTGTATGTGAAGGTAACTGTCCATTTTCTGATTGCAGGACATCTTAAGTAAAGAACAGTTGAGGGAAATTCAACAGCTCAAAGAGGAAGAAACAAGGAAAGTGCATCAACAACTTCAAGACAAACTTGCCGAACAATTAGATAAAAAGATTTTGCCTAGGCATGTCACAAGAATGCTTAAGGTAATAGTTTTAAAATTTAGTTTCAGTTTTACACTTTGATTATACTGTTCATGAGTTATACATAACATCTTCAGCATTCAAAAAGATAATTGTTTTCTTTATATTGTTGTAGTTTACTGTTTGTGGATCTTTGTGGTATGATATGATATAGACCTAGCATGCACTCAAATGTAATATTCCTTTAGTAAGTTATTCAATCATTAGTTCATGCAGTTTCTAAACAGCTAACCAAACATGAAGATCGCCAACATAACATAATACATGCAACACATTTTGTGTTTCCACCACATCATGCTAGATGGCTGCTGGAGAGGCCTTACTGAGAATGGAACTTTCTCACAGACCAATCCTGTTAACCAACATAACCTAAATACAATTTTTCTTCCAACTGTACTATTCACAAAGAATTTGTCCAGTCATTGTCTATGGTGAATATTAAGGTCTTTTACCTTTAATTATTTGCAGGTTCGGTTGGTAGATGAATTAAAGCCGACAGATCACTCGGCTCTATTGACTGTATGGAACCCTTCTGATGACGTTGTCAGTTGCTTGACTGAAGGGAACTTGTTGACATTCTACAATGTTGCAGCCTCCGGAACTTCAAGGTAGGCTGCATGAAAAATGGAAAAATTGAAGGGAACTTTTGAACTAAGTTCAATAAATAAATCAAACCCCCATGATTTGTGTGTTTAAGTAAATGACACGTTGAATTTATAAAGCAATATTCTAAGTGCCATCCAGAAAGTAATTGACAGTAGAAACCCTCATGACCACATGTCACCGACCATGATGGGAATGGCCAAAAGGTCCGATATTGGGAGAAGCATAACCTGCAGTCCTCGCAACCATCGTTGAAAAATTTTGTTTTAGGTTCATGAAAATAAAATTCACATAGAATGCATTCCAAAGGAGAACTAACTGCTCATTTTAAATTCAATTGCATCTGGCATTGTTTTGACATGCCTTGGTGCAATGTTTCTAACTATTTTTTTAATAAGCTTATCTCGTAATTTAAAATAAATACTTAGTTAAATCCTTAATCTCATTTTAAATTTCCTTCAGCTGTTAATTTCACATGCAATACTGAGCTAACTGTTATCATTTGTCATGTTAAGCCAAGTGCCATCTTAGATGAGAAACATTTCTTTAGGCAATTTCAAATACCACATCTTTATTAGGATCACAGACCTTTTACAAGTATTTTTATTCAATGATTTATTAATTTATTCTGGATTAAGATTTTCACCCTAAACACAATTTTTAATTAGTTAAAAGTTTTGCAGCTTTATTATATTGTAAGGATATCCTAGAATTTAAATTATACCCACTGGCTGTTAAATCTAATTTCTACATTTCCAGGTTTGGTGATCTACAGTTGACCGCAGGGAAACAAACCAAGTACAATGTGGAGAGGCGAAGCTGTTGCCTCCGTAAAGTGACTCCACTCTTAGAACTGCAACAGCCAGAACTCAAGCCGCAGTTCTCAGAAGTAGATGTGGTTGGTTTGGTTGTTCAAATTGATGCCACTTCTCCAGACACAACATCTAGTATTGTATATGTTGTTGACGCGGATGACAACTTCTTAGGCATATCATTCTGGACCGATTTGAAGGTTTGTGGGTAATTGATCATTCTGATGTGAAATTTGAGATTATTGTCTATTAAGGCTTAATATACAAATTTCAAGAAATGTAAGGTGCCCAATCGACACAAGTTGTGTGCAAGGGTAAATTCAAATTTGTATGTTTTTTATGACTTCTGAAAAACAGTTTGTTTAAAATAATGAGAACTCTCTGCTGTTGAGAACGAATATACAGCAAGCCTTTTGATCTCCCTAAGACTCATTTCTTGTACTGTAGTTTGGTTAGTTGTACAGTTCCTTCGTTCTTATTGTATTTTCAAACCAAGTGCTTTATCCTCTGAAAACTCAATTTTTCATTTCCAGGTAAAATTTTAAGAGTTGAATAGTATGAATTTTCTATCTCAGCCATTTTAATACATTTTCACCAAACATTTTCTAAAATAAAAATGGGGGTAACTTTGTAGGGGTCATGGAATGTTTGAAAAGTTTGTACATTTGAAAAAACATTTCAAGCATGACCTAGCCATTGAAGCAAAAAGATGAAGCTGACGAAGTTTGTCTGTCTGTTGCAGACGACAGGCTATATCAACACTTTGAGCCACGGGTGTGTGGTAGCGGCCAGTAACTTACACTGGCGGAGACACCTTGTGTCATGGCAGCTACCCTCCGCGTATGCCACCGAGATGTCCACCTTCAGTCAGCACCCCCGCCAGCCCCACCTGGTGGAGGCTATAACTCACTTGCGCAGTCGGATACAGTCACTGGTCAGTGTAATAAATATAAGCATAATTTAATCTTGATGAGTTGAAATTGTTGGGTTTTGTTTGATTAGTAAATTATTAGCCATCCGGCAACATAAACTAATTGAAACATAGCAGTTTGAATTACTGCTTTAGAATTAGGATCTTCTGACACTAATTTTTCAGAATCTTGCCTATCACACTATCAAAATATAATAAACCTATCTTCAGTTTTCTAGTTTTGTCCAGGGAAAGGCTACCTAGGTTTTCTAGCAAAATAAAATGTAATAAAGTTTTATAATTGCAGTTTCTATAAATTTTTTTAAATGTTTGACACCATTTTGCATGCTTGGTATATTCTTAAATATAATCAAATTATATGTTTCAGGATTTAAAATCGTACATTAAAAGCTGTCAGGAAAGAATCGAATCTCTCATTGCCCGACGAAACAGTGGAGGAGCACAAAAAGAATCTGTCCCGTCGGAGGCAAGCAGTGTTTTGCAAGCAAGTAGTTGTGGTGCTTTAACAGGTAGCACCAATCAAAAGCGTGCTGTCAATATACTCAATTCAAGTGATTCTGAAATGTTGGACACACCTACGAATAGAAGGCTAGGAATTTTGGAAAGGTACGGAGAACCGCCTCCCATCTCTCCACTGAGTACATCTACTCCAACCACAGTGAAACGGAGTTTTCGTCCTCCTTTGAGAAAATCTACAAATAGGTGATAGAGCTTTGTTCATGATGCAGAGTTATGTTAGTTAAGTCAATTTTTGTGTGAAGTACAATAGGGATTAATTTAATGTTATCAATATGTTATTATGGTTGTATAGTGAAATGTATAGTATAAACCTACCACATATAGTCAGGTTGTTTATATATGTTTATTGTGTATAATAAAGCAATGTTGTAAAAATGCAGTTTTATAAATGGTTTTTTTTATCCAAAAATATGTCTTCCCATCTTTTGGGAATATTTAAAAACATAATAAAGCTGGTCATTTAACACTTAAATAAGAAAGATATATTGGACGTAATGCGTATCAAAACCCTCACTTGTACAAGCATAATAAAAACTTAAAACTTGACTAACAAGTGCTGCTACTTGGGAGGCTAACTTAGTACTATGCTAAGGTGTTGAGTTTACTGATATTGTCAGTTTTTTAGAACCAAGTCTGATCAATAGACAAGCAGGTTAAGCCTTCTTTCACACCTCTTTCTTTTTGTAGTTTTAAAACTAAGCTAATTTTCTAATTTTTTTGTTGACTAACGAATCTTATGAGTGTATACAATAACCTACTGTGGGAATTTTAGTGCGTTAACACTAAAGCATGTGCACTCAGAGAGACCTAAACCTCTGTCCGGGCCCAATAGAAGACCAGGAATAGCTCAAAATGTCAATCTTTCTGTGGATTTATTCTAAACTAAGTTTAACAATCTTACCTTGCTGCATTTCAACACCAGAGACATTTATAAGTTTAGATTATACAAGAAAAACATTATACAATCTTACATGTTAAAAATATTACGATGATGAAATATTGATGTTCAGTATCAAATTAAGGGGATTTATACACAAACAGCTGCATTCAATTAATTTAATTGGACCAAAACAATATTACATACAGTGAGGTATAAAAGAAAACAATGTACATAAGTCTATTCTGTCAGTGCGATTAGAGCGTTGACAACATTTCCACAGTGTTCTCTTAACGTGCGCTCAGCCAAACTTTGTGAAATCAATGTTTCTTTTACCTGGAACAAAAAATTGTCCATTCAAATTTTTTTAATAGCCTAATTTAAGACTAACATTGTATTTCTTTATCGAATTATTCCAAGTGTTAAGTGTATAAGTTAATAATGGATCCTCATTAACTGTTTGCTTCTTTCAGTACCTAAAATGATTTTCATAAATTTTCTTCTTTCCATTTCTTGATGTGTTGATTTCCGTTGCAAAATTTTAACCCAAAAATGAAAATAACAACATGTGGAAATTATCTTGAAAGGTTTTGAACTATCTTAGACTTGATTCAGCTAATGAGGGGAATCCAATGTTAAAAATGCAAAATAACCTGTCATCTAAAAATTAATTTTATCACGACTTAATATTTAAAAAAATAGATTCCTGAACAGATTATTGGTTACTTACGATTAAATCTACATCTTCTTTCTTTATGATGACTTTGAGCAACTCCTTTTCTTTGGCCATTTTTTCTGCTATCTCCTTATTTCTTTGATCCCCAATGATAGTCATAGCCTGTAAAGAAACGTTTGAAAACATAAGTATTAAAAGGAACTTATTGATAGGGTATAAAGAAGAATTTTATGCCACACTGTTTTAACAAACTTCCAACGCATGGATTTAGTCCAGAAAACAACTGTTTGCTACCAGCTTATTCAAATGGGGATTCATTATGTACTACTGTACTGTAAGGAGTTTTTACTGGACACCGGCTGATTATATTTGACAATAAGTGGTTATAACACTCCCTTGGGGTAAAAAGCCATTTTAATCCCTAGAGAGTAAAAATCATCTGTTGTAAATTTCGATTGTAGCCAATAGCATGGATCAAAATTATTTATTGATTTGATTTATTAGAAAAGGTTTTAGCTTGCATTCTTGTCAATAGTTCAACATATTGATGGTAGCCTATAATGTACTGTAACACAATCGCAATAGATAAAATGATTGAATCACTTGTTAAACAGCAGCTACTTTTGATTAGCGGTATTGAAAACAAGCTGAATGTCGTTTTGAAGGGTTACCTTTAGATAAAAAGTATTTTCATTTTCTAGCTTAATTTGTTAGGTAGGCCTTACTAATTATGCAAAATGGTGGAAAATATAGACTGTAGTTCATCACGAGGGCAAAAAGGGTATTTTCAACCCTTGCTCGCTTTCCGACCTCGGCTTCGCCTCGATCCTAAAGAGCTTGGGTCGAAAAGAGTCACTTTGAGTGATGAAATAGGCTATGCTAGCCTACTTACAGAAAGTAGATCATTTCAATGACAGCTGATATCCCCAAGCTCTAATTTTGAGCAAGGAACAACAATCAGCTGATTAGGAAAGTTTGAGCTATATTTGCGTTTAATTTAATTTTGCTTACAGTACTAAACTTATGAGAAAAATAACAACGATAACAATAACATTAAGAAAGCTTTTTCTTTATTTTATCCTTAACCTTATAAATACATTTTGTAATGAATATATCGGATTGGATAAAATCAATATTTATTATTAAGTTATTCATCTGAGAAAATATAGCAGGTTCTCTGCGGAACTGTACCCATAACTTCTTGTAGGTTGGTCACCAAAAGTGATTTCCTGGCACTCACTCTTACAATTGTCATCACCCTCGGCTTTGCCTCGTACAAAAAAATTTGTCTAATCTCAAATGAATGCTTAACTTTGCATGTGAAATTTGGGGTTCCTGTGCTCGGCTTAGCTTAAAAAACTCTATAGAGTGCACCAGAAAGTAAACTTCCGGTAGTCTACTTGTAATGAACTAACTTAGGGCCAATTCTATTTCAGGTTAAGTCAAGTAGGTGGTACTGTTTTAAAGATTGGTTGGGAGCCCCAAAACTAATCAAATATCTACAACCAATACTTTGCGATAGAAAACTCCTGTTGCTTCTTATGCATAGTGATGGGCGATACAGGTCAATGTATCGATACTGCGTATCGATACGTATCGCAGCGTGGTGTATCGATACGTGTATCGTATCGTATCCTCATGTATCAATTTTTATCTGTATCGGATAAAATATCGTATCGTATTGTTAAAAAAAAATTAAATATCTCAAATATACAAGCTGCATATACAAATACTATGTTACTTACAAGCTTGTAAAGAGGGTTATAATAGGTTATTAATAACTTATTATATTATAAGACCTTCCTGTGTCTTTTTATTTGTATCAAACATACATACATAACCTCCAAATTCCGGTAAACCCTCAAATTGGAAAACATTTTGTTATTGTTTTCCTAGTTTTTACACAGGGATAATTAATTGAACCAAAAAGTAGTAATAACTAGGTGAAACCCGTCGAAATCGACGGTTACTTTAAATGCTTATGCTAATTCATCCAACTGCTATAAATTGAGTTAAATTATACAGATTTTGAGCATTTAGCATTGTTTAAAGAGCAATAAGTGTAAAAACATTATTGATATTAATTGCGTTAGTTACCAAATACGGTCGATCATTCAATGAATAAATTATTTCCTATACCGTACGTCATCGGAGTTATTATTAGTATGTTAACTGGTATCTCTTTTTTTGGAAGAACCTTTAGATAGTATAAAATTGTATTGGTGGATCTTTTGTAGTTAAAAACTTCTGCGATTTCATCAGTGCAATAAAGATTAATCTATGATTTTATTTGAGAAAAAATATCTGTTTGTTGAGAAGACACGTTCTAGCTTCAAAGGGAGGTCCATCCGTTACAGTGTAAGTTTGATTTTTCCTTTGTCACGTCGCGTCAGTTCATACTTCTGTGTCAAAGAATAACCCTCTAGCATAGTTTTGAGAAATTAGTTGTAGGGTTACTGTTAAAGCTAATAAAACACTTCTGCACTTGTATTATTTTGTACAGTACTGTATTGTATTACGCAATCGAAGATTTTTCCAATGATTGAAAACATGTACCTATGACATTAATCTCATGAACCTATGATGATCTGTCTAGAATAATATAATAAAATATAGCCAAAAGTGGCGAAAAAGGCAGACACCAACCCGTACAATAAATATAAGATAGTCTAATAAAAATTAATTGTAAGAGTTACTGTGATAAAAGGATTTTCTACTGATTTCGTAATGGGATGTTATATTGCAAAACATAACATGATACAGACAAAAATCAATTTTAAAATCAGAAAATAACATTGCAAATACTTTTTTTGGACAGTTCAGTAACTCCCAATAAAAATGTGTTGTATAACCCTCCGAGTGTCCATAGTTTAGGCCTTAATGTCCACCTATTTTTGGCCCCTTTGCAAGGTTTTACTAAAACGGATCTGAGAAGCTTAAAACAATGTTAATTCTAATGTTCTATATACCATTTTGTTTGGAAAATCATGGGCTTCAATATTATATATAAAACATAAGGAACATTTTTTCAAAAAAAAATTTTTAGGTAAAAAAAAATATAATTTTGAAAATTTTCAAAAAAAAAATAAGTTCGCGCTCAATGAAATTGTATAAATTATAGGCCTATAAATATTTGAAAATAGCCACTTTGTTCTAAATTTAATGAGGATTACAAATATATAATCATATAGCGAGGTAAGTTATCAAATAAATAAGTTATGAGCGAAAAACGGATTTCAGTACATAGCGTTTAGCTAAGAATGCATAGCCTAACCATAGCTAGGAATCTGGCTGATAATTTACATCAATATCACTACCTACTTCTTCAGGATCATCAACCAGCACTTCAAAACCACTTAAATCTTCTTATAATGCACCACGTATATCACTACTTTTGATTTTTAACACTAAAACAATGATAAACGTAATAAAACACATCAGTCATCGGTCCGGGGGAACCTAGCTGTTTACAAATACACGCACGTCAGCTGTCTGCTACAATATTTTCGGAACTAAAATGAATAGCGCTTAGAGACAGACCTCTATAGAAAGCTTAGAATATTACGGAAAGAACGATACCTAACTCGATCCAGTTCAATCCGATTCAGTCAGTCATAGAGCCTTCGCCGTAAACGATGTTTGTGCGTCTTAAACTCGACGCGTGACCCTACACAAAGTGTGTTGTGCGTCTTAAACTCGACGCGTGACCCTCGGAGGGCTAAATATACAATTGAAAAATTAACAGCTGTTTCATTAAAAGTACTATCCACATGGCCAAAATGTAAACAAATCCGTGGAGGGATCTTTAAAGGCTTCCGGGGCAGAGCCCTAAGGGAATTTACTTCGTTTTTCTTTTGATAACTCATCTACAGACCAAGACCTTTCTTTGGACACCTCTACCAAGTTTCTACGCCCAGCCGTTCTCTCAAATTAGTGGAGACAAAGTTTCCAATTAAATATTTAGATTCCCCCATGTTAATCTTATGGGAGAAAACCCAACTTTGATGGAAGATCCTGCCCAAACTAATAAAGATTTCAAAAAACGAAAAACACTTTGCAAAACTACAGATCAGGGCCTTTCTTTTGACACTTTAACCATTAAAATCGGTCGAAAAATGAGGGAGGAGTTCTGTTTACAAAAATCGGCTTAGCGTATTATATATATAGATGATGGTGGGTATGCCACTTACACATTAAATAGTATACTGTAATATGAACAATGAGGGTCCCCACTTCCATTAATGGTGGCCCTAGTTTTGAGGATATTTACAAAACATAGCTGAAAATACATGTTTTATGAGTGTTTTTGAAGATGCTAGGGTAAAATATCAAATTTCCACTACTACTTTTGAGGGGAGGAAGATGGGAAGACAAATTTCTTACCATAAAAATAAGATTTATATTAATAAATAAACAATACGATATTCGATACGATATTGGCTCTAGGTGTATCGATACGGGCATATCGATACACTCCCACGTATCGATACAAAATATCGATATTTTGCGGTCCTTGTATCGATATCTGTATCGATACGTATCGATACGCACATCACTAGACCTAAATAAGTTAACTTAGGCCTAGCTCTACAGTAAGTCACCAAGTCAGATTATTCTAAGAACTGCAGTTAAGGCTATAATAAACCAACTTAAATGCTATATGGTTTGGACTTTTTGGGTAAAGTCTCTTAACTGGGCAACACTAATATTGATTGAAACTATCGAATGAAAAATCGATTAATAATCAATATTTTTAACTATACTATATATGAGTTATAAAATGAAACTGTCATAACCTAACCTAACTAACCAAACTTGCTGATGTTTTAGCGTAGCCCAGTTAAGAAACTGTACCCCTTTGTTTTTTTAATTACTAGAAAGCCAAGCTAAAATTGGACATCCTCCAATTATTGTAAGATAACAAAAGCTAAGAAGATTTAGGTTAGAAAAGTAACTAAGCCTTAAGTTTTACTTACACCTTGAAATTCATCCGTGGATATAATTTCCTTTTCTTCAGCATAGTCAGTAATCTTTTCTAAATCCCCGGCAGTGGCATTATCGAAACGAGCTGCTTTCTTCTGGGCAGCTTCATCATTATTTTGGTTGGCTTCATCAGAATCACCATTAGTTTCATGCTCGTCGTCTGCCATTTTTTAGTAGCCAAAGCCAACCCAAGCCAGAAGCCAACCAGATTCGTGAAAGAGGAAAGAAAAGAAAAGAAACAAGAAGTAAGAAAGAATGAGATTGAGAATTGAGAAACAGAATTTTTTTGTGAGTGTGGTACGCTGGAATAAAAAAATGCAGGAGCCAAGCCAGACCGAGGTGTCAAAATATTGTAAAGCATAAAATAAACGGTATCAGCATTCTGACACATACTTTCTCCCATAAGTTTGTCAACAACCTTTATCATGTGTAAGCGGTGAGAGTAAATATACAGAAATGGGATTCGTACCATTTTGTTCAGAATATAAAGGACTATGACATACTAAATTTTTATCAAAATCGTTCGGGCCATTTTCGGGAAAATCCTATTTTCCGTTTTTTTATGGGGTTTTATGGGAAAATCCCTATTGAAAATAAAAATTTCTAAAAAATTTAAAAAAAACTATCAAAATTGTAAGGACTATAACATACTATGTTAAATCAAAACCGTATTTTTTTCTAAAATCCTATTTTTTGTTATTTTATGGGGTTTTTATGGGAAAATAACATATTTGACCATAACTTTTGAACCGTAATTTTTACAGATATGGGATTTGTACCATTTTATTCAAAAGTTAAAGGGCTACAACATACTAAATTTTTATCAAAATCGTTCGGGCCATTTTTGAGAAAATCCGATTTTTCCGGTTTTTTATGGGTTTTTATGGGAAAATCCCCATTAAAAATCGAAATTTCAAAAAAATGAAAAAAACGCCTGGAGATACCATAGATTAGAACCTACATACCAAATTTCATCGAAATCGGACCACAGGTGTAGTCTCTAGCTCTGTACACATCCAGACACACAGACACACACACACACACACACACACACACACACAGACATCACTTCGAAAACCACTTTTTTGGGTCCAGGGGGACCCAAAACGAATATATCCACTCAAAACTCAAACTCGAAAATTTTGACGAAAACAATACTTTCTCCATATACTATGGTATAGGGGGAGAAAGTAATAAGCAGTTATGTTATAGAAAATAGAAGCTTGAGATGGATGAAAAGTACTCCACAGTACATTTATTATTAATTTATGGTCGGGGCATCGTGTCATATAGTATTTTTTTATGGTACTGGGTACTGGCTATATTTACAGTTTAATAAATAGTTAAATCAACTAAATGTTTTATATTTTCTACTATATCAGTATATTCTACAATGTATTTTGCATAGTCTTTGATTTAGCTATAGAGGGGGCGTTTCATCCGTGGCCTGACATTAAAGATGTTCCACACTAGTGGTGTAAAAAAAACACACCCGCAGTCACTTAACTCCAGGCCTTTGCCTTAGAAGTGGCAACATCGCAAGCTGGGTTGTAACAGCTGTTTTGTTTGGAGGCAGCTGATAAGGGTATGTTTTATCTATGATGATGTCTACAACACTAAAGAAGACGTCCAAGGTTTTACCACAATTACGGGAAAAAGATTACGTTTTCCGTGACTGTAGGAGCTATGAATATGGCGTCTAAAAGACCGAAGAATATATTAAAGATATCGCGACAATCGCGGGCCACATGTACTGCTAGGGGCGCCACTCAATGTACTTATGCCAATGTCCACCATCCACAAATCACAATTGAGTTTCTTGACCTTTACCGTATCTATGTCTGGTGTATTATAAATTGAATCCAACGTAACCGTATGCCATGGTTGATTCATAATTAGTTAATTATATTTTTAAATGTTATATGTTACTTGGTCTTTTAACTAAGCAGGGATATAAAAACTTAATATCCAGTTAGTACTGGATATATCTAGTGGTTGGTTAAATATAAGTTTTATACACTCTTGTATTATACTGAAGAAACTTTCACTTTTTTAGTAATTATCTTTAGCAAAACGAAAATACTGCCTTTTCGCATATCTGTTTTTATTTCAGAGTGTCTAGGCGTAAATTTATCTTAATACATTGTATTTAAAGACAATTCAAAAAATAAATTTTAGCCTATTTTTAAATAAAAAAAAAATGTATTATAAAGACTTTAAATTAAATTAGCAATAACTTTTTATATAGTACGAACTCAGTCAAATCTGTCATCGGTTAAAAATTAACCAGAGCGTTAACTTGTCAGTATGGGTCTTTATTTGGATTGTTAATCTAACCTATATCACACAAAGTCACTTAGATTACACTAAAAATGGTGGTCGTGTTAGTAATGTAAAGTTTAATGTAACTTAGTTGATATTAGTTTTTGTGCACCTTTTATATTTTGTGACGTGTTAAGTGGAGGAGTGATATTGATATAATGTGCGTAATCATTTTGTGATCAGCGGAAAATATTGAAGATGCAAGGCCTTGGCTGAGAATATTGTAAGGTCAGCTATGTTTGCCTACCATTTGTCATTACACGCATTTGATTGATATCTAAGTGTTCTAGTGGAATGATAGAAACCAAAATTACTTAATGATTAAACCTTTATGAGTAAATTTACAAATTGCCATCATAGTTTCACAATTATCATTTCATATTTAACAAAATTCATTTTTGTAAGCTAAATATTTGGTTAATATAAGTTTAGTTGCTCTAACTTGCCTATCAGATTGCTAAGTTAAAATTGATTTGATCAGATCCCAGGCTTTACTTAGAGAATGTGTTAGAATAATTACCTTATAATCTTTCTGAATTTTGTACTATTAGTTATTAACTGTGCACATTCCTAATCCATATAGGCCTAAGCAAGGTAGGCTTAAGTTACATAGGCCTATCCCACTAAGCAATTTAGGCTATCCTTTAGGCCTACTTTATAACAGCCAGACTCATGAAGCAAAAATATAAGCTATTATAATTATAAACTTAAGTGTCTTTCTAGATTTTACCAAGGCTTTTGACTGCGTCGACCACAGTATCCTCTTGTCAAAGTTAGAACCCTACGGTGTTCGAGGTGTTCCATTGCATTGGATAAAATCTTACCTTTCAAACAGAACTCAACAGGTGTAGGCCTCAAATCATCTGTCAAACCAGCTCTGTTAAAGTATGGTGTCCCGCAGGGATCCATTCATTGGTCCAATTTTATTTTGATTTACGTTAACGCAGGCCCGTTTTTGACCCTGTTAGCGCCCTAGGCACAACTAATAGTAGCGCCCCTTTGCAATATATATATAAGGGTGTCCACCGACCGGGAAATCCGGGAAACATGCGGGAATTTTATGAACCGGGAATTATGTGTGAATTTTGTATTTCTACCTGGAGTTTTCAAACTACCGTGATCGCGCATGACAACCGTTTCCGTGATCGCGGGAGACGATAATATGTCTACACTCGGCTGCGAGATATTCAGAATATTGCCACAATCACGGAAGACGGTGATAGTGTCCACACAACCGCGCGAAACAGCAAGAATTTTACCGCGATTGCGGAAGACGATGATGATCTCCACACAACTGCGGAACATGATTAACATTTTGCGCGGGAGACGATTACCATGTATACACGACCGTGGGAGACGATTACCATGTATACACGACCGCGGGAGACGGTTACGATGTCTACAGGACCGCGGAAGATACAATACCGGTAATGATTTACACGGCCGCGAGGATCAGAATATTGCCGCGATCACGCAAGACAATGATAATGTCCACATGACCGCGGGAAAAAATCAGAATTTTGCCTCATTCACAGAAGACTACAATCTCCATATGTCCACAGGGGATGATTAAAATTTTTCCACAATCGCAGGAGACGATTACGATGTCTACAGGACCGCGGGAGATACAATAATGATTTCTACACGGCCGCGAGGGATGATCAGAATATTGCCGCGATCACGGAAGACGATGATAATGGCCACACGATCGCGGGAAAAGTTCAATACTTTGCCTAATTTGCGGAAGAGGATGATGATCTCCACATGACCGAGGGAGATGATTACCATTTTGTCACAATCGTGGGAGGCGATTAATATATTTTCACACGACCACGGGGGACGATATAATAATGTCTTCACGGCCGCGATGGGTGGTCAGAATTTGACCGCGATCGCGCAAGACGAAGATAATGTCCTTACGACCGCGGGAAAAGATCAGAATTTTGGATCGCGCAAGACGAAGATTAACTACAGGTGAGAGAGTCTTGTAGGGCCGTCTTCAGGGAGCTAGGCCTGCTTACTCTTGCCTCTCTGTATATCTTGGAAGCTGCCACGTTTTCCAAATTTAAATGCAGCCTAACACAAGGCCAGGACATTCACTCATATTCAACTCGAGGCAGAGAGCAATATAGGTTGGCCCAAAACAGGTCCCAAGCGGCCTCAAGCTTGCCCTCTCACACGGGGGTGAGATTTTTGAATATTCTTCCTGAACAAATATGGAAAGAAAGGAACGAAAAACGGTTCAAACTGATTTAAAAAGATATCTGATTAATAAAGAATATTACACTGTGGGTGAGTTTTTTGACACAAATGAGTAGATGGTGTTCGGCTGCTCTGAGGTTCTAAATCAATGAAATGATAAGTTCTGTGTAATTTTTTTAATCATGAGTATTTTTAATTGTTTTATGCTGTTGTATTTAATTGTTTTGATGTCGCTTGTTATGCCTGTAGGCCTATTAAATGTTGACGTATGCCATGCAATTTTATATTTGTTTCACGGCAATAAAGATATTATTATTAGCTACTCATTTGGCTTAATTAGGCCGGAACCAATTCTATTAATTTATACATTTTTTACAGGCCTAGCAGGTACAGTGCCTTAACAAAGACATAAAGAAACTTAGTAACTTCATAAAGCAACTTTTTCCGGTAATGTCTGTCTGTAGTAATTCTGTGATTTTTGCACAACTTTGTCAGCTAGAATTGCACAAAATGGTTGATTGTGTTGTTATCTTATCAAATAATGTCTTTTATCCATTATCAACTTCCACCCAGACAGCTGATAAGTTCAAAGCCCTCAAAGAATTGTGTATGAATGCCATTTAACCTACATTGAAAATATGCTTATCTTATTTAAATTTTATTTTAATAGGTAGGTTACCACTAATTGCCTATTAATAATTTTTTAAGTGAATTCAGAAATGGTTGTGAAAAGGGCTAATAACACAAACAATGTTAATCAGGTTTGGTAAATGGTTAGGTACTTAAAACGTATATCTACTTACTGCCAAAGCGAAAATTATAAATTGTGGCAAAAATTGGTTAAAAATGGTTCCTTTTCAATTAGGGTTTTTTTTCAGTGTTAGTGTGAAACTTCCATAAAAATCTGTGCTTTTTAAGGCCTTTAACTAGACTTCCCATGTAATGTAAAAATTTTAAGCCAAAAAACTTGGTGCAATCTGTTGAGAGGGCTTCTGGGCCGTGACAGACAGAAATTGATATAAGACTTGTTTCGGCTTCTTTAATGTATAAAACGTAAAAAAATAACAAAAAATTATATCATTCTGAGCAATTTACAGACAATATTCTAATTTTAGCGAATTTCCCTATAGGGTAGTAGCTATTACCGTAGGTGGCATGGTAAGACCTAGGCCCGGGATCAATTTTCTTTTTTATTTTGATGACCCCAGAGGCCATTCAAATTCTTATATATTATATTAGCTGTACCTGCGGGCTTTGCCCCGTTTAACTTCTTAATTTTTAAGATGAGCTCGTTCGCATGGCTCAATCACGTCCTGGTTGAAGTTCGTTCGCACGCTCACTCACTTTTAGGTTGGAGCTCGTTCGCTGCGCTCACTTGCCTTCAGGTTAGCTCGTTCGCTACGCTAACTCGCCTCCAGGTTGAAGTTCGTTCGCTACGCTCACTCACCTTTTGGTTGCAAATTAGCTGTTGTCATAAATAAAAAAAAAATAATAGTGCTGCACCCTGTTGGTAATCCTTGTAACTTTAATGCTATTGCACATCATAGAACAGAACCAACTTGTTTAATTGAAACAGCTGTTAAGATTAATTAATTCCATTTAAATATGAGTACTCATAAGGTTAACATGGGAAACTCCAGAGCCACTGGGGCGGAGCCCGAGAGTCCGATCAGAACAAACTTAGTTTTCCTATTTAATGCCTAAAGAATCAGTATACCAAATTTCAGCCTCCTAGGTAAATGGGAAGTGGGAGAATTAGTGATGAGTGAGTCAGTCAGTCAGTCAGTGAGGGCTTTGCCTTTTATATATGTAGGCTATATATATAGATTTATATGTATTATATATGTGTCTGTGAACGCGATAACTTGAGTAATTTTTGTCCGATTTTGATGAAATTTGGTTTAAAAGTGTAAAGCAGGATAAACTTGAATAAGCTCGCGAACCAGCATGATCGGACTATGGTAACGGGGGTTTATGGGGGGTTTTATGGGGTAAAAATAGGTTTTTCCCATTTTTGACCCTAAAAACACAAAATTTCACAATTTCTTTCTAAACCATTTTGTAGAGCTTAAAAGAACAAATAATCTTACTAATATTATAAATGTGAAAGTTTGTGTGTTTGTTTGTTTGAAAGTTGACTTACTTGACTTATTTCCTTGAGCTCCTTGTTTGAAGTTCAATCACGCATAAACGACTGGACGGATTGGGCTGAAATTTGGCATCATGATAGCTCAAATTACTGATTAACATATAGTCATATTCTTATCTGAAAAATCCTTTTGGGCTCCGCCCCAGTGGCTCCGTAGTTCCCCATGTTAACCTTTATGAGTATTCATATTTAAAGGGAATTAAAGAATTTAGTCAGCTGTTTCAACTAAAAAAAAGTTGGTTCTATGATATACAAAAGCATTAAAAAGTTACAAGATTTACCAACAGGGTGCAGTACTATAATTTTTTTTGCATTTATGTTAACGGCTAATTTGAACTTTAAGCAGCAACCAAAAACTGTGAAACGCAATGAGAACTGTCAAAGTAGGATTTTTTACAGTTAGTTATGTTTATGTTTTTAATGTCATAAATAATTTGTGATTTTTTGTGAATTTTAATTCATTTTTCTTTATTGTTTAGGTGAAGTGGTAGAACATTATGGCTATGGTAGATGTGTAATACCATAGTATACCGTCAATTTAAAGAAGCAAACTTTATCAAACTTTGTCCGTCCCCCATTGCAAACGCAAAACTTGAGTATAGCTGCAATAAGCATTTTAAACTTATATGCCAACCCCGTACGAAGTACGGGTACTCTGCTAGTTTAGTATATTCAAGCGTTATTATGCGCCTAATTGTTAAGGAGAAAATTCAAAAAAATTGTAATTTTAAAATTCCCATGTTATTCTTATGGAGAAAAAGTCGTAGTTTGCTTGTTTATTTTGATCAAACTTGGAAAATACATGAATTTCTTACTAAACTACAGTACCTATTAACATTTACATAAAAAAAAACACTTTTTTACCCTCCCTGTTGCAGCAAACCTAAGTAACTTACTTTTTAAGCTAATTCTATTCAAATAGGGAATAAATTGTGATATTTTTAAGGAGACATATTAGTGTGAATCCAATCAGGCAAATGGAAATTCGCTAAGTCTGCAGGTTTGCTGCAGCGGGGGTATTATTTATATAGATTTAACCATTGACTATTGCGTAAAGATTTAACCCAATACACTAGTACCCTCTGGTAATAATAATGAAAATAAAATGCCTTTATTTAAAGCGGTCTTCAGTCAAAACTGGTTTTCAAGATAACTCAAGTGACAAACAATACATTTTACACAATAATTACAAATGGTACAAGCAGTAGGTGAAACTAAACTAGCTTTAATCTGGTCTTAAAAGAATTACATGACAGACTTCATATTTCTTGGGAGGGTATTGTATGCCTGGGGTCCAAAGTATGAGAACCCCTTTTTACCTGTCTCACGCTGTCTGTGCACTCTCAGCATTTCAAGCAAGCCGTCCTGCCTAGTACAGCGTTTCCTAACTGATGTTCGAGGCATAAGTTTCCTTTTCAAATAGGGACTCAAACTCCGCCGGGTTAGCGTCGTCTGTTTTCTTAGCTGATCAGTTACCATAAATGTCTCGTGTTCGTGTTTGTGTCGTCTGTAAATGTTTATTTATTTTCGTGTAAATATGACGCTCTTCGTATGAAGAAAGAAAACTGTCCTTGTGCAGCCTGATGATGGTGTCACACAGACACCGAAACTAGTTGTTCTAACAACAAATTTGGATTGCTTAATAGCAGGTATTTGAACCTTTTTTAAAAATGATTGGTTAATCCTTGAATTGTAAAAGCCAATAACGTCTAAGGTCTATTACTTTCTCCCTCTATACAAAGTAGGGCCTATATGGAAAAAGAAGAAAAAACTAAATTTTCTTCTTCAGAGTCACTCATCTTCAACCACTTGACACAACGCTACTATCTCAGCTCCAACATAAACACAGTATGAGAGCAGAGAAATAATCACAGCTTGCATCGCTGCTCGCGTCGCTGCTCTTATCGCTAGTCGCAGCTCCGACATAAACACACCCTAAGAAGAACTCTTCAGTCGAGAGTAAGACATTCACCAAAAGATGGAAGTGCATAGTGAATTATAGGGAAGACTGTTGATTTAATCAATTCTAGCTTAGCTGTTTCAGAAAGTATCCCTCTCAATCGGTGTAAAATTCTCAACCTATTTGAAACTCTCTGACACGTGTAACTAACATGTGAGCGAAAACTCAGTTGAGAATGCCTAACAACAGAATCAGGCACCAAAAGCATTTGACCGTCCAGCTCTACCTTTCCAACAAGACTATTTTTAGGTTGCAAACAAGAAGACCTGAAATGAAGCATAGTACACCATTCAGAATTCAGTTTTAGACCATGATCGTCAGACCATTGTTTTACCCTTAGCAAGTCAGCGTTAATGAGATTGACTGCTTCATGTAAATCAAAAGGGGTGTAGGAAAGAACTAGTTGACAATCATCAGCGTAGGAATGTAAAGTGGAGAATTTCAGAATGCTATCGAGGTCATGCGTATACAATATGAAAAGTATTGGACCTAGCAAGTTCCTAGGAACCCCCAATTCTCTTTGAAGCAACTCAGAGCACCTACCATTCACCTGAGATCTGTGACAAAGATATGACGAAAACCATTTGAGTGTACTCTCGTGGAATTTTAGAGACTTGAGCTTTGATATGAGCATATCGTAATGAACAGAGTCGAAAGCATCTGGTGAGATGGTCCTGAACTTCATCTATTTTCTTGGGTTCAAATTTTTACATTAGGCTACATGGGAAGTCTACTTTAACTCATCATACAGTTTTCTGTTTAGGAGAAAATCTTGTTATCACAATGTGAAATGCATTTTAAAAAGCTTCAATTTAAATATTATTAGACTCTCAGAGATATAAAACTAGAGTTCACATTGGTAGTTATTTTTCCTTGACAGTATTGGCATTAATAACCAGGAATTGAAAGTTGGCAATGATATTGACTACTATTACATTACGTAGTATACATAAGTACTTTTCTCTATTAGTCAGGACGTCTTCCTACAATAACAACATTATTTGCTTGCTATATTCTGTATTCTATGCCTTAAAACATTGGCCAGTTCAGGTAGACCTGGTCAGGAGACAGCTTCCCTCATACAGACTATAGTAAAGTAGCCTAGATGGCTTGTGTTGGCGTGCTTAGAGACATGCTCAAATCTTCCACCTAAATAATCATTCTCGTAAATGTTTCTCTAAAACTCAAGCTATTTGGAAAGTGATTTCAAATGAATAATATGTAAAATAGTGTTCACAGTTTTATATTTTATCACAACTAGGTACATTTCAGATGTGCAGTATGGTGAACGCTGTAGTGTGATGGGAGAATGGAATCGCCACCGTCTTGTTCAGCCAAGTCGAGTGAAGACAGCGGCCTGCTACTCACCAGTGACTCTATATCTACCAGTAGTGGAAACTGGCAGTTCACTATGGAGGTGAGGTCCTGCTCCTACTTTCCTACAGTGCCAAATACAAACTCTTGATGTTTTAGTTATATGAAAATAAATTCAAGTTATTTTAATAAGCTATAAGCTATAAGAATAAGCTATTACCGTAGGTCTCATGGTAAGACCTGGACCCAGGACCGATTTACTTTTTTGTTTTGAGTTCCCTAGAGGCCAAAAACACCATCCGTTCAAATTCATATATATATATATATGTTTATATATTTATATATATATATGTGTCCGTTAGCACGATAACTCGAACAAAAATTATCCGATTTTGATGAAATTTGGTATAAATGTGTAAACCTACATTTATTCGAACGAGTTCGCGAACCAGCATGATCGGACCATGGGAACGGGGGTTTATGGGGAGTTTTATGGGGTAAAAATGGGTTTTTCCCATTTTAGACCCTAAAAACATAAAATTTTGGAATTTCTTTCCCAACCATTTTGTAGAGCTTAAAAAAAGAAATAATGTAGTATATTGAAGCACTGTTGTATGCCTAAGGGTTATGGAGAAAATTCAAAAAAAGGCAAATTTAAAATTCCCATGTTATTCTTATGGAGAAAATGAAAATTTGTAGTTGACTTGTTTATGGATATATTTTGATCAAATTTTGCAAATTTATTTATTTCATCCTATACTATTGACGTTTGGTCAAAAACACTGTTTACCTTCCCCGTAGCAGCTAACCTAAGCACACGTTAAATCTAATGTTATTTAAATTGGGAATAAATATTTCTTATTTATGGAAATATATTAGTAAATATGTAATCATTGAAATTCGCTTAGTCTGCAGGTTTGCTGCGGCGGGGGTATTTAACCTTTCTCTTAGTTAACTGTTTGAAGTGTTAACTTCTTTTTATAAATCCCATTTGTATCATTTATTTAGGATTGTTGTCCCTTTTTTGTAAGATCAGGGCCACATAATTGGAACAAATAAGCACTTTATAAGCTGGGCCTAAAAAGTACATACCTACTGTACCTTAATTCGTATTTAAGTAACTAATTTCATTTTTCTTCCTATTGGGCCAAAGCTTAAATTTGTCAAAACGTTGACGGAGCTTGATAAACTGAGAACGTATTGCCAAATCTATCTTTAAGTACTGGTAAATAAGCTGGTAATACTGAAATCTTAAGTATTGAGATTTTATACAGATCTCTTGAAAATTGGAAGAAAATATTTGGTACCAGATTTAAATCGGGCATTTCTTGTCAACCCATTTGAAGATGGCAGGTGCCCAACCACACCATAGACAATAAACAAAAACAAGTATCACATCCACACTCTGGATTAATATTCTACAGTCTATTACCAACATCTAAAATCAAACACGACAAACTTAAAACAAAATTAAAATTGTACTTAACATATATGCTTTACTACACTCCCAAGAATGTATTTATCGAACACTTATTCTGCAAAACATAAACAGAAAGTAAACAGACTCAGAAACTGGAAGTAAGTATGGTGCTTAATTGGTTAACAATCTATACCTGATATGATTATTTACAGTTGCTGGAAAGCGAAGGAGAGAAGTCGCTGGATTCTGTGTCGCTGGGTGAAGGATACAACACGGTGAAGAAGAACCCCGGCCTGTTCCCTATAGAGCCTCCGCTGGAGTTCCAGGACACTCCACCTGGCCCCAGACTGTGCTACACTCCGGACACTCTCAGTCGCCGACCTGCGTCTCGCAACTCCATGTCCTCTCGTCTCTCGTCTTCCCACAATTCCCTCTCTGTACCTACAGCCAACAAGGCCGACGACTCCAGCTTCATCACCTCGGCCATGTCTCACGACGTACTCACCACCATCACCGACATGTACAACGTTCCGTTTGACAGTGATATATACACTCTACCGGTGGACTCGTTACGCCCGGGTCCTCAGCGCCCAAAACGACACAGGTGAGTTTGGATATTAGTAGTTTTTGGGTATTTCTTGCATAAATATTTTCACTTTATAAATTTAAAACTACAGCAAATTTGTCAATTTGTAGGCCTATGAGTAATTATTGCGGTTTTAAAATGAAAGCTAGAATATTTGGTTGCTGTTTGTTGCATAGGCATCACTCACATCTTATGTAAATCAAAAGAAAATTCTTCTTTCATCACAGGAGAAGTATTAGATTAGAAATCGTTATTGAATTTACTCATAAAATATTACAACATTTTTTAAATTCAGCATAAACGTATACACATTTTGAAAACACAACTTTGTTTCTGAGAAATGAATCCACATTAGTAAACAAAAAAATGTGTTAAAAACCATTAACAAAACATAAATAATTCAGCAGTTTTTTACATTTTTGAAGGGAGAGTAGGTAAAATGCCTTATCTGAGACTCCTGAATTGATTCACTAAAATTCACCTCTAGTCTGTTGGACATGTTGATTATTTGTCACATTTCTTCAGGTCAGGCCTAGACCTCTTCCTAGTCAAGTCGAGCTTCTTGGCACAGAGAATACCATGGTTGAACTGTGTCAAAACGGTCCAATCGGCATCACCCTAACATTGTTAAAAAGTAATTCAAAAATATAATATGTGTTGAAAAACAACATTTTGAACAGGTAAGAGATATTTTGGGGCCTAATGATTGATACCCACTTACTCTCATCATCCGAAGCCTTATTTTTCCCTACCTGTGCAGCCTTTTCTAAGCAGTTGCAGGGTTGTCTATCTGAAGTATTTTTTTCAAAGTAGGTTTAACTGACACATTACCATATAAAAGTTTGTTCCACCATTTTATGTTGTTGCAGGCATTACCGAAAGCGAAGGAGATACCAGCCCCAGAGTGAGCTAGTGACACCGACCACAGGAGAGCTACCACCGGTGATGGGAGGGACTGTAATAGCAGCCGAGGCCAAGCGGCACAGCGTGCCCGGCACCTCGGGTCAAGCGTGTGAGCCGATACACATGACACTGCAGGAAGTGCGACAGTTCCTGCACAGCCTGTACTCCTCAGCCAGCGACACCTCCGACCACCAGCCGCAGACCAACAGGAAACAGAAGAAGAACACCTTTACCATCAACATAAAAAACCGCAAGAACAAAGGAACCACGACGGAAGTAGAGGTGGCGAGTGAACGCATCGAAAAGAAAAAACCGCAGGGAAAGACTAGTTTTTCATGTACTTTAAAACAGACTCTGTGCAACCTGTTTAGGTTCCGTAGACCGGAACCACCTCCGGACACAGTGATTGTGCTCGGTGTTCCTCACCCCCCACCATTTAGCAAGCGAGCTCTTCCCCCTCTCCCCGTCAGCAACCAAACCTCCCCGAGTGTGGACTCGTTGCATCTGCTCCAAGAGACTGAAGAAACAAATATGGATTTTGCTTCCAGTATAGAAAAAGTCAAAGATGTAAGTTTACAATTTTAACTAATATGGTAGTTCATAAACAATATAAGTAATGTTTAAAGGGTTCAAGATCGTACAAACTTGAAGGTTTCATGATTTTGGGCATAGTTGGTGACACACTTTTGTGTTAAATTACTAATTCATGTACAACCCAGTTTGACATTTACAGCTTAAAGTTGATCTGATGTTGCAGTATGGCTGGTATTGGGGTCCCATCTCAGGAGAGGCAGCAGAGAAGATCTTGTCCAATGAACCTGACGGATCCTTCATAGTCAGAGACAGCAGTGATGATCATTATATATTTTCCCTAACTTTTAAACTGAATGGCTGTGTTAGACATGTCCGAATAGAACATGACCAAGGTAAATATATCTCAAGACAAAACACTCCAAATTATAAATATTTTGTACTTAGTAAATAGTTTGGCTATGATTACCGGCACTTAAACTGTTGAAGATAAAAATATTGCATTAATTGTTTTCATGTTAAAGAGAAAATGAACAATTTTTATAATAAAAAATAATGCTACTTTGGTAAAGTAAAAATATTATCTTTGCCTGTATTTTTAGTCATTGCCTGACTTGCTTCATCTGTAGGCCTATCGTACTTTTTATGAAATGTGTGGTTAGAAGATTTTAAGTTCAAAAAAATAAATAATATGAAAAGATTTTATCATTACCAGTGTTTTTATCATTGCTCTTTAAAAAAAAAATACACATAATAATTTTTATCTGACACTCTCAAGTATTTGAGCCAGCCTTTCAAAGTTATCCAGATAGAAAAGAATCATGGGTTCATTTAGAACTTGTATGCAAATAGTGATAGTTTACATTTATTCCTACTCATTTTATCGACGAGTTTAATAGTTGTTAACAATACTTGTTATACTCTTTTATTTATACTGTATGATTAATTTAGCAAGGTGGTCTTGTGGTAGACCACAGGACTAGCTCCTAAGGTCCTGGGTTCAAATCCTGCCAAATCACCAATAGATTTTATCTAAGTGATAATGCTTCAACCCCTAGGTCTAGTGAAGTAATGTGAAAAACGTTCCCAATCTAGTCCCTAGCGTTCTATGACAAATAAAAAAAACAAAAAACTGTGGTACAGTTGGAATATCACACTAAAGAAACACCTATTCAATTCGGTAACTTACGTTTCCATCTATGTCATTTGCAGGTAATTTTAGTTTCGGAAGCTGTACCAAGTTTAAGAGTCACACGATCGTAGAGTTCATCGAGAACGCTGTTGAACACTCTCGCAGCGGGAGGTACCTGTTCTTCCTGCATCGACGGCCAGTCCTGGGACCAATGAGAGTCCAGCTACTGCATCCTGTGTCTCGGTTCAAACAGGTGCAGAGTCTACAGCACATGTGCAGGTCTGTACCACAGGCGTTTGTAGTAATTATGCTTGTTAATTTCACACGTTTGATTTCCAGCCTCAAATAACTAACATGAGTCTTAATATCACAAAAGTCTTAAATGTAAGTTTTCTAGGTTAAATGAGCTGTAGATGAATTTGAGTTTAGGATACCTATTGCAAAAGATAATTTCAAAAACCTTATATTCAGCATTTCCACTATCTATCAGCCTCCTAATTCCTTTATAGAAATTGAACCCTGTTCGAAATGACAAGGGTTTCACTTAAATGCCTAGATAAACTTTATGTGGCGTACTAAGCATCCCATGTGCCTTAATTAACATTATATGTGTGGTCAACATGTTTGAACATGAAAGTTGCATTTATTTTTGTGTTAAGCAACGGCAGCAATTCCCATCATCAGTAAATAGTATTTAATTATTTTTTCTCCTAGTCCTTGTGGATCAGTCAATAGCTATATGGACTACAAATTCAAGGCAGCAATGCTTCCTGGTGCCAGTACTAACCACTAAATTGTATAAGTGCTTTTACCCTCTTGGTACTGTGCTGGCTCACCCCTTGCTTTGCTGGATACATTTTACACTCAGGCCCATGGCCTATGTGGACAAGTAAATGTAAGGTAAAAAAGCCGCCGTCTAAGGTGTGCCCTCCACTCCAGCTAAGCCACATATTAGCAAGCTCAATATGCAATGCCAAGAACGGGATTGAACTCACGCAGAAAGACCTTGACGCTACACTTGTCAGTGCAACGGCTTAGCCCACTAAGTCACCAAGACACCTTCGGCCAGTATAAGCACACTATGACACTAGCACTCGTAGGTTAGTGAACGTACCACTTGAGACTCCAGCAGTATGACTAACTTGTGGGTAAATGTGACAAGCTACATTTGCCAGCAGTGCCCAGACACTGGGATCCAGTGGGATGACACGATGACACTTGGATTATATTGAATAAGTTATCTAATATTTACATTCTATAAAAAAATTATCTGTTTACTCTTGTTTGCAGATTTGTCATCTTGAAGATGGTTCGTCGGGACCTCATCTCTGCTTTGCCCCTTCCTCGCCGGATCATTGACTACCTAAGCTCCCCACACTACTACTCTGAGAACTTGATAGAAGATGATAGAACAACAGCTTCTCCCTCGTTACATGTGTTTTCATTCGTTCCCCCCAACTCACATTCCTGAGGTAAGTGTCATTTAAAATTAAAACTAATGTTTAGTATATCACAAACTCAACCAGTTGACTTAGAGGTTTAGTTAACTCAGTGTTCAGATAAAAAAGGTTTACTCGACTTGGTGTATAAATAAGGAGTAAAATTGTGTAGTAGTTTCAGGGTGAAAATTACTAGAAAGGTCACACTAAAACTATGAGCACCAACAAAGTAAATCTTATATACAGTACTAGCTGTAACCCGCGGGCTTTGCCCCGTTTAACTTCTTAATTTACAAGATTATCTCGTTCGCATGGCTCAATCACGTCCTGGTTGAAGTTTGTTCGCTACGCTCACTCACCTTTAGGTTGGAGCTCGTTCGCTGCGCTCACTTGCCTTCAGGTAAGCTCGTTCGCTACGCTAACTCGCCTCCAGGTTGAAGTTCGTTCGCTACGCTCACTCACCTTTTGGTTGCAAATTAGCTGTTGTCATAAATGTAAAAGAAATAATAGTGCTGCACCCTGTTGGTAATCCTTGTAACTTTAATGCTATTGAACATCATAGAACAGAACCAACTTGTTTAATTGAAACAGCTGTTAAGATTCATTAATTCCATTTCTCATAAGGTTAACATGGGAAACTCCAGAGTCACTGGGGCGGAGCCCGAAAGGATTTTTGAAATAAGAATATGCCTATATGTTAATCGGGAATGTGAGCTATCATCATGCCAAATTTCAGCCCAATCCGACCAGTATTTTTCGCGTTCACTTGTCACAAACATACATCCAAACTTTCTCATTTATAATATTAGTAGGATTGGGTCTCAGGGCCGCTTTCCCCAAATCAAGTTTAACTTAATCTCGGTCAACTTTAATCGGTGGGTTAAACTTAGGATGGCTTTCCCCACTATTTTGTCATGAAAGTTTAGTTTAACCTAGCTTTTCTTTGCAAGCAACAATGTTGGCAACACTGTTATGCAATTTTGTCTGCAATATTAGCTGTTTAACTTCCCAGTCCCACTATGACATATCTGTCATTAATTTTCTCGTGTTTGGTTATTAGGTTTCGTGTCATTGTCTCCAATTGTTGACATTAAAAAGAAACATTTTTATTTGCAGGCTAATAAATTGTACTGATGCTAATTTATAAGCATTTAATTTATTGTGTTTATTTAAGCTCAAACTTAATTAAACAGTAGGCCTACTGTACGCATCAAATAAAAGCATTTACAATCATGGGAAAATAAAATGTTGGTAAAGACGCAAAATTAATGTTTGTGGATTAAAAACTAGAGCCTATCCTTTGTAATGGCAGGCCTAGGCTACTCAGCATTCGTTCGACACGTTCGATGTTTCTAAACTAAATTTAATTTTAGGCGTACTACAGTAGTTGTTAATTTACACATGATAATAATAGACTAGTGGTTAGGCCCGAATGTTTAATATTTACTTTTGTGTTTGTGTAATGTAAGACTCGTGTTAAAATAAAATCAAACCAAAAGGCTTCTTATGAGCAAACTTTCCAACCACTGTTGCGTTGCTGTGGACAAGGTAACCTATCGATTGTACACAACTACGATACTACCTACCGAAAATATAATAATTTAGGCCTAATCTACGCATTTAAAAACCTTAAAACCATTACTGTATATCTGTAGCCTTATATCTTTAAATTTGAAATAGTCATAAATTAATTGTCTACATAGGTTCTGGTTTGCTATTTCTTAATTTATTTCTAGTGCAATTTATTTTAGGTTATGTTTAACAAATGCCAAACAAGAATATTTGCCATTGCCGTCTGCCGAACTAACGTCGTCGTCAGCCAAGAGCCAATAAAAATCAAGCTATTATTCTTCTCTCCTGGGTTAACCCACGGATCGCCAGTTACACCAGCCTCACCCCTAGGGTTAACTTAAACCAAGTTTAAACGGAGAAATTATTTTGGGGAAAGTGAATCTGAGGTTAAACTAGAGTTTAAACCGCGATCAGAGTTAAACTTGATTTGGGGAAAGCGGCCCTCAGAAGTTTAAAGCTTGATGTGTTTCCAAGCATGTTTGAGTTGGTGAGAATTAACTGAAGGACATATAAAACAAATAAGGCTTGTTCTCTTTGAATTTTTTAAAATCCCCAATAGCTGTTTTTGATTTTAACAAAACAAATAATTGTCCATATTGAAGCGTTATTGTAGGATTAAAAATTTACATATAGGCTATAGCTGGAAAAATATGTAAATACATTGTTATGTGTCCATGAACATAATAACTATAGAGTAATTTGGCCTGATTTTGATGAAATTTAGGATGAACGTTTGAGGCTGGATATACTTGAATGAGTTAAACCAGCAAGATTGGGACTCAAGAACAGGGTGTTCTGGGGTTTTGACATTTTTCAAATATTGGTTTTTCAAATTATTACCCTAAACAATGTTTATGTTTTAATGCAATTTGTATATAGTAAAGTAATATATATATATATGTTAAAGTTTTAACAAAATAGTGTTTTTGTTGGAATATCAAAATGAGAAAGTAAATCGGTCTAGGTCTTACAGTGCCACTTCTCAAAGTAGCTTCTTTCCTATAGAGAAATTCAGTTATGAAACCTCCACTTTTCTTGATTCTCAATTCAGTTTGTTCATTGTACTTGTGGTACTTTTCTCACTCACTCTCTCGCCCTTGTTTCAGGCCTGGTGGTGGTCTATTGCCCAGAAGAGCAATAAGAGATGGTTAACGGGCACAGCCACGCTCAATTCTTCTAAGTCTGACTCTATGTGTGCTTTATCATTAGGAATTGTATTTACGGTGAGATTTCAATTTTGATGAGTAAAGTGGTGATTTTTGTGCAATCGTTTAAACACCTTAAATACTATTCTTTTTTAATCATGGGGAAAGGTAGAAAATTATAGACTTAAACGGGTATTTTGAATGTTATGTATTAAAAAAACAGACTTCATCTAAACAAGTTTGATTTTAGTATAAATAACAAAATTTGAATTTCTGTTTAACAAATTAGTTAAATTTGAAACAGATTTTGATAAATTCTGTGCCCAATTTATCTTTTAATTGAACAAAACTTAATAAATAAATATTCCCTCCATCGTGTGCTCTTACCTGACTTGTCTAGGTATCTGGTAAAGGAAAGAATAAAAATTGTAAAATACTACTTTGGTAAACTTAGTCATTTCAAGGTTACAGTAGAAATTTTGGTCAAGTGGTTAAGTTACAATTATAAAATTACCTGTAGGAAATGATTAGTATTTAATTTTATAATTTACTTTGGTAAACAATTTTTTATTGGCGTTTTTTATTCACTTAAGTCTGCGTTTGACTGTAAAAAATTTGAAGCGGTAATGAAGTAACAAACCAATCAAATAAAACTTTCAATTGTTTGTCTTACACCTATAATGCTGTTTTCCAATCTTTTAACATTTAGTTGCCAATACAACTTGAGAAAAAAAAAAACTACTTCTATTTTTTCCATTCAGTTAAGTTGATTAGTATATATTGTGTATTAATTTACCGATTGCTTGTAGCCTAAGTATAAAATACCTTGTGAAGTTTGTTTTCCAGCGCAATTAAAGAATACTAAAAATTATGTAGTAAATTACATTTTTGTATCAACTATCAAGATTCATTTAGTTTTGTTTTAAGGGTCATCTTCTTTCCGATGAAGCTTGTGAAATTAATTGCGTTGCAATGTTTTGTCCATGTTAGATTAATAGATCGAGGGACCAAGTATGCAAAAAGCGGGACAATTATTTAAACTAGATATTAACCACAAGTACTATTAGAAGTATTCATATCAAAAACTGATTTTGAATTGATAAATTAAAGTGTAATTTTTGCAAGAAATTAAATAATCTTTAGTATTTGTAACCCTAATAGCAACACTGATTTATTTTAATAATAAAGTATATCTTTACACAGAATAACTAAAGCAAATTCACCGATTAGTTGAAAGGAAAAATGTTTCCAATGCAACCAAATATGACACGTTTCAAAAAGCCTGTAACTCCATGCAATAACTAAGAATTTATGTTGGATTTTTTGTAGTGTTAAAGTATAGTTTTTAAGATTTTCAATAATGTGTGTTGTGCACCATATTTTATAATTTCAAGTTAATATTGTTATATTTTGTTGACTTGTTTTAAGTACTTATTACTCATCTGTATACCAAAGTTATTATGTGATCGACAGATATTTTTGTTGTAGAATTATATTTATTGAAAATGTATAGTGTTTATATTGTGTATATTATTCTTTAGTTAAATGAATTATTGAAATTTTAAACCTTCAACATACCATGTGGGTTTATATTTGAAAATACATTAAATACATCTTAAGCACTAACAATGTTAACAACACAACAACAATGTTAACAATGTGAATGTTAATAATGTTCATTTTAGGGCTTTATAAAATCAGCATACCTTATACCTTAACCCTCCGAGTGTCACGTGTTTTGGCCTTAATGTCAGCCTATTTTTTGCTCATTTGCAAGGTTTTATTAAAACTGATCTGAGAAGCTTAAAAACAATGTTAATTATACTGTTCTATATACCATTTTGTTTGGAAAATCTTGGGCTTCAATATTATATATAAAACATAAGGAAGATTTAAAAAAAAAAAAAATTTTTTAGGTAAAAAAATGTATAATTTCGAAAATTTTCAAAAAAAAATAAGTTTGCGCTCAATGAAATTGTATAAATTATAGGCCTATAAATATTTGAAAATAGCCACTTTGTTCTAAATTTTATGAGGATTACAAATCTATAATAATATAAGGAAGTAGATTTGCAAATAAAAAAGTTATGGGCAAAAAACAGATTTCAGTACATAGCGTTTAGCTAAGAATGCATAGCCCAACCATAGCTAGGAATCTGGCTGATAATTTACATCAATATCACTACCTACTTCTTCAGGATCATCAACCAGCACTTCAAAACCACTTAAATCTTCTTATAATGCACCACGTATATCACTACTTTTGATTTTTAACACTAAAACAATGATAAACGTAATAAAACACATCAGTCATCGGTCCGAGGGTAAACTAGCTGTTTACAAATACACGCACGTCAGCTCAGTCAGCTGTCTGCTACAATATTTTCGGAACTAAAATGACTAGTGCTTAGAGACAGACCTCTGCAGAAAGCTTAGAATATTACGGACAGAACGATACCTAACTCAATCCAGTACAGTCCGATTCAGTTAGTCATAGAGCCTTCGCCGTAAACAGTGTTCGCGAGTCGCTGCAGCGACGCACGACACTATACAAAGTGCGTTACGCGTCGCTGCAGCGACGCATGACACTCGGAGGGTTAAGAACCATGATATTGTAAATTGGAATTAAGAAGGTTTTTTTATATTTTATTCTTCTCAAGTAGCCTACTCTATTGTGTTATTCCAAAAGGCATACATTTTTTTCTTAAGACATTTTATCTAACGTTATTAAGTTAATCAGTACCTATATGAAACTGGTTCTAAGTTGAACATAAACTTTTTTATTTATGGTTTATACAATAAACTGGGTCCCCTCTAAAATATGAAAATGAAGTCCACAGGCATATTTGTGTATTATTTTTGACGTCGATAAGGGCCAGGCATATGAGGTAGCCCACAGTTATGGGTGTCCTTGCATGCAATCGACACCTGACCAGACCTAGTCAATATACACATTTGATAAAAACTTAAGTGGTTCAGAATTAACAGATTTTTTTGTAATTTATTCACAATTCAATCATGTCATGATGATTAAAATGTTATTTAATGACTTGATTTGGGTTTTAAATATTGCTTATTTAAATATATTAAATATTTATGCTTTAAAAGTCTAGTTAACTAAAAAAATATTCTTGGGATGTTTTTCTTGTGATATTTTAATAATTTTGTTTTTTTTTGGGACAGAACCCTCTAGAAATTAAAACAATTGCAAGTCATCAATACAATTTTTTCGATTGGTAATTTCACATATTCCTGCCATCGCAAGAGATTTTAGAATTTTATTTTTTTTAGTGTGTTTTTTACGCCAATAGAATTTTTTTAAAGGAAACGGTCCAAACTCTGGTCTTGTTATCTAACATCGTCCTTTTTGTTAGATGGTATCGAGCAAAAGGCCAGCGACCTTAAGATTTGAAGGTGAGCACTATAACCGCCCGGCTACCAGACATTATAAATTCCAAGTCAAGAATTAAAAAAATCAACACTATAAAAAGTTATGAGAAATCGAGAAAAAAAAAACCATCTTAATCTAAGTTTTTTCAAGGTTAATAAAATTCAGTTTTACGGTTTCCTTATTTACATAGTCATTGCTATAGGTACATTGTCAAATAAAAAAGTAATTTATAAGTTATAAAATAAATGGAATGTATGTTTTTTTGTATGAAATTTCATTTTAAATAACTGGAATGTTTTTATCTATAATTCATTTCAAATTTTTGTCCCTTAAAATAATAAAACTATATTACAGTTAAGTGATGAAGTATCTGTGTAAGAATAGTAACAGCCCAAGAATCAACTATGCCGAACATACATGTTTTCTCGTATTAATGCTAAGAGAATTTAATTTGTTAATATCCATCTGTAGAGAATTGTGTTTCATTGATCTAAAGATACACCATCTTCGTACATTCTAGTTGGTAAAACATAAAACAAGCACCATTTACACTGATTTGATTTTTCTATACTTTAATCCAATAGAGAAAACAAAATGTCTTTTAATACAAAAATCACTTTTTATCAGGTCTAACAACAGTCTTTGTAGTGAGTGATAAAATAAATTCAACTCCATATTATATGTGGTACTGAATTGTTATGGAAAGATTGATTTGTTTGTATTCCATCACACAATTTCTTGCTCTATGTTCCCTGTTGTCTTCTTCAACAAACTTCTAATTACTGTCCAACTATGTGTCATAAAGATAATGATGGAATTTATAATTTCAAGAACTCCAGTGACAAAGTGTATATTACAATTTGGATATTTGTGATAAATCAAAAAGAGCTTATTAAAGTAGGCTTATCATAGTTCTCTTCATATGTACAGTGTCTGGGTGTGTTTTAGGAACCTGTTGTAATTTCAATTGTTTTCTCTTAATGGGAAAATAATGTACAAAAAAGCACAAATTTCTAGTAACTCTAGTTTACTTTTTACTGCAATTTAAGTGTTTTAAAGGTGTAAATTAGTATTGTATTTAATATGTTAATTCGTCCAGTTTAGGATGGTACCCATTGTTTAAACTAAGTAAATAGAATGTACAGAATGTGAGGTCAATAAATAATTATTCTAAATCCTGTGTTTTATTTACTATTTTCAATTTGTGAATATATTTGTTGTATGAATCCTCTGTAATCCCCGTGATATTGCTAACCAACAGTTGCAGGAAGATTCATTGAAATATTTTGAAAATGTCAAATATTTCTAGTGAAATTGATATAGAATTAAATGCTTAAACGAGTTGTGTTTGTAATAATCTTTTTATTAATCGGACTCGGGGTAAGTGGACGAATAAATATGACAGTTACATATTAATGTTTAGAAGAAAGTGTAATATATGCTTATGCTAACTTTCATAAGAAGGTATTAGGTATTAATGAAACGGCCACAAACTCGGGTGAAGAGACGGACAGACATAGACGGTTTTGTGATTTAGGTGGAGAGGGGATCAGGTGATGTTTTGTAGCCAATGCCGTTTACTGAAAATCATATTAGTACCGATACCGTAGTGGCATGATGTACATGGAAACCATACCAAAAATTAATACAACTAAAATTCACATGATATATTACAATCACCTTAATTAATCATAATAATAATCATGTTTATTAGCACATAAAATACAGAGCTAACGGGTACATGTGCTTTGTCAAGGATTGTTTTATCAACGCCTATTGGAGTAAATAAAAATCAATTTTGAAAGCGACAAAACTTTAATGAAAATGTAAATTACAGTGTTTTTACACATAAGGGTAAAATAACATAGATATCTTTGAGGAAATCGAGTGAACTAAAGCCGATCACAGATCACTGCTGATTGAAGTAGTACTTGGTTGAGTTGGGATACTTGTCCTTGTTGTTGTTGCTGTTGTAGTCTGGGTCGGAGGCTAATCTCTGGGCAAGTGTCCTCCGCACTTGCTCACTATACGCAGTACGCAGGTCGCGATCTTGCCCAGCACGTGCTGCTATCACGTCCACCTCTGGGCCTGAACTCATCCCTGCTGCCCCCAGCGCAACCGCCATGCTCTCTACGGCATATGTTTTCATTAGAACTACTTTACAGTTACAAAAATATGTATCATTTCATTAGTTGGTGCCTCATCACTTTATCATGATGATGGTACTGAAACATTTGATGCAATATAACGTTATAAATAGCGTCGAGGTTGGTATTAATACTAGTGACAAACGTCTACAATGGTGGTGTCTCCAAACCAATCTTGGATGAAATAATAAACCTCAGTAGCGTTTTCTTGAGTTCACAATAAATTGTTCAAATTTGTCTGACAAACGGTTGTACAGATTTAGGCTTGTATGTAAGGGACTTTCTACTATACTTCTTTGACAAAATGTAAGACGTTCGAGGAGACACAATTCCATCCCCTCCACCTCACCCTAACTTTGAAACAACAGAATGATCAGCTGATATATAGATTAAGCTTAAATAAGTGGTGGGGAACCCAGGAAACCTCCTTAAACAGTCTAAATTTTGTGAACGGACTATAGGCTGCGTCGTGTCTAGGATAGCTATAGAGGTTATTTTTCTACTGTTGTACTTTTTTTATTTTTCACATTTTGTAGACATAATTTTAAAAATCATAAATAATCAGACTAGGAAAATCTTAATACCTGGAGTGATTATTTTTACTGGAAGCTTTAACGCTTATGTTTGCCGAAATCTTGCACATCTTTTCTTATCTAAAATATAACATGAACTGCATGACTTTACTATGCTTAAACTAACTGATAAACACTACCTAGATTGACAACTGCCAACTTTAATTAAATTGAAACTTAAAACACAAAAACAATTTTATTACATCTTGGTACAAAATATAACAATAAGTTTAAAAACCCCTGAATTATCTCCATTAGGACATGAGGGACACCATGTAATTCATACTTTTCAATCAATACCTGATATGACTTGTGTGAGGTTGCCCTGGGGTTTGGCAGAGCTTATAACCTTGCGTCTCTTGGACGGCATGCCAGAAAGGTAGGCATCACTAAAGGGAGTCTGAGGGCTCTGTCGTCGCTGTCGCTGCGAATCTCTCGTGATGATTGGTACCCAGGCCTGAAATGTTAATAAGATCACAAAACCTCATCTTGGAAAATCAACATCTTTTAAAATTTAGAAACAATACTCATAATACCAGAAATAAGAACCATAACACAATAGAATTCTATTGTTTAAGTAAAACTCTAAATAGTGACATAGTTTAGTCACTTAAAATTAAGAACTTTCTTGAATCCATAATTAAATCACACAATATAAAGGATTTCAAAAAGAATAAATTTTATTGTTGGCTGACCAATAAACCCCTTTCAACAAAGTAGCTATTACCGTAGGTGACATGGGAAGACCAATTATGAAGCAAATCGTAAATAACAGTTATGAAATGGGTAGAAATAACTTCAATTCAATTCAATTCCTTAATTCACGGCAGAAGCCATTGTACAATAATACCATTACATACGGGAGATAACAAGCAATAATAAATACTAAATAATACAATAGGTGAACACAAGATGCATAAGAATAGTAATATAACTAAACAGAACGTACAAAAATAAGTAACAGGTGGACTCTGAACAAAAGAAGCTATCATTACAAGAAGATACAGAATAACTTACAGAAGGCAGGGCGCCCTGCCAGCCCATGACCTGGTTGATGTGTTGTGTAGGTGGCACATCAGCCACTGGCGGTTCACGCATCAGGGTCACAGCAGACGCCGCTTCTTCAGCGTCTTGCACGTCCATTGGCTAAACATAAAGAACAATGTTAACATTGGCTTGGCAGAGTAATAAACTTTTGAGAAATATTTCAGTGGTAAAACTATTTGAGTGGGGGGATTAGAGTAGTTACAAAATGATTCACAGCTTGTACACACTGTTGAAATGAGTTGCCAACATGTAATACAGTAGAACTTTGATATCTCCAAGCTGATGGGGGTATGGGTGAAAATACGAGCAAGAAAAGTTTGAGTTATCAAAGTACAATACCAAAATTCGAGATATGAGCTAAGAAAAATGAATGTACAAAGCCTTATTATATACTTCTAGACAATTTATTGTGCTTCTAATTGATTGGGTTTGGTATTTTATACAAAAAAAAACAATATTTACTAAACAAAAAAACAATGTGATATGGCTCATCACAAAGTGTTATCTATTAAATGTTAAATTACAGTAGAAGCCTTGGCATAACCGACTCCTCGGGATATCTGACCTGGTGGCCGACTGTCTACTTGTTTCCTGTCTGTGGCGACAACACAGAGCATATTCGGTTAACCAAATGACCGATCTTGGGTGTTGCCTTAATCACGGCAGACGATCACGACTATCACCCAGACTGAAAGATGCAATGACTGAAAGACAGGCATTGGCACAATCACGGGCGAACTAATACCCATGTCACCCAGACTGCTGGATTTGCTCACAGTCCCGGGAGATTTGCTCACAATTACCGGTTTCACTGAGACAGCAAATTATGCTTCTCCTGATATCCGAGCTTTTGGCCATTCCGACCATGGGGGGTCCCATCACAGTCGGATATGAGGGGTTTTACTGTAGGTCTAACTGAATTACACAAGTGTAAATGCTAAACAGTAAAGTACTTCATTCTAGTTAAACACATTATCAAACAAAGCGCATATAACTTATTCTACCGAATTATCACTATTATTTACTATAAGGACTATGAAATTGGACTTTAGCCTGTAAATAGAAAGGCTAGGCTCCTGTCCAATCAAAAAATCAAATTTCAGTGCACTACGGATGTTGGCCGATGGCCCATTCATCAGTGTGTGTTGGACTAACCGCCAACTGTGAAGTGACTCTGACTGACCTCAGCAGCAGGTGGCACGGCGGGTGGCGAAGTGGCCGGTTGTGGTGAGGCTGCAGCAGTGTTACCAGCACGATAGACCAAGAAAGGCTTGATGTCGTCCACAGGAACGTTAAGAGAGCTGATGAACGTGTGGAAGTTGACCACAGAGTGAGACACTGTCCACTCCTGCAGAAATCCTGGCATACCAGTGGTCATCTGGTTCTGGAGACAAACCAAAATATATTGTCAAACAAAAATAATATATTCATAGTTTGCGGATATTGTGACACCAGAGTTTATTATTTTTTTAAGTTTGGGCTTTAACCTAGAACATTTTCTCATTTAACTCAAAATAAAATTAGAGATAACTACAAGTTTAGTGTTAGGAATCCTATATCATGAATGTCTTCAAAATCACAAAACTGTCAATGGTACACTCATAGTTCACCTAGCAAAATACACAGCTTATGCTAGCAATGGCAGTTTTACAATGTCTGATAAAGCCATTTTAATAAACTGTTGACAGAAACACTAGACCACCTATAGGCACCTATTTACACTTATAGGTTGTGGTGAAAATTGTGTGTATAGTTTCAGCTGTTAGTTCAGGTGGCACACCAGTCTGTTTACAATCGTCACTGTGCTAGGCGATAATCAGATGGCGCTGTGTTGAGGGTTCCCAGTGTTTCCTAGGTAATATTCTACTCATAAAACCAGAGGTACTATACTTGAAACATTATAACAAGTAAGACTTGACAATCATCATTAGTGTATGTTTTCAAATTGTTTGACAGTAAAACATACTAATTTGTTAAATTATAAAATAAAATAATGTAGATTCAGGGTGTCAAGTTTATTTCCATTTTAAAATTCAAGACTAATTCCAGAATTTTTAATACTAATTCCAGATTTTTCAAAACTAGTTTTTTTCAACAAATAGTGAGTGTCGATACCAAAATGTATCAATTCTTGTTTCTTGATACCGATACAAATTTTAATTTATAGTTTAACCAAATATCTAAATAATTTGGTTGTACTACTGACACCCTGTCTTTGTGTTGCAAGTTATTATTATGATAATGGTTTAAAAGTAGACAAAATGCAGCAATGAAAAATTCTAACTAGCCAATTAGGGTTTATTATCATGAAATCTTCCGCAGACGTGTAGACATCATCACTGACTACCGCGGTCACGGAAACGTCATCGTCGTCGTCTGCGATCGCGGCAAAAGCATGACCATTTCCCGCAGCCGTGTAGACATCACCGTCATCTCCCACGGTCACAAGGCAAATGTAATGGAATTTGAATTGGGATGTTAAGTTGTTACTTCTGTTTCTAGCAAGATTGAATTATATTAGGGACACATTCAGAGAAGAAATCTTGCAAAATTACCGCTGCTGTGCAAAATCAACCCCATTTTAAGTGGCTGCAATTCTTTTTTTTTAAATTTTGGAAATAAAAATGATTTTCAGAATGACTTAAAAATACATTTGAAATAATAGTGAGAATCAATTTTTACAGCAGATTATACATCGTATTTTATAAAATTTTTAGTATTGAATTTGACTATTACCACAGAAAACATACTACTATAACCCAGAATGCCAACCGCATGGTAAAAAGCGCGTTTTGAGAGAGCTTTGCCTGTCAATTCGTAGGCAGCGCCACCAGCGTTGCTATGCTGAGTGCATGGTAGTAGTATGTTTTCTGTGCTATTACTGTTCAAATTCAATACTAATTACTGTACAACTCGTAAAACTCCACTGCAAAGTTGAAAATAAAAGAAACATACCCATTAATGATAACTCACCACAAAAGATCGGAGAATAGTTTCCAGCCCGGATGCCCCGTCAAGACAGCAGTGGAGGAGCAGAGCACACAGCTGACGTACGTACAACGAACACTGCCTCATCAGTGTCCTGTGAAACGTCGTCTGACCTGACAACACAGCCTCATAGTTTAAATGTTCATGATGAAGAGCTCAAGTGGTTCAGTTCATATTTACAAAGCAGACAACAAAAAAGTAGAGATGTGCGAGCACAGGTTTTTCAGGTCGAGTCAAGTTTGAGTCGAGTAATTGGCAAAAGATTTGATTCTCAAGTTTGAGTCGAGTTTAAACCAAAAAGAGCGAAGGATGTGTAAGTAACTCTTTGGGGCTAGAGCATGTAACTTGTAAAACAACCCTGTTACAAGCTGAATTTGTGCAGTAGCATATCAATGTGTAGAAAATACCCCCGCTGCAGCAAACCTGCCGACTAAGCGAATTTCCATGTGTCTGAATTGATTTTCAGTTAAATATATTTTAATAACATTAGGTTTAACGAGTACCTAGGTTTGCTGCTACAAGGAAACTAAGAAAGTGTGTTTTTGAGTAAAATATTGATAGCTTAGTACAAAATAAATAAATTTGCCAAGTTTGATCAAAATATATTCATAAACAAGCAAACTACAACATTTGACAATATTCTCCATAAGAATAACATGGGAATTTTAAATTTATAATTTTTTTAATGTTCTCCGTTACTAATAATCGAACAAAAATACTTTTATATACTAAATTATTTGTTTTTTTAAGCTCTTTAAAAAGGTCTATAGAGAATTTGGAAATTTTGTGTTTTGGGGGTCAAAAGTGAGAAAAACCAATTTTTACCCCATAAAACCCCCCGTATAGCACCGTTCCCATGGTCCGATCGTGCTGGTTCGCGAACTCATTCAAGTTTATCCTGCTTTACACCTTTAAACCAAATTTCATCAAAATCGGACAAAAATTACTCAAGTTATCGCGTTCACGGACGTATATATATATATATATATATATATATATATATATATATATATATATATATATAAGTCTATATATATATACATATATAAAAATTTGAACGAATAGTGGTTTTGGCCTCTGGGGACATCAAAATGAAAAAGTAAATCGGTCCCGGGTCTAGGTCTTACCGTGCCACCTACGGTAATAGCTACTTCCCTATAGGGAAATTCGCTAATAATTTTAAAACAACAACAATAGAGCTCATAAATGAACTTATACTTCTTTGAAAAATAGGTAAGTGAGCATATATTTATTTATCTAAAAATTAATTACATTAATCCCTACTGATAAGTAATATTGCATAATACTTGGCTAAAATTACTTAAAACTTGCATATATTAGTTATTAAGGTTGCAATTACGATAAGAAGTTTAATATAGAGATTTATTCTGCAACTTGAAATTTTATTTCCTACCTTTTCAACTTTAGTTTTGTAAGTTTATTAACATTCATCTTAGTTGGTGTGGTTTTTGTAACAGTAGGCCTACAAAATTTTCAATGGTTTGACAGTGGGTAAAGGAGAAGTAATTTTTAAATTAAAGAAAATGAAATTTTTGAATCTCCTTTGTTAATTGTAAACAAATATTCTGTCATAATACTCAAAATTTATGTTCAAAATTTAGTAATTAAACAGGCGTACAAGTAGCACCTTACTATGTTAAACAAAACCAATAATTGTAGATTAAACGTTGTACTGAATAATGTAATAGGTCCATACAATAGTAGTTATAGAACTCGGATGATACATACACTAGGCCTAATTCACTGTTATTCTCCCCAAGAAAGAATGGAAGAACAAGAGAAAGTATAGTGATGTTTTTTATGTCGTTATCTTTATCCTTATTAGGAATGTTATTATTATCTTTATGTGTGATTTTATATTTATTTATGATTTGTCTATGTTTTAAAAGTTTACAGAATAATTATTTTCAACCACGGGAACATCAATTTATAATTATCGACTTATAACAGATGCGTTATAAAGGTCAATGACTCAATACATCATGATTGTGCAATGTTGTATTTTGAGTAAAAATGCAAATCATGACATTAACTCAAATTTGAATAATATTTCTCCTGGTCCCTTGCAGATTGTATTATCAATGCTAAATAATTGTGGTAAATTCAAATTACATTTTTGATGATTCAAATCTCCTACACAAAAAGACATAAGTCAAACCAGGTGAGGAAAAAACCAGCTATTGTGATTTGTAATCCCCCTACCCGGCCATATGGGAAGTGGTGAAAGTCTAGTCTAAATATAGCTCAAAGGTCTGACCCTCCCCCTTCCCCCCAAACGTCTACTTCATTCACTATTGCTATACGCTCACTTCAGGTCATTGCACAACCCCTCCCTCCCTTCTATTGTTTTCCATTGCCAGTCAGTCAGTCAGTCACTGGCGACTGCTTTGAGTTGACTATTCTGTTGTAACAGCTATTAAAATAGGTTAGGACAACTACCTCTTTCTTATTTCTACACTGTAAAAATATTTGTATTACTGTAGAATCTACAGTGAACTGCCGAGTTCAAAGATAAGCTCGAGTTTCAAGGCCGTACTCGACTCGAACTCAAAATCTCGAGTACTCGCACATCTCTACAAAAAATTAAATACTCTTACACTCAAAATGTTTACTCTGAATACAAAAATATTAAATGTAGTGTCCCCCAGGGATCTATTTTGGGCCCTCTTTTATTTATTTATTAAATGGGGTGTTCCCACTAGCTGCCAATGGAGTAGGTTCAGTGTGTCTTTATGCTGATGACACCTACATCACAGTTACAGAAAATTGCCTAGAGGAAGTCAAACAGAAAGCTTTTCAAGTAAGAAACTGAACTCTAAAGTAGCAACGATCTCCTAATAAATTACAGTAAATCAAATTTTATATCATTCTCTATAAAACAATCAAGATTTGAATTGAACCGGAATATTTACCTTGATAAATCAAACTTGCGCCAAGTTGAGCCCACCAAATTTCTCGGATTGATAATGGATCAAAACCTAAATTGGGATAAGCATGTTGAGCATGTAATTGGTAAAATGTCAAAAGGTTGATACACCCTGCGACAAATGTCAAGGCGATTCTGGTTTCCCTTCAAAACGAATGAATCTTTCGCCTTTTACTAAAGATTTCCGTGGAGGGGAACACACGATGAGTCTATAAACAAATTTTTAATTAGCGCCCGATCCTTATGGGATTGGGCCATTAAAAAAAAAAAGAAAAAATGGTAGGTATGGGGGTTTAGTGAGTGGGAGAAAATTTCGCGCCGTTCTGGCCAAACCTCGCATGCGGGGTTGGTTCGGCAGATTGGCCACAACCTAAACCCCAACTCTCACTTGTTAGCTGCGGAGAGCTACCTTCTGCCACTGGGTGTTGGTCCACCTACAGAACCAAGTGAGGGGGGCCCTAGACTAAGGTGTAATGCGATCCGTGCCAAGAGTCTTGTGGCACTGGGGGCCTAATATTCAGTGTCTTAACGGAGCCCTCTGGGAACCAGGGGTAACCCAGTCGTACGCACCCCTTACCTCTCTAATCGGGTCACTGGGGAGGTGGACTTAAATACCCGGTATTCGTGAGAACAATGTAGACAATCTGACCCAAATGGAGGAGGAAGGTCTACTGAAATATGACGATGACGACAAGCTCGCAGAAACCGGAAAGGAACGAAAAACGACTTTCCAGGGGCGAGTTGCAAAGATGGAGGATAGCGGATGCTTAAGCTAAAGGCGAAAAGGTGCTATCCAGAAGTGAGAGGAGGCTGGTGTGGGCTGCCAAGCACCCTAACTCTGCTGCCTGCAAAGCCAGTTCCTCCGGGAGCTAGGATGCTGGGAAAAAGCAGAGCAAGGGTGGTACCCCCAAAGCTGACTCTAATGAAGCCTCCAGGAAGAAAGGTGGAGGCTGTGCTAACGCAGCCACAAAGGATTGGCTGGTCAAGCAAGTTCAGGAGCTGAGTCCTTTCAGGAAAATCTCGTTACGGCTTGTCCCAGCCAGAGACCTTGTGAAAGCTGTGAAGGTATATTTATGTACCCAGCCCTACAAGGTCTGCGAATGAGATCCCTCGTACGAAAAACGACTTACCAGGGGTGAGTTGCAAAGACAGAGGATAGCGGATGCTTTAGCCAAAGGTGAAAAGGTGCTATCCAGAAGTGAGAGGAGGCTGGTGTGGGCTGCCAAGCACCCTAACTCTGCTGCCTGCAAAGCCAGTTCCTCCGGGAACTAGGATGCTGGGAAAAAGCAGGGCAAGGGTGGTACCCCCAAAGCTGACTCTAATGAAGCCTCCAGGAAGAAAGGTGGAGGTTGTGCTGACGCAGCCACAAAGGATTGGCTGGTCAAGCAAGTTCAGGAGCTGAGTCCTTTCGGGGAAATCTCTCTACGGCTTGCCCCAGCCAGAGACCTTGTGAAAGCTGTGAAGGTATATTTATGTGTCCAGCCCTACAACGTCTGCGTATGAGATCCCTTGGCCTATTGATGGGAGATCAAAGGGAAAAACAGGTCACCATAGTCAAAAGGCTCTCACGGTTCACCAAAGACCTGGGATTTGACGGAGAATGAGGATCTGTGAACGAGGGTGCACAATAAGCTGTTCTAGCTGCGATGCAATCCATGGTAACTTGTAAGCCCCCTATTAAAAAAAAAAAAAAAAAAAAAAAAAAAATGTCAAGGGTGTGTGATAATGATACCTTGAAAACCATCTACTTTACTTTGCTTTGATAAATTCTCACAAGCCCTATGGTATAACAATTTATGGAGGTTTCTAGATTTAAAAAAAATCACCAATCAGTGAAACTTTTTTTTATTAGGTACACCTAATATCATGTCTATGACTTGTACATTTATGAAACGATATTACATGTAAAAAATTAAACCTCAAAACTAATAGTAAAAACAAGTTGGACAACAATTTAAGTTTTTTGAGAAGAAAAGTAATTTCATCGGTGTCAAGTTCTTTATCTTGTTCTAAACTGCCGCGAACGGGATATGACGGACAACTGCGCGTCGCCGTTTAACCACCACTCCCGTGATAGAGATGTGCGTAAAATACTAGAACAGTCTTATTGGAACAGGTATCGTTCTGGAACAGTTCCATACTAGAACAGTCAGGCGATATTACCCGTTCCATCCATGATATCATGTTCTGTGCCAGTCAGCTGAGTATCTGTCTGCTACGTCGTCGTACGGTATTGTACTTAGCTCTGGTGGTGATTCCTCTAATTAGGATAATGCAGGCTACTGCTGCGCGTCTACTGCAGACCTTTTGGGTGTTTTTGGTACTATTCAGTCGTGGCAGCGATTCTCGTATTTCGCTCATTGAAGCTTAGTGTATAACGTGAATCTGTTGTGTTGCACTATATTTATTGCTAGTGACATATAATAATGGAGATGAGGAGGTGATAATAAGGTATCGGTACCTGCTGAGTTCAGAACTGGGTATTGTCAACAACTTCTCAGAAGATAACGATTCTCCCTCTACCAACCCCCACCCCCTCACCACATCATGATTACTTCAACTTACAAAGATAAACTTCGAGTTGTTGAGGCATGTGATCGAGAAACTTAAGAGTGGTGATTAATAGAGGTTAACTATTACAGATTACAAAACGTAAAAATTTGCCTTATGATGGTTAAATATTTAAAGCCTTTGACTTATAAAGGTATTTTTTTTTTTACATTGTGATTTACTGGGCAAAAGGGGATTATGAACAATTGGAGATATCAAGGAATTTGGGATATCAAGGTTCGAGTTACTGAGGTCTTACTTTTGTACCAAAGAGGGTGTTGCATGTTTCAAACCTCTCAGACCAGGAAACACATTAAAATAATTAAAGTAGCTAATGTTGGTGGTTTACATTTACTTTATTATTTGAACAAAAAAATTAATTAAATTTATTTCTTTAATACGATCAACCAATCTAGAAAAAAGCTAAATATAGGCTACTTCATAAAAGTGGTATAATAATCAACCAAAATGTACATATCAATAGAAACATATCAAATAGTTTAGAGTCTGTCAACAAAAATAATCAAACAGCAGTTGTATCAACTCAAAATGCATGAATAATTTGTCCCAAAAAGAGGAATGAATTCATAAATATTAGGGATGAGTCGATTCTCGATACCGATACCTGATTTTGCCGCCATCATACAAGACGACGATGACGTTTCTTTAAACTTGGGAGTCGATGATGATGTCTACATGGCCGTGGGAGATTTTCATTACAGCATTATTTTTTTTTTTTTTGCTTGAAAAACACCTAGCTTGGGGTTGCTGTAGTGTAACTGATCCAATCAGAAAATTTTGTAATACTATTAAAAGGGGTATTGGTATTGCGAATTTGATTGATCGAAGAATAGATTTTTCAGGTTTTGGTATCGGTATCGAGAATCGATAAATTTTGGTATCGACGCATCACTCAATAATAAATATTATTATTTCGTTTTGACTGATTAAAACAACACAAACTTTTTGAAAATGAAATTATTCTGGAATACTTACTCTCCTCCATAACAGTGTTGAGGATGCTGGGTAGCAATGAGTGATTGTAAAGACTTATAGAAGCAGGTAAGTCAAATTCCTCCCTCAACCTGGCATTATCCTGAAAAAACAAATTAAATTAGTTCAATCTGTCAGAATATGCAGGTGCCTGCCCTATCCAGGGTGTCTACATGTTCACTAAAAGTAAAATCTAGGACTTTTGGTAGCCTAAATTTAAAAATAGGTGACCTCGGAATGCGTACGCTACAGAATTTGATTTTACAACAAAAATAAAAAAGCCAACCAGTATTTGAATACAGTAGACTCTCCCTCATCCGTATCGGCCTTGTCCGGACTCCCGCTAGTCCGGGTCGGCAATCTTGATTTTTTTAGCGGCACAGTACAGTAGAAGTCTGATTATCCGAGCTAAACGGGACCAAGACTACCTTGGATAGTCAAAATTTTGGAAAACACGGCGGTAAAAATTATTACCTGTGGAATTGCATTTGCCTGGCCATCAATACTGTGGACCTGGAACAAAATTGGAAAAAGGGCTATATACAGCACTGTATTCGCTCGACTCTCGATAGTCCGGATTTATCGTAATTCGGACCGGACGTCCGCCACATTAGTCCGGATGAGCGAGAGTTTACTGTATTGAATATAAAATAAATCATAAAATTTAAATCTTTTAAACCTGGCAACTAATTGAAACCAGCAATGTATGTCATATGTTATTTTGAAAACCTAATGATATTTTGTTAAATAATATTAACCAAAAAATAAAAATATAGGCAGAATAAGGTTGGGGAAAGCTGAAACCACCCAACTAGTACATCCGTATTCCACCCCCCCCCCCCCCACAACCCCCAGATTTTAATTTTTTGTGACCTTAGTCACTAAGGTGCCACCTGACTACCCTACAGTTGCAGAAAAACGTGTTAAGGTGAAAACAAACAACTTCATAAGCCCACATATATCTACTTATTATTTACTTACAAATATATTGTAGTACTGGCGGAGCTCGTTGTTAAAGCGCTCAATGATCTGTGTAATGGCGGAGATGGTGAGAGGCTGGTTGTTGAGGAGACGCTGAGATATCAACTCTTGCAACTGAGGTCGAGCTCTCACCAGACACTCTGAGTTGCCTAGTCCAAGCTGTACCATGTCCAGGAACGACAAACTCTCCGCCTGAACACCAAACACTCACTTGTAATCCGAGTCTTACATAAAGTAAACATAAAAGCATCTGTGACTTTACGGTAACATTTCATCTACATGTTATTCCATTCCTTCATAGCAAGAATCAGTTAAGGAGTAACTGTAAAGTAATTACAGCATCAACATCATTAAACTTAGTTCAGTTATCATCCAAAGTGAGGAAAAGCAGTCAGCAAAGTGGGCACAGCAAAATATTTACAAAATCAGCTGTTTTGTGCAAACTAACTCTAGTGAACAAAATGCCACTTTGTATGACAACTAACTGCAGACAAAACATTACTGACTATGAGTAGAATGTCAGCAGTTACTTTTTCTACTTACCAGAGTCATGAACACATCTGTGAAGATGCTTTCTCCTGGAGTGTAGGAATATCCAGGCACATTCTGTAGCAGCTGAGCCAAAGTTGACGGGTTCTGGGAAAATGAACAGGTGAAAACAGGTGAGTACCTAATATTTCAATAAATAAAAAAGGAGCCATGAAGACGCCCATCATCGTAATACAAAATCTGATAACAAATTAATAGTTATACATGTAACAGTTAAAAAGTTCCCGGAATTAATTTCTGTAGACATTTAGCGCGATCGCCAGCAGGAAATTTGCCTTGTAGTAGCCTAGCGAGTACAATTTAATCAATTGTTATTATCCGATTTACGTACAACTTGTCGTCCTCGCTCAATGTTTACGTCATTGACTGTGTAAGGATATCCACTAAGAGGGTCATCGTCAATGCTTTCACGGCCTTCACAAACAGTTTGTGCCACTCATAAACTTGACTTTTCTTCATCGCCTTTTCTCTATAAGCTTGAATTAACAACTCAAAAGTCTAGGTGGTTTTTTAAGTAAAATACAGAACTTAATGTTCGCATGCTGTTTGTTAAATGCCATTTTTCAATGCAGGTACACGACCGATCGTAACCGACAATGTAGGCTTGCAGGTACACAGAAAGCGCTTTCCAATGCTAGAATACTGCTCGTCAGCTATACCCCCACTACCGGAATGCCCTCCCCAGGAGTTGTACCAACTAATGCAAGGCGAATTTCCCGCTGGAAAATCGCGCTAAATTTCTACAGAAATTAATCATGGGAACTTTTTGACTAAAGTAGTAGTAAAAAAATTGGTATAAATGGATAAATGTGAAAAAAATGTTTGCCAATAAAATTAAACGTTACCGTACCTAAACTTTTTGACATCTCAAACGACTCAGTACTTACGAAGTAGCCTCTTAACCATTCTGAATGCGAGTATGCACCTAATGGTATTTTTCCACATGATCACAGTTTACTGACTTACTTATATATGTACATTATTGCTAATGCTACTCACATTAGGGTCACGTATGGCCTGGTAGATGACTGACAGTTCTGGAGGCATTGGTTGGGGAATTACGGTGGATGCTACGGTGGCTCTCGGCACTCGACGATGTGCTCCTCTGCTAGCTCCCCTTGACGTTCCCCTCCCCACTCCCCTATCAGTACTCCTACTTCCACTCCCCGTTCCTGCAACAGTGATCAATGAAGATGTAATGAGTCCAAAATTAATAGGTATGCAGTATGCAAGGAAATGTTGGGTTGAATTGGACATCTCAATTGGATTTCAAACTCATTTCCTGTGGAGTCAATCTCCACAACACTGTTTGAATGTCCCGCCAATCTCAACCTCTACCGCTGCTCGCGCATGCGCAAGGAGGCAAGCGGGTAAGACGAGTGAAAAACGTCTGTCGTGTGTCGTGCTCCTGACTGCAAACACCATGGAAGGCTAAGTTCTTGGGAAATGGGGGGACGCCCCCTTAAGGTATTGTGTCGTAGCACTAATTATTGATAATATGTAATTTCAGATCATGGTAGCAATTCACTATAACATTCTTTCCATTATTAGTAATTCATCATTAAATAAAATGTTAGTTCACGTTGTGTCCAGTCAACTCATACAGTAATTATTTCATAAGTTGAACAATGTACATATTTCTGTGATATAAATTCATTAATTAATGAAACAATCATCAAAGCTGGCTATTAGGGCCTGTGATTTGCGGTAAATTGTCTCCTCTGCATCAATAAATGTGTTCAGTTAACGTTTCCAACAAGAACGATTTGGTCTGGAATTTAATTCACATGACCAAGTCACCAAAATGTGGCACCATTATGCCACAAGTGGTAGCAGAGCAAAAGAGTTCGATCCAATTTTATAGACAAACCGCAATTTTAGCAGGTCCGAAGTCATTAAAAAAATGTTTTAAATTAAATTTGCCTACACGTGTTGTGCGATCTGGCGTGTGTCGACAGGAAACGATGACTCATGTCCCAGCCGGTCAAGGTTACGCAATACGTGTGGTAGTTTCCATTGCAGTTCAAACTCTTGCTGAACGCATTTTACTCCGATCAAAGTTGTTAAAATAGCTATGTAGGCCCAGTGATTTCAATTTTTTCCCGTAACTACGCAATTGTAAGTTGTAATATCACATAGTAATATCACATAGTTAATTTTGTCACTTTTGTAGTTTGTCAGTTTGTGTATTCAGGCAAAAAATATAAATAAATATTAATAGATCAGTGTAGGACAAAAAAATGAATAATACTTGATTGCTAGCAGTAAATATTTTATTCTAGTATGAACTTGGAGGATTGTTGGATCTACATAATTTAATGATTATTTTCAGAAGCTTCATATCTTGTTCATGTCTATTACTTGGTAACTAATTAATTGTTGTATAATTATCATATTTAATATTTATTGTGTTACCAATATTTGAAGTTTAAGATCCAGCAATATCTCTGGTCTTAGTTTTAAGTGTAATCAAGTGTTGTTTATTTGTGGACAGGAGATTTAAATGGGTACTATTTTGCAACAATAGATTCTTTGCAACATTTTGTAATATGTCCACGAGTTAGAGAGTTATAATTGTTCAACATTGATCGTAAACGTAAAAAAAAAAAAAAATAATAAAAATCCAGAAAATCTGAATACACGAATCATTAAGCTTTAATTGATGTTTAACTAGGTTCAGTTCACCCAGTATTATTTATGTGTATTTTCAGCAGTATGTCACCGTATGTTTAATTCACGAGTTTCATTTAGTATTTGTAGTGAATTTAATTGGTAAATATTTAATTCAATTTCATTGCTTAGTCACTGGGATTTTTTCAATATTGTGTTTATTACACCAGCATTTTACAAACACATTTACATTAGTTTTCAACAATACAGTTTTGAATTTATGCTACTCTTGAGAACAGCGCAAACATCGAACCAATAGATTTAATATCCAGCCGACAGTAGCCAAACAGCTGACTATCATTTGACCGGATTTGACCTTGGCCCACATAGTTTCCTTTGTTCGCGCGGAACTCGTTTGTTTACTAACACAGCCGTAGCATTGAACACTGTCCAATATCAACTACAGACATTCGCATCAGAATAAAATTGAGTCTTTAGGATTGCTCTCGTCGCACAAATCTTGTTAATGCATTTCCCACGAACATAATAGGTTGACAGATTTACAATCGCAGCTATTTACCACCACAATCCATACCATTTGTATTATATTTGTATTACTGTATTTGTGCTATTTATTCTGACCTGTCATTACATTGTTCATTAACTTGTCATTACATTGCTCATTACATTTGCATCTCTCATTAATTTGTTCGTCATATTGTTAGATACATTATTAATTATGCAACGACAATTACCCGAGATATTATTGGTAGGGGATTCCCAATTTTGTAGGTACAGAGATTATTTAAATAAACTTCCTTCGCACATGCAACAATTGAAGGTCAATTCGAATAGCATAACAGTGTCTGGAACTACGACGGCCAACTTGAAGGCAATTTTAAAACAACGTCGCCAACAATTAGCTAGTATGTGTGTTAGGCCAATTGTAGTTTTATTCGCAGCAACGAATGACATTGCGAAGCAAACACCAAGTCAACATTTACACGCACAATATTCATCACTTGTTCGACTTATCATTAAGCTCTGTCACCCGCAATACATTATAACGCTCACCTTACCAATATATCCTAAGTATCTTTATTCACCCTCCCACATGCAGCGATTAGCCGAATTCAATAAATTTCTCGCAACCTTGCAAAGCGAAACCATCTTTATTCTACGATTGTGTTTTCATGAGTCTACAAATGAGTTATTTTTCGAACAGCAATACAGGTATTCACGTCGACTGGACCAACTACATTTGAATAAGAGAGCCTTTGAAATTTTAACACAACAGTTATCAAACATAATAGGGACAAAATAAATGTTAGTTAGTAGTAAAATAAAATAAAATGTGTTTTTCTTTTTTTTTGAAACCAAAGCTGGCTGAATAGGAGAATTTTGCAAACTCCAGGATCCTACAAAACACAATCAGCACATATCTCACAAACACGACTTCTTATCGCGCTTACCTGAGTTACGATATTGTTCAAGCACACGTCGCTGCAATGTCGTTAACTTCTCCAATCTTCTCAATGCTTGTTAGCATTGAACCAAAATAATTTTGTTTTATAGATACCAACCCACAACCCTACCTACCTTAATTATACACCCAGGCTTTAAGATTGTCTTTAGGCCTAGATTAGAATTTGTCTCTAGCGAACAAGGGTCAACCTCTGTAACCTATTGCCACTAGGATTTTTTTGATATACCGGGATATTAGAAGGTATGTCTACACGTCATCACAATGATATTTTGTTTCAAGTTTCAATAAACAAGTGCTAGCTATAAAAAAAAAAAAAAAAAAAAAAAAAAGTGCACATTACCCTCTCACTCCTTGAATATCCACATGAATAAATGGCCGAATAAGTGTGTCGTACTTGACTAATAAATAATAAGCACCTGCAACTTGCAATTAATAATGGTGCAGACAACTGGATTATGGATTTGGCCGCCCTGGCATTTAAATGTAAACTCATCAATGGATTGTAACGACACACACTTGCATGGTAACTTACCCACAACCCTTACCCTAAACCCTGTTAAAAAAAAAAAAAAAAAAAAAAAAAAAAAAAAAAAAAGCTTGCATTTGTTATAGAGTATCAAATTGTTGTCATGTGTATCGTGATGTTGGACATACCTGGTGCACCATAATTAATTTTATTTTTACCATTTTTGTACTTTCATTTTCAAATGCGATGTTAACTAGTATTTGTTTACCCAACTCTGGGTTTTCCACTCAAAAAAAAAAAAAAAAAAAAACGAGTGTCGACGTTGCATGGTTGTCTTGGTAGATGTGGCAAAAAGGTCGGAGAACCCAGGGCGTATATTCCTCTGTCTTGTATATTGTTGTTCCGCATTTACTAGGGCGTCTGGGTGTAACCAAACCATTTCCTTACCCCACCAAATGATCAAGTAAATAAGCAGAAAATTAATAAAATCTCACCACATCCCAGGTGAAATCAAACCTCATTCAAATATTCCAATTGCATCAAATGGCAATGGAAAGTGAAGTGTGTTCATTAGCACACAACCATACACAAGTTAGGTATTACTGTCACATTACACGTCGAGTTTGTCAAAATAACTCCTCAGCCCAGCTCAAATCAGTATGATAGCTTACATTATTTTTAGTACAATAGTCAAAACCCTTTCATAAACAATCTACTTGTGTATATGTATGTATGTATATATCTATATGTGCATATATGTATGCAGTTCAAAAATGTATAAATGTTAATAATAGTGAACACTGAAGTCTACACACACACTGACCTCACAGGGAAGCTACCCCCACCCTCATTCAAATGATTAATATGCCTATATACGAATTAAATGATATTCCCTCAACCCACTCTTGGGTAAAGGATCTAAATGCTGCAGAAGCAATTGCACAGTGTAAAACTTGGAATCTTAATCCAGCAAACACACTGGCAGAAAATAGAATAATTCTCCGCCAATTCATAATAGACTCCAACGCTACCAACAGTTTAACCGCTAGCAATACCGATAGTAACGGCGATGCGCGCGACAACGAGCAGCAAGCTGCGCGCACCGGCCAAAGCGTTGCCGGGGAACCCCACTCTGAAAACCAAACCCCGCAACCTGCTCAACCCGACCCGAACCTAACGCTACCCAACCAACAACCCCTGTGTACCCCGACCAACCTAAATGACACCAATTTGCAAACCCTGATAACTTCATTACAGTCGATGACCCTCAATGCCATAGCTCAGACCACAGCTGCCTTCTCAAACCAAATTCAGATGATTGCCAAACCCTCTTCACCAGTGGAATCAACCTCATGCCCACCTCTTGTGAGAGAATTATTGAAAGAGATACCCAGAACATCTGGTCACGACCCTAACCAGGTCGTGATTTTTTGTAAACAGCTTCACAAAATCATTGAAATGCAAATCGCACCAGACAAAGCTGTTTTGATGAATGTTCTCCCATACACGACGGATAGGTTCAGACAATTTTGGATGACCTCCATCTCACACATTACAGATTGGTCATCAATTTTACAGAACATCAATCAAAATTGTTTCACTCCCGAGGT